GATAAGAAATAGGGCTTAAATAGCTATCGTAATATAGCGTGGTATTCGCTCCTTTATACGCTACCGGAGCCCTAGATATAGAGGATCTCCGGATTCTAGGATAAGGGCGGCCCTAGGGGTAGACGCGACCTATAGGACTTCTTTTAATATCTTATATATACGTTCGGTAATATATAAGAGCGGGAGAAGGCGTAGGATAAGCTATAGACCCTTAGGTAATAGGATAGGTAGTCCTTTAGCGAATTCCTCCCTAACTTTAAAGAGACGCTCTTATAAGCGGCAGGAACTATAGTATAGGAAGTTAACGCGAAGCTTATATAGTTATAGAACTTAATTACGCTAGCCTTATAAGAGCTACTTATCCTTATAATTATACCTACTAACTACGGCGAGTATATAAGCTAGTTAATAAAGGTAGTATAGGGCTATAAGTAGACGCCGTGTTTTTAAAAGCTTTATAAGTATACGCCGTATAATAGTAATAGGATTACCGCCCCCTTATAAGAGGAATAGCTAACTATTAATACTAATAGGGATACCCTAATATCGGCTACTTATATAGACCGAGCTAAACGCGGTAGGAAGTCGTTATTAAATACCCCTTATACTATTCCGCTCTTTAAGTAGTAGGCGAAGTAGGTAATAAGTAAGGAAATTAGGAAAAGGAAGGCTAACGGCCGCTACCTATATTACGGCGCGTTTATATACTTTATATTAAAATGCCCCTTCCTTTTAGCTAAGCGGCTTATAGTAGTTTAAGTAGCGAAGATAGAACTACTCTTTGCCTTAGACGATAAAGAGGACTCTGCGCCCCTAGGCTTAGAGGGAAAAGAGTAGCTCTAAAGTAAAGACGGGCTCCGGAGCCTTAATTACTAGTACTAGTAAAGGAAAAGGAGGAATTATCCGCCTATATAAAAGAGGAGCTTACTTTAATATAGGTTATAATTAATAACTTCTTACTTATCGCCGCCCTTATAAATAAGGGCTACTAGTGCTACGCTATAGTTAACGAGGCGCTTATATAAGAGATATAAGTACTAGTAGAAAAGATTGCTTTAAGGTAAGTAAAGGGCGCCTTAAGCGCGATAGAGGGTATAGTAATTAAGGGTATTATATAGCTAGCTATAGAGGTTAATAGCTACTATAAGCTTATCGTAGCCTATATAATCCCTTAACTAGAGTTTCCCTTAATCCTTAGGAAACCCTAGTTATTATATATAGAGTTATACTTAGTTCTATACTAAAAGAAGCTATAGTTTAGGCCTATATAATAGTAGGTCTACTATAATAATAGTTCTATAAGTATAGGACTAGGCGTATAAGCTTTATACTTAGCCTAAGAAGTCCTTACCTCTATCTTTATAAGAACTATATAATAGGTAAAGCGGGAGGAAGGCTAAGCGGCGGCTAACGTAGTAGTCTATATAGTTAGCTTAGTAGATATTAATAAGGCCCTTTAAATAAAGAAGCTAAAGTCGCCCTCTAAGCTATAGTAGTAAATACTAGAGCGCTTTTATAACCTCCTACCGCTATTTAAGTCCTAGGAAGCAGATAAGCTTAACCTATATAAGCTAAGGGTAGATTATAGGATCGTACTCTATACTAATAAGAAGGGGTAGGAACTACCTATACCGTTTAGACCGTTATATAGTATATTATACGTAGAGCTATTAGTACTAAAGAAGACGCTAAGGGACCTCTTAAATAAAGGTTTTATTTAAGTAAGTAGCTTTAAAGTAAGAGCGCCGGTCTTATTTATATATAAACTAAGGGGCGGGATATAGTTCTATTATAACTATATAGCTCTAAACGTAATTATAAAGCTAGACCGCTACCCCTTACCCTTAATCTTAGATACGCTCTATAACCTCTTAAAGGCAAAGTAGTTTATAAAGCTAGATATAAAATAAGCGTTTTATAAGGTATAGATCTTAGAGGGTAATAAGTAGAAGATAGCGTTCTATATATACTATAGCTTATTTAAGTAGCTTATAACGCCCTTCGGCTTATTAAGAGCGCCTACTACCTTCTAGCGTTATATTAATAATATACTTCGCGACTTCCTTAATAAGTTCGCTTTTATATATATAGATAATATCCTTATTTATATAAGCGGCTCTTATAAGGACTATATATAGAAAGTATAGAGGGTCCTAAAGCGCCTCTAACTTTATAGGCTCTACCTTAACTTAAATAAGTATAAATTTAGGGTTAAGAGGGTTAAGTACCTAGGCTTTATTATCTATATAGGTATAAGTATATAGGTAGATCCTATAAAGATCTAGGCGATCTAGGACTAAGCGGCCCTAACTATATAAATAGGTATATAAAGCTTCCTTAGGTTTACGAACTATTATAAGATATTTATTAAGGGCTTCTCTTATATTATAATACCCTTAAACGAGATTACTAAGAAGTAGACCGCTTTTTATTAAGGGCCTATATAAGAAGGAGCGTTCTATACGCTTAAAGACTTATTCTCGTAAGCCTTAGTACTACTTTAGTAAGACTTTAACCGGTCTACGTTAGTTAAAGTAGACTATAGCGGCTAAGTACTTAAAGGAACGCTCTCTTAGGAGGTAGATAGGCGGAAGTAACTAATAGCGTTCTACTCCTATAAGCTAACCTTAGTAGAGCGGAATTACGCTATTTACGATAAGGAGATACTAGCGATTATTAGCTACCTTAAGCGATAGTAAGCGGAGCTCTAGAGCTATAAGAGCTTTAAGGTTCTTATAGACTATAGGAACCTTAAGTACTTTATAACCCGCTAATACCTCTTAGAGCGGTAAGCCCGCTAGGCGGAGTATCTCTTATACTTTAACTTCTCGATTAAGTACCGCCCTAAGCGGGACTCTATAGTCCTGGACGCGCTTTCTTAGAGGGATTAAGACCGGCTAATAGGAGCGGATATCGAGGCCTAGGATCTATAGCTTATCTTATAGGAAGCGCTATAGACTTATATAGGAGCTTCCTTAATAGAAGAAGGCGCGGTACTAGTAAATAAGCTTCCCCTTATACCTTTACTACTAGATAAGCTTCTCTTAGCGCCTTTACCTTAGTTTAGTAAGAAGGGATAGACCGGCTTAGGGGCACGCGCGGCGAGAGTATTCTAAGATATAGCCTTTTAACGCTTATAGGATAGGATAGTAGCTCTAGACCGTACCTATAAGAGCATACGCCGCGCTATAGAGTCCGGTGCTCGACGCTTAGATCTAAAGCTAAAGCTAAAGGTATAGGTAGCTAACTATTATATTAACCTATAGGGGCATCTACGCTAGCGGGGGAGACTATAGGTACCGGGCGTACTATATACTATAGAAGCTAAGGAGAAAGATAGACCGCTAGAGCTAGACGAACGGAACGAGCTTTAAGGGAGGCTAGTCTAGCTTATCTATAACTTTAGCGTTATAGGTTACCTAGGTAAGTAAGGTATAGTAGTAGGCCTTATAAGGGACTTTTACTAGCCCCTCTTATAGTACTACGTTTATCGCTTCCTTTATAACTATAATATTTATAGCTATATAAAGATCTAAAAGGTATAACTTAAGGGGCTACTTAAGTAGCTTTTAGTACTAAACTAGTTCTATATATATATATAGATAGACTTTATAATAAACCTCCCGCTTATAAAGGGCGGTAACCGCTATATATAAGTAATTAAAGACTAACTTAGTAAATTAATAGTACTAAAGCTAATACTATTTATAGATATAGAAGCTTACGCGAAGCGCTTCCTTTAGTACTAGGCCCGCTTATATAGCTAGCCGGCCTTTATTATAAGCGATAGAGGGTCGAACTAAACTAGCCGCTTTTAGTAGTACCTATACTAGCTACTTTAGATTATATAGCTACTTAGTACGGCCTATTACCTATAAACCGACGGGGGACCTAAGAAGGTTAACTAGGAAGTATAGGCGTACCTATAAGTAGTTATAGCCTATAACTAAGCGGACTAAGACCGCTAGCTCCCCGTTACCTAGCTCGCGCTAAATAGTAGACCGTAATCTTTTATTTAAATAGCCCCCTTCTTTATAACGTATAGCTTTAAGCTACCCTCCCCGATCCCGTTTACCGCTAACGTAGTAGCGGAGTAGTATAGTAGTACGTTATTAGAGAGCCGCGCTTCCGCGTTTATATAGAAGCTATAAGAAACTATAGAATACTACTAATCCGCGATAGCCGCGGCGGTATAAGATTAAGAGCGGTACGCTAATAAGACTAAGGCGCTAATAAATAGGTTTATAGTAAGAGATAAGGTATAGCTCGACCTCTATAACTATAGGTTAGTACGACTAAAGAAGAAACTAAACTAGCTATATATAAAGTTTACGGTATAAAGGGTCGTTAGCCTATAAGTAGTTAAGCTCGATAGTCTCTTAACGGGGGTTTATAATAAGATTAATATTAACCTCCTTCGCTAAGCCTCCTCTAACCCGCTACTTAGATAAGAAATAGTAGACGCTTAACCGCCTATAATTAAGGTAGAGGGGGACGATAAATTCGAGGTTAAGGAGATACGGGCTATATACTAAAAGAAGGTAGGCCGGGAGATACGCTAAGAGGTTCTCTTTAAGTAGCGCGGGTACCTCGACCCTACGTAGGAACCTATATATAAGTTTATAGGAGCTATAGCCCTTAATAAGTTCGAGACCCTATATAGGCTAGTAGACGAGAACGATAGACTAATAGACTACCGGTAGTAGCTTAAACTAAGACTATAAAATAAGTAAAGTAGAGTAGGTAGTTACGGTAATATAGGTATAATAGTATAGGCGGAGATAAAAATAGCGTTTATTTTAAAGTAAAGCCCTTAGACTTCCTAAGCTTATTCCTCGTTATTACCCTCGCCCTCGCTATTATTATTATTATTATCCTCGTCGGCCTCCTCCTCCTCCTCCTTAGCGGCGGCGGCGGCGCTCTCTAGCGCGCTAAGTCGGCCTTCTAGGCCTATAAGCTAGTCGGCGGCGGCGGCGGCTCTAAGGGTAGAGGGGCGGCGGCTAGCTCCGGCGGCGGCGGTAGGGGTAGTAGTAGTAGCGGCGGCGGCGGGCATAGCTATAGGGATCGCCGATAAGGCGATAGAGGCGGTATCCCTAGTACCGGGAGAGTTAATAGCGGAAGTAGGAGAGCGGAGGGGGAAGAACCTACTTAGGGATAAGCCCCTAGCGCTCTAGGGCGCGAAGGTTATAGTAGGCGGCTACGGCGGCGGTAAGGCGCTTCTTAGCAGCCCCCTAGGCCTACCTATACGCGCCGGCCTTCTAAGCCGACGCCGTAGCGAGTAGGACGGGAGGCGCCGCCTTATAAGCGCGGCCGGCACGCGTATATTAGTAATAACTACCGCCGCGGCGGCGCCCGACCTAGTTAGCGTAAGGGAGCTCCTACGACGTATACTATATATAGGGGGCCGCGTAAGCGGCTCCGGCCTAGACCTAGCGCTTATACTTTAAGGAGTTAGCGGAAGACGTCTATTACGCTCGCTTAGCTACGGACTTACGGGGGTAGCGGAGACGGAGGCGGGGGCCGAGGGGCTAGGCGTTACGGGTAGCGGCGGGGACGGCGTCGTTACCCTAAAGGGCGACGTAAGGGTAGCTAGCGTAGCGGAGGTAGTAGCGGCGGCGGTAGGCGCGGTGGTAGGGGCGCGGGCAGGAGTAGCGGCAGCGGCGGAGTTATCGTTAGCCGTGCCTAGTATAGCGTCGACGAACGACTCCGTACGCTCCGAGAAGGAGGAGGCGGGGGAGGGGGAGGTAGATATATCTATCGCGGAAGTTAGTATTATAGATTACGGCCTCCCGCTCTATAAGGTAGGGAACTTACTAGTTATAATTATTATTATTATTACTATTATTAAGGCTATTATTACTACTATAGCTATTACTATAAGTATATATTAATAGAGCGGCTTATATAGCTAGGAATAAACTAACGCCTTAGGTAGAGCGGAACTTACCTATTACTACTACTACTATAGTTAAAGAAGGAAGAGAAGGAAGGGAAGGAGGAAGGGGGGGATACCGCCTTATATACCCCTTAGTAGAGGAGGCTGCTTAAGGCCGAGGGGACGGGCAACCTAAGGCTTACGTAGGTCTAGGCCGGCCGCCGGCTACCTAGGAGCGAATATAATAGGTTGCGCCCCTATTTAAACAGCTAGCCGGCTAATAAGTATAGAGCTAGGTTCCGGCTACCTAGGCTAATAGGTATAGGGATAATAGGGCTAGTAGGGCTAGCACGATTAATAGGAAAGGGTAGGGTAGAGCTAGTAGTACGGGCCTAATAGTACGGAAGCCGTTAATAGGGCAGCGCCGCGCCGCGCTCGAGGGAGGGCATTATATAAGAGTCTTTAACTATTATAGGTTATAGGCTTAGGCTACGGCCTAAGCTATATAGTTACGTACGGAGGGCCGGATCCTATACGTATATATACGGGCTAGCCGCGTATAGAAGAGCTTTATATAGCTTATTAATATTATCTAACGGACGGCACCTACGTATACGCCTCTGCCTACTCCGTGATATACCTCTTATATAATAAGATCGATAAACTTAGCCGTAGCCCGCGGTCTCTTATAGCGTTATATTAAGGATCTCTAGCCCGAGGAAATATAAGGGGAAGGGGATTAAGAGGAGGACGCGGTAGGAGGGGCGCGCCGCTAGCTTTATTAAAGCCGCTAGCTTTATTAGGCGCTAAAAGGAGGGATCGTTATATTAGGGCTAGAGGGGCCGGATTAATTAGCGGGCCGAATATTATAACTTCGAGCTTAAGGTTCGGAAATATGTTATTTAAGCGAATTAAGAGGCATGCACGTAATATAGCTAAAAGTGCGTTATAATATAAATATACGGGCGGGCGTAGGCGCGGGTGCGGGCATTTAGGCGGTACGGCTACTTACTAGGCCTACGCGGTATAAGTAGGCGGGGCGGGCTAGTATTAGTATATATCTTAAAAATATAGCGTGAGTGCAATTAGAGATATATATAAGTGCGATTAGTTTTACTTAATACTTATTCCCTTTTATTTTACTACTTTAGCTATAAAAAAAGTAGTAAGCTAGTTAATTATAAAAGTATATTAAAAAGTTATAGTATAATATATAAAATAATACTTATAGCTGCCTCTTAGCTTTCCTAGGAAATTAATAGGAATATAAAGATAATAACTTAAGATCTAAGAGAAAATATTATTTAGTTATTAGAGGTTAACCTTAAATATCTATATAATATTAAAACTCCCTAAATATAGCCTGCAATCAGACCTAATTCCGCGGCACGCAGGTTGCCTTTCCGTCCTGGATCTTACAGGTGGTGCTCTCCCCGCAGTCTTGGGTGTACTAGAGTGTAACGGATGGTTAGATCAAAACGGACCTAGAAATAGCAATGTGGGACCAGAACTTACCTCCCATTTGCTACCGTCGGCATTGCAAGTCTTTAAGCCTATTTTGCCGCCACCTCCCACATTGGTGTTGACGGCGCACTCAGTCTCATTAGGCTCGCACCGTCCATTAAGTTGGCTGTCCAGATCGATCTCGGTCAAGTAGCCCTGTTCCAAAGCCTTCGACGTGGCGGTCAAGTCGACAAGGACATACTGATATCCGCCGCCAGGCTGCCCAAACGCGGGCCTGATAGTGCCACCATGGACCGGGAGATTCTTCAGAACCTTATACACGTGGTAGGGCGACCTATAGCGGTTAGAGAGGGGCTATTTTGCACGATATATTAATGAGACTTACTTTCCGTTCGCTTCGAAATTCAAGTTTTTAGGTGTAATAGCTCGCTTTTCATACGACATGCCAGGGTCGCCCAGGAATGCGCTGGTCGGGGGCCCGAACCGATCAACCAGTTGACCTGGGGTCAAGTCGTACCTCTCTCTTATAGCATTACCCATGCAATCAAGCATAAATCCATCCTTTTCGGGATACACATAGCTTCTGGTTGAGGGGTTCAACTTGTCCACCAAGTATGCACCGGGGCACTGTCCCGCGTAGGGCTCCCAATGCTCAAGCAGATCTTGAAGAGGGGCCTTGGTGGGCCACTTGACAGGACCGAGAAGAGGATCTCCGCAACGATATATGCCTTTGAGCGTGGCGTTGTTCAGAGTGTTTGTGCAGTCATTTTTGCAGTCACAGCTTGGTGCCTCTCTTGCGTCAGGTTGATGCATGGTGCCGCTGCTTGGGGCGACATACGCCGAGCCAGTCGCAGCAAGCACAAGCAGGGAGAATGAAACGAGGGACATTTTGACGAAGAAATTGAGGTCTTGCTAGTAGTAAAGATTTGAGGTTGTCGAAAGGTTAAAGGAGTTTGAGCAGCAGCAGGATGCCACCTATATACTTTTCGAACCATACCATTACGATCAGTACGTTCATAGACTGGGCTAGAGCTGTGATAGGCTCCGGTTCATAATGATGGAATATCCCGAACAACTGCTAGGTGGGTATCTGTTGGACCCGTAGCCTCAGGGGCACTCCTTGCACTTGAGAGGACCTCCCGGCAACATACTTCGTATAAAAGAGCCATAATTAGACTTCATCTAAGTAGGCTACATACGACGTGAGGTTCTAGAAAACCCGCCTATGTTAAGTCTCGTGAGCTAATGTATGGCATGGATTACAATCAAACTCCTGGGATTATATTTTTCAATATACAGTACGATGTATAACTGAAGATAACTCTAGATACGGTCAGTCTTATGTTAATACTAGTAACTTGATCCGTACTAAGTTTAAATCGCTATAATGCATAGCGTTTTTTACGGATTGTTCCTATGGGATAGCCGAGACATTATCCCTATCTGGGAAAGAAAACTCGAAATGTACGAGTCGTAAGAGCAAGTGAGCTATAGTGAGTCATGGCAAGCCTTACGCCTTGAGTCTTATGCCTTTAGAAATGAAGAGACGAAAAGTTCTTCCTTCTAACTCCTTCGTAAACAAGGTAAACACGGACCACATGGCGCCCTGCGCCCTTCCAGCCACACCTCCCCTGTGAAGTCCCTTAAAATGAAGCCATGCTGCAGGCCAACCCTGACAGCCCTCTCCCACAGAAGAGTGACCCCCCGACTGGTCCCTCCGGGACCCCTTTGGCCCCGTGACGGATTGAGGGCGCCGCGGGAATGGGACAAGTTGGTTGTATCAATTACGGCGGTCCCCTTTCGACCGTCGCATGCCCTTAATAAAGCTGCTTGAAGGTCCATTTGCGACGATCCGCGATTTGCACCCAGCACTCGCAAGTGTTGCAAGATACCCAGGTTGACTGCAAGAGCCTGCCTCGCGACATCGTCAATTTGATCAATCGCCCTACGTCTAATCGTCTCTGCTTGACAGCCGTCTGGGAAACCATTTATTACACCTGGTGACCAAGCCCGGTAGGCACAATGGGGCTGAATGGTTGCCTAGGCGTTGGGATTATGCATGTGCGAGAGCCGTTGCAAACAAGGCCTCCTCGGTGGACATTGCGGATCCAATGCTCTACAAATTTTTCCCAAGAAAGCACCGTGGTTTCTTGAGCTCGACGCCCAGCAGCGCTTGATAGAAGTACAGACTTCTGTCCTCACCGGTTAGAAGTTGGCCATTTTGCTAGTTTCGTAGCTGTCGCCGGATCAATCTCTTAACAGCCACATCGTGTACGAATCGCATGCGGATATAGCTGTAAAAAGCCCCATCGTGTTGGCCACGGTCGGAGTGGCGTATTCTTCTCGCCAGCGCCATCGGAGCCCTCTCCGGTCGTGGCAATGCTATCCCAGCCTTTACCCTTATTAAAATAGATATATAGTTAAGAGTTTTTTATTTTTTGGTAGGTAAAAAAGTTATAAAGTTTATTGAATAGTATTTCATTAAAACTGTTGAGGAGAGTGGGCATAAGAGGCCACAGTCATGCCCAGTGGACCCAAGAGAGTGGGCATAAGAGGCCATAGTCATGCCCAGTGGACCCAATAGTCATGCACAAGGAAGCCTGCCTGACCAACATGACTCCCCTAGCCCAAGGACATTATGTAGACCTAACTCAGGTATAGGAACATCCCAATGCCCTCTTTTGGCTAGCTATGTGTGGTCACTGTACCTATATAAGCCCCTTAGAACTAGCTCCTAGGATACCTCTATTCGGAACCTACGAAGGAGGTTCGTATTAAACTAACCGACTTCGAAGGTTAATTCGTAATAGGAACACTCCCGCAGTATAAGCGGGTATTCGCAGTCACATAAGCGCCTAAGCCGCTAACTAGGGGGGTGGGTGACCTATGGCATCGCCGCCTTAGGCATCCTGGTCTAAGATCACTAGAGAAGCTATCAGAAGCCTGCCTAGGCACCAAGCTTTAAGGCCCCACAATATATAGCTATTAGATATGCGCAATAGGGAAAGCTAAGAGGGAAGTCTCGAGAAAAACACTATCCCTAAGGCCTAAAGGTCCGGGGTGTGTTAGCTTCGACCTTACCCTGGCCCTATAATAGCATATAACGGGAAAAGAACTTCGCCCTATTTACCTATATAGATATATCTATAAGGTTCTATTACCTAATAGAAAGAAAAACGGGTATTAGGGATATCTTTAATAACTTCGTAGCGTTACTTAAGACCTAGTATAGAGTTAAAATAACTATATTAGTTACTAACGGGGAAAGGGCTCTTTTAATAATAGAATAAATAGATTATATAACTAATAGAGGGATACGAGTTATATAGTTAGCCCCTTTAACGCCTATATAAAACGGTTACGTAGAGAGATTAAGGGCAATAGTAAAGGAAAAAGCAAGGGTTATAAGGCTTAACTTAAAGCTTCTAGAAGAGCTATAGCTAGAGATATACCGTATAGCGGTATACCTACTTAATATAACACCCTTCGAATTATATAATTATAGCTAGTAGAGCCTATACAAGCGTTAGTAGACCTAGATAAAAGAAAATAATCTACTATATTACTATATTAAAGATATTAAACTAGATATTATATATTTAAGGGTCTTTAGCTATATAGCGTTCCTAATAATAATTACGGTATTAGAATATATTAAGTTATATAAGACGTAATTACCCCTTAAGTAGAGAGCTTATATTAGCTACCTAGTAGGCTATAGGTCTACTTAATAATACGTTATATAGATACCGTTAATTAGATAGAATAAACTAATAGTATTAGCTAATATATAGTTTAACGAGTCTATAAGCTACGATATAAAAAGAGAAGAGTAAGCCTAGCTAGTCTAAATATATAGCTACGATATCCTTAGAGATATAGCCGCAACCGACGTTATAGATAGCGGGGAACCTAAAACCTTTAGGGTACTAAGTTTATCCGACGATAATATAGATAACGGTTAGATGCCGGAAGAAGTAATTACCCTCTTATAGGACCTATTGCCCTTATATACTCCGGAAGATTAGGGATTAAAGACGCCCTTATAGGGATTATATAGATATATATATCTTTCCCCTCTAGAAATAGTAGGCCTAGGGATAGAGATTTTAATATTACCCCTTCTACCTAATACTATATTTAATACGAAGTTACTAAGCTCTATGCCTCCTACGCCCGTAATAGATACTATAGCTAGCAACCCCTCCTATATCTCGTTAGGGAGATAGCTTAAAGATACGATACCTATATTAATCGACTCGTCTCCTTAAGACAAACGTAATAATATACCTCTTAACCTAGGGGGTAAAGGAACGATTATAGTATAGGTTTAAGAAAATAACCCTTAGTCCGAACCCCGCACCCTTAACCTAGCGGTTAGTAGGGCCGGCTTAAGGACATTATAAACATAAGAATAACGTAGACGAAAGGATACGTTATAAGGGATTAACCTAAGCAACGTTATTAAAGGAAAACGGGCTCGTAGGCCTAAGAAATCCCTTATTAATAATATTATCGTAAAGGCATAAGCTTTACGTTAAAGATATGCCGCCTCCCCCTACCTCCTTTAACGCGGTAATAGCTTTAGAATTCGCATACGAGTAGAAGGAAGCTATAGACCGCGAAATAGAGGAAAACCTAGTAAGGGGCATATAGAAGTCTATCCTAAAAGCTATTATTAAATAGAAAGGTTACTTCCTAATCCCCTTACGTTAGGTCTTTATATATAAGACCGATAAATAGGGGTATATTATATGCTTTAAAGTATATATTATAGTTTATAGAGACCTATAACCTAAAGGTAACGAGGATATATATATAGCTACCCTATAAGTATAAATATTTCGACTACTAATAGCCTTCTATTACCTCGAGGACTTTAAAACGGAATAATATAACGTAAAAATAGTATTTCTATACGCAATCCTATACTAAGAAGTCTATTACTAGCCTCTACTAGGATTCTTAATGCCTAGGCTATGCCTAAAGCTATTAAAAGCACTATACGGGCTCTATATCTCTCTAAAGCTATAGTTTAAAGAGATATCTAGTTTCTTTACTAAACTAGGAGCCTAGTAGCTAGTAGAAGACGCCTACGTACTAGTCTATAAGGGCGTTATTATCTTTATCTTCGTAGATAATATCGTTATAATATATCTAAAAAGGCAAAAATAAGATTAGGAAGAGCTATATAAGGCTATTACGAAGAAATACACCGTTACGTATATAGGAGAGCTACGCTAGTTCCTTAGTATCGAGATTATTAGGGATAGGGATCTTAAGAAGATATAGCTCTCGCAAGCTTCCTATATCTCTAAGACCGCGAAGAAATATTATATCCTTAATAATAATATCCTTTATAAGCCTAAGATCCCGCTAATAATAAAAGAGCTCGTCCCCTATAAAAAGTAGGCCTTAAAGGAAGAGATATACGAATATATCTCTTTAATTAGGTCGCTTATTTATCTAGTAATTTATACTAAGCTAGATATTATATTTATAGCCGGAAAGCTAGCCTAATATAATTATAACCCCGGGCCGCGCTATAGGCACGAAGCACGTAAGTGCCTAGCTTACCTCTATTATATAAGAAACCGCTATATCTACTTTACGGCGATAAACCTAATAAGGCGGCTAATATATATATCCGACTCCTTATACGCCGATAACCTAGAGACTAAGAAGTCCTTATAAGGATATATATTCCTACTCCTTAGTAGGCTAATTAACTAGAAAGCTACTAAGCAAGCTACTATAATAATATCCTTTATAGAAGCTAAATTATTAGTACTCTTATAGATAGCTAAGGAATAGGTAGCATTTAGCCGACTAATTAAGGAGCTTAATATTAGTATTAAAGGGACTATAGAGCTCTAGTATAATAACCTTTAGACTATTAAGCTTCTAACTAAATTAAGCGTAAAGCTTAAGATAAACCTTAAGTACGTTAACGTTTATAGATACTAGCTTCGTTAGGAGGTATAGTAAGATCGGATATAAGTTAGCTAGATCGTATTAGTAGATAACCTAGCTAATAGTATAACGAAGGCGCTTATATACTTAAAGTATTAGAGCTTTATTAAGTAACTAAGACTAGTAATACGGCCGGAAGATATATTAAGAGATAATATACCTAACTACCGTATTAAGGCATAATATCTCCCTACTATAGCGAACTCGATAATTACCGGATCCCGATAATAAGAGCACTATTATATATACTAAGATTAAGGGATTTTAACGGCGTAGTTAGATCTTAATTTAGTTAAGAAACTATAAAGATCTAGGGGGTAGAAGTTAGCCCTATTTACTACTAAGAAGTAAAGCTATTACTAAACTACCCCTTAATTAGTATAATACTATAGCGCTTAAACTTACGATAATCGCGATAGCTTTACTAAATTAAGACTAATTAATATAAGGAATATATTATTAGAAAGCCTACCTTTAGGATTACTTTTATCCTAAATAATAATATCGCCGGTAAAGGTACTACGGTACCTAGGCTACTTAAAGGGATGCCCCGCTATGCCCCTCCTTATAAGGAAGGTTATAAATATAACTTATAACTACTAGTTAAACGGTAAGAGTAGGTTATATAACCCTATTAATCGTAAGTTCGACTCCCCCTAGGGCGGAAGAGCAGGTTATATAACCACGCCCTAGGGGGGGCGCGGTCAACGAACTTAGGGGCCCGAGGAGATAGGATATACGGAGGAGGGTTCTCCTTATATCCTATCCTCTCGGGTCCCGGCTTTTGCCTTTTACTGCATTTACCTCCTTAAATAGATAGCAAAGCAATAATTAGGAGCCTCCCCTATTTTTAGACAACCTCCTTAAATAGATAGTAAAGCAGCCGAATTTAATATCGGAATAGCCTTATATTTATTAGACCGAACCCTCCGCTACCTATTGCCCTACTATCTAGAAGCTGGGGTGGCAAGGGGGTGTGTTGAGGAGAGTGGGCATAAGAGGCCATAGTCATGCCTAGTAGACCTAAGAGAGTGGGCATAAGAGGCTATAGTTATGCCTAGTAGACCTAATAGTCATGCACAAGGAAGCCTGCCTAACCAATATAACTCCCCTAGCCCAAGGACATTATATAGGCCTAACTTAGGTATAGGAATATCCTAATGCCCTCTTTTGGCTAGCTATGTATGGTCACTGTACCTATATAAGCCCCTCCCTTGTCCTAATAGATAGACCAGGACATGCATCACTAAATTCACCTTTCTATGCCCCTATTTCTTCCACTGTGCTCTCAAGCCTCTGCTTGAGAAAAACTATAAAAAGAGAAGCCATATTATTTTAATGCTAAAAAAGAAATTTATATTAAACTTTATATAATCTTGTAAATATAGCAATAACTTCTTTATATCCTTTAGACCCTATATACCTTGCGGTTTCAATCGTCCCTTGCAGGGCAACATGACCTTTTGTTACGTTGTTCCTTGGGGCAAACCCATACGTATTTCAAAGTCTACACGGCATAGTGTTAGCGGGTGTAACTATTTGGGAACAACGCATACTGCCCAACACCGCCAATGGCCAGCCCTTGCGAGCATTACGACCCAGATCTGGATGAGGCAGGTGGCCAGGGTGTGTACGTTTCCGTACAAGCACATTCGTACAAATAGCCACTACTTGTGTTTCGCAGGGTAAGCCGGGCGACCGCCTCTTCAGTAGGAAGCAGACGCTGAGCAGTAGCTTACAGTCGGCTGCGTCGAGTTCTTAGTGGGCTTCCTGGCGCCGCGGCTGCACTTGTGCCTCACATTCAGGTTTTACCCGTCCCTTGCAAAGGCTCGCCGGTACATGGAAGCCATGATCTGCGATTGTATCAACGCTTCGTGGCAACAGTGCCATAACAATGCGAGCGAAGGTTGGCAATTCCAGTCAATGGCAGACTTGGTTGTACGAAGAGACACAGGTGGCCGAGACGGAGGGCCGTGGCCGCATGTATGACATCCAGTATTCCCGCTATTTGGCTTCATCCTGGCGAGTCACAAATCGACGGCGGCGACCCTTGGCTGGGCGATGAAGCATCTGGTTGACAATAAGGACATGAAAAAAAAGGTCCGCTTAGCACTTGAGACGTTCTACAGGCACACCGCTGGACGGGTGAGGTGCCTACAGCTCAAGAGATTGCCATGCCAACATTCCCTGCCTTGACGCCTTTATCGAGGAGAACCATTGCTTGGGCACTGGAGCCCCCATGATCCGCAGCGTCACCATAAAGGATACTACCATTCTAGATCACAAGTTACCCAAGGGCACAAACGTCTTTATAATGACAAACGGCCCCTGTTGTCAGACGCCGGCGTTGCCGGTAGAATAAGTCCGACACACATGATACATCGAGGCGTCTAAGAGCATATGCGGAACTTGAGGCGAGGTCAGCATGAGGAATTCGTGCTGGAGGGATGGCCCACGTGCGATGACAGGGGCAACGTTAAATTCAGTCTTCTTGTCGATGCGGGCACTCGTGCATGCTTTGATTGGCTCGGTCCCCTCGTCAAACTCTCTCTTGAAAGTCTCTGGGTGGGCGAGCTGACCCGTGGTGCTTGCTCACAGGAGGGAAGATTGCCGGCCTGGTTCTGAAAATTGCCGTGACACTGGTGGTCCGGCGCTTCCACTCTCAAACAGCTTCCTCCAGATATTGCAGGCTTCGAGGCTCACGACCAGCTCACGCACGAAGTTCAGAGACTGTACTTGCGTTTGGCCGAGTATAAACGATGGCGTGATCCGCGATAGACTCTCTGGGCTGTGTCTATGCTGTCTTGAGCTCCGTCAATCTATCCGACCCCGTGGCCTGCTTTCATTTTCTTGCAACTTAGCGCCGTATAGCTTTACACTTGGTATCGAGACTTTGCTGCACTCGTCCATGTTAGGGCCTGCTTCCTGCGAAGCCCAGTTGTCTCAGCAGCTGCCATTGTTCGAGCACAATCATGACAAACTGACATCCAAACTCTTGCATCATCAGCTGCGCACTGCTCTCGCTTTGGCACATCTCCCCTCGCGACCGACTTCGCGCCTCAGCCACTCAACGTGGAGCTCGTCGCCTTCCTCAAAGCCAAACGCGCCATTCGAGAAGCCGCAGTCGATGTTGGACGTCTCGCCGCATAGCTCTGCCTGGACCCTGCCTGCCATCTCCACTGGTGCCAGGGCCGGTCCGCGAACCAAGCCCGCCATGATGCCGCTCTGCCCGTAGACGCGGTGGAACAATTCCGGATTAACGGTCCAGCAGCGCAGCCCCTGGTCGCGGCATCCCACAAGGAGGGCGACGTCAAAGGTCTTGAAGCCTAGCCCCGAGGGCTCCGGGGTGGAGAGCTCCTCCAGCAGACGGCGAGCCGACGCGCGCGTGACGGCATATGAGAAGGTGCACAGCGGGAAGCGTGAGCGGTGCACCAGGCGCGTGTGTTGGGGGACCCCGAGGTTCTCCAGCAGCGACGCGGTCCACAGGTGCAGCCTGTTGAGGCTCGAGAGCGACGTGTCGGCCAGGAAAATGTGCGGCGTGGCGGCCAAGTCGTCGGGCTTGACGTGACCCTTTTCGAACCCATCGTCTATGCCAGGCCAGTAGTCGCCGCAATGGCCGAGATATAGAAAGTCCCGCTCGGCCACATTGCCGTAGGGATAGTCCACCGCGCTAGGGAACATCGTGCGCATGGCTGAGGACACAAGCGGCACCTGCACCGAGCGCAGACGAATATCCCAGTCGACATTGTCTTCGAGGAACGGCGCGGTTTCATCGTCGGTCTCGAGGAACCTGGCCGAGGTTAGTGTTTTGAGATCATGTCACAGGCACGACAAAGAGGTGGTCGCGTACTGTCGCAGTGCGTATAAGTGGCCCAGCCAGGCGAGCAACGAGCCCCGGCCTATCGTCGAGTTTTGAGACTGCCTAATCTGGGCGACGTCGGCGGCGGTCCAGTTGGGCTGTATGGGCACGGTAAGCTGCAGGTCGGTGACGTTGGCGGCCTGGATGGGGTTCCTGCGGCGCGGACAATGCTCCTTGGAGACGACGTAGACGTTTCCGAAGCCGAGAGTCGAGTTGACAGCCGTGACGATGGCTGGGCGTCTGAACCTTGGCAGCGCAGCTTGGGCAAGTAAATACATGCGTTCAGGACCACCAGTGCGCAGATGACAACGGCGGCGAGGACGCGATCTTATGGTAGCCGGCGTTGGCGAGCCATGGTTGTATACCGTGTTTATCTCCTCGGCGGGCGGGACAAGTTTGTCGAGGATGCTCTGAGATAAAGCCATCTGTCCCTAGAACCGAGAGAAGGTTTGTCCGCATTCGGGGATCACATCACGCCATTATTGAGACCATGCGTACCGTATAGTCAGAGGGCTCCATATTGGCTTGTTCGTCTCCACGATAGTCAAGGCACATGATTCGATCTCTTGGCGTTTCTTGTGATAGATCAAAAGTTTTATCTCGACAGGCCCTCGAATTATACCCATACATCGAGGCCTCGGAAATCCCACTACTCAATCGGAGTATCCCAGCTGAAAATATTCAAGCGGGCGCCTCCAAACTTATAGCGCCCGAGCAATATAAGCGATAGAGTCTAGACATCCGGATCAAACATCTTTAAGCTCGCCTAAGCAGGCACAGTAAGTCTGCAGGCTGGGCGTATTTGCTTTCATGCTGCCTGCGTCTGTCATGGCATGACTGAAACAAGATGGACGAGTCTGGGTACATATAGGTGGAGCTCGATCCGCTTTAACCCCTTTGCCGGAGCAGCCGCTATGCCTAGACGCAGGCATAAGAATGCAATCCCGTCTCATGGCAGTGCAGACAAGCCTGACCCTGAACTTTGTCCCGAACGGGCGGCTGAAACCTCGTCTGGAGTAGGCTAACGCAGTCCTTGGTGGGCTCTGCAGTTGTTCTCGCATACGCTCTCTATTCTTAGTGGACGAGACAGAAACAAGGTACACGCCGTAGTTCAGTCTGCAAGAAGTACGCAATTGCATTCTCTCCGCACTGCTCAAGGTCAACCATCAAGCAGAAACAGGCCTGTCATCCGCCCTTGCAATGCTTAAACTGCGTAATGTAGGAATCTATTAACCAGATCTTTCATGCCAACTCCCCGCCGACCATTCTCAACCGCAACTGGCTCCAAAATCCATTCTGAGGCATTGATGCACTTACTTTCAATTCCTTAATTCAGCACACCGCCCACACTGACCGCGCAAATGCCAACATTGGGATAGAAACACATACGCTGCCGCATAGCACGTGGTTCCACCACTGCTCGCCTCAACTTACCGAGATGAAAACATCTTTTTAGCATCATATTCTATATGGATACAGGTATGTAAACAAGATCGTTAGTGCTAGGGGATCCAGCGTCCTTACTCGGTGAAGAGCCTGTAGGTCTTTTGCAACTATCGCGGCAGCCAATCCTGCGAGAATGGCTACGAGAGAGCCCGAGGCCTTCCTGACGACAATGTGGTATGAAATTCAGGGAGCTTCTATCGTTGGATCATCAATAGAATCTTTGTGTCGCTGGAATGAGGAAATAATAGGCATAAAGATTGCTTTCACGTGCATTGAAGGAGTGTAAGCATTGTTATAATCCACCTCTGCGTTTCTGGGATCCGATATAACCCTTTAGCGTGATAGTGCTGCCTTAGACCAGCATCTGCGGACATTCAGGGTCTCAAATGACACAACCCTTTTAGAAACCTATAGTTGCTGCCGAGTTCAGCAACTCTCTAAAACAGGCTACATTGCCCAAACGGAGAAACATGCGATAGAGAGGCGCTTGTCATCACTTCCCGTACGGTTCGACCCTTTTATCTTCAACGTGACTCCAGCCTGTGGCCGCTGCCAAACTTGCACCTTGTAACATTCCAGCTCATGTCACTGCGCTTTATCTAGGCTCCAAATTCATGGTGCTCCACCGAGCGCGGATAGGGTGGTTTGCTGCAAGCGAAGCCAGCGAATGTGGCTCAATTTCGCCACCCTTTCTCGCCCTGACTTGGTTCCTCCATTACGACGGAAGCGATTACGTTTTCACGTAGATGCTAACGCTGCATATGATTGATAGACTAAGTAGTAGTAGATCCTGTCTTCCACGGCTAAGAGCTGGCATCCGTATGAATCTTCAACCTGAAACATTGGGCGACGCAAAAAGCAGCTTCGGTACTTTTTCTATACTCATAACTGATCAAACCAGCAGCCCTGACATAGACAACGCCCTGTTTACTCGCAGCCACCATAATGCCCCGTCCGTCGGGTTAGTTCCACGACGTTGAATCATGTTGCCATTCTCCGGCTCGCAGCACGATAAATAGACTCCGTCTTACGAGACAGCGTCGAACATGCTTAAAGAGCTGCTTCTTTTGGCTTACCTCTCTCTGCTCCGTCGAGTGGCAGCTTCTCCGCTGGTCGAGTCGTCCTGGCCTCCTGTAAACGTTAGCTCCTGAATGAATAACGGTCTGATTGATGGAGCTAATATCTTTGAGGACGGTAGAAGGATGGGCACTTCGTTCACACTTTTCTGTCTTTCAGCGTGTCAGCGCTTTAGCATAGACTATCGCTCAACACTTCGATAGGAATAGAGAAACTTGAGTAGTCGAGAGTCGTCGACTTCGTTGAGGGCCGAGTTTTATTTTAAAATTTTAAAATAGTTATGTAAAGTGCGGAGGGAAGAAACCGATCGATTCCTGGTTTTGCTCTTATAGCGCGTCATCCAAGTTAATAGTAATATCGAACACCTATCGTCTCGACTCTCGAAGAGTGTGAAGTTGCCGCTCGCGATAAGCAAGGAAGCATGGACTTCGACTCCTCTCTGGAGGACGCCAGCAGCAGGGCTCAAAGTAATCCCCAGAGTACTCGCAGAAGTGGATATGGAACAACTTGAAGAATCGAGATGGCCCGCAATCTAAAGCAAGTCAGCACTCTGTTACAAAACTCTAGGTCTTTTTCGGACACCTAAACAGGCGGGCTTCTGCATTCATATCATCCACGGACAGTGATTTACCTTCCACGCCTTGGTAAAAAGAGAATCTACGTCAAGTCCTTGTTTCTACTCTTATTCTCTTGAAAGAAAATCATTTGAGGCACCTGTTGTGGCTCCCATTTCCTGATTAGGCCTTCGACTCTCCCTACCTTGGGCCAGCTACCCTATAGCCACACAAAGTTGCACATCACGTGCCGAGGCATGCTCATCGCAACAGCCAATTACGGCCCGAGTAATGTAATACCGCAATGGAAAGCTGGAAGGTACACTGGCAAAAGCCCTGCACGTCAACCCATCGCCACCCTCGCCTCGACTCCCATTGCCGCCGCCGCCTCTATTCTCCCTCACCCCCCGCCTCGCCATCGGCACCAATCGCGCGAACCCCGACCACAGGGAACCGGTCCGCCATGGCCCAGGCCCTGCGAACCTCGACGGCCATGCTCGCGCGGCGACAGCTTGCCTCGGCCCACGGCACCTCCATCGCGGCTGCGGCCCGGACAGTCTTTGCTTCCCAGCAGCAGCAGCAGCGTGGATATGCGACGCCCAAGGGTCCCCCGCCCGCCAACTTCCGGACCAGCAGGCATGTCGAGTGGCCCTGGGACAGAGACAGCACCCTGGACCGCATGGGCAAGTTCTTCCTCATGACCGAGATGGCCAGGGGCATGTACCTGCTGCTCGAGCAATTCTTCCGCCCTCCGTACGTCAGCTCCCTCGAGTATGCCCCGTGTGGAGACGAGCCGTGCTGATGATGGCCTTGATCCTGCAGCTACACAATTTACTATCCCTTTGAAAAGGTAACGATTGTCGATAAACAGAGCAACGAAAGCGTTAGGGCTGCTGCAGTCCGCTGACCCCAGCACAGGGCCCCATTTCCCCCCGTTTCCGTGGCGAGCACGCCCTTCGACGATACCCCTCGGGCGAGGAGCGATGCATCGCCTGCAAGTTGTGCGAGGCGGTGAGTTTCGCCCCCGCAGCACCTTGGCCGGGCCTCATGCGCGCCCTCAGCCACCGCATTACTGACATGCCCCATTCCCTCGCAGATATGCCCTGCTCAGGCCATCACCATCGAGGCCGAGGAGCGCGCCGACGGTTCTCGCCGCACAACCCGCTACGACATCGACATGACAAAGTGCATCTACTGCGGCTTCTGCCAGGAGTCGTGCCCCGTTGACGCCATTGTCGAGAGCCCCAACGCCGAGTACGCGACCGAGACGAGGGAGGAGCTGCTGTACAACAAAGGTGCGTTTTCTCGTCATCCTTTCAAGTCTATTGTCGGGCTAACACACAGACGCCGCAGAGAAACTGCTGTCCAACGGAGACAAGTGGGAGCCTGAGCTGGCCGCCGTCATCCGCGCCGACTCGCCTTACCGATGAACGACCAGCCGCCACGCAAAAACCACGCGCGACATTATCCATACTGCCTTTTCGATTCCATTTTGTAATGCACACGGGTAGAGCGCGCCGGCACGGAGAGCAGGCCGAGTCGAGGCTCAATTACCATCCATCAGGGGGGGGGGCGAGGCAAGATTCACGACGCAAAAGAGTTTGTACATATATTGCTGTCTGATTCTGGAATCCAAGTGATGGTGATGCCGTGCCGTGGACAGCTTCTCAACGCGGCAAATTAGTTCACGCCGGCAACGGGTGCATAAATATCGAGGTACAGTCGCGTATGCAACCCGCAACTATTACTATAGTGACATCGTACGGCAATCCCATGCTTCGTCTCCCCCTTTCCGAGTGACCTGATGCTAATGTAGATAACCGACCTGGCCCCCTAGCATCTACGTGTTTTTGGCTCGTTGTTGTCCTCGGCCGCCGCCGCCGCCGTAAGGAGTAACTCCATGAGGCCGACGGCCACCTGGCGCATCGAGTCGTGGTAGGCGGCGGCGTTCGGGTAAAAGAGACACACAGGGCTGTCCGAGGGCCCGCCAAATTCGATAGCGAGGCTGTGGACGCGAGCGGCGCCGCACTCGTGCGCGTAGTAGGGCCCGCGCGCCTGGTCGAGGCTGGAGCCGCTCGAGGCCGCCGCCCACGACAGCGGCAGGGCCTCGTAGGGCGTGGTGCCGGCGCGCGTCATGGCGGCGCGCATGCGCTCGGCAGCGGCCTGCTCGGCGCGCAGATCGTCGGGCTCCATGAACTCGCTATAGGGGCTGTTGTTGCTGCTGTTGTTGCTGCTCTTGCCAAGGGCGGTATTCGCGGCACCCACGTCATCGAAGCCGGGCATCGGGACGCCGCGCATGCCATCGTAGTTGGCGTTGATGAAGCTCTGCTGTGGGTCCGTAGTCTGGACGTGGTCGCCGTCGCCCCAGCCGTAGAGCACCCAGCCGCTAAACGAGTGCAGGTCGAGGAACCACGACAACCGGCGGCGGTAGCGCCGCAGCACCCAAGCGACGTTGCGCGTCTCGGGCTCCGACATGGGCGCCGCGCCGTGGAACAGCTGGCTCTCCGGGTTATCCGAGGCCGGGGTGACGAAGCCGGCCGAGACGTTAAAGAGGCGCCTGTAGTCCCACAAGTAGGCAAAGTTGCGGTTGAGGTCGACGCCGACGCCGCGCCCGCCCGCGACGCGCGCCTCAGGGTTGCGGTTCTTGCGCCAGCACGTGTTGGTGCGCTGGTCGTAGGCGACGCCGTCGGGGTTGGCGAGCGGCAGGACGACAAGGCCGGCGGACAGGGCGGTGCGGACTTGGCTGCTCGTGTACGTCAAGTTGCCGTATCGAAGACCGGTGCCCCGGGCGCGGGCGGCGAGGAGATCCGCCACAAAGTAGAGCACGTAATCGGGCCCGCCGCGCTCGCGGGCGTGGATGCCGCTGAGGATGAAGACCCTGGGGTCCCCGATGGCTAAGCCGTGAAGCTGGCGGTTGTGAAAGGTTGGCTCAGGAGCGCAAAAGTACTTGACGTCGCCGCTGTACGCACGCGCGAGGCCCTCGAGCCCCGACTTGATCTCGTGAATGTTGAGGATCGATCTCAGTGGCCGGTCGGCGGCCCCGATGCCTACGGGAGGATGCGATCCATTCTTGAACCGGTCACCCTTGCCAATTGGGAATTCGGCAAAAGTGGGCAACGGAGAGCCGGCCGAAGTGGTTGGGCTTTGAATGGAGCCGCGCCTCTGAGGGCGGCGCCCCATATGAAAGTCGCTTGCGCTGCCCTCCTCGTCGGGGAGAATACAGGCGTCGACCGTCAGGCTGATTGTGGCCAGGAGCAGGACGGTCGGGAACTTCATGGTGGGAGACGAGGCCGCGTTGAGCGATACAAAGGAGGCGACAGCGGCGGGAAACGTATCTTGCTATCTTGAACCGATGTGGTTGGGGCAGAAGACGCGAGGAGACCGGCTGCCTCGCATGTTTTATATCACGTTCGGGCCAAGGGTCCGAACGAAGCTCATGCTCAGACGACCGCTGCGATGGCACCATGTTCCCTTCAATTCGCAAATGAAGACAGTCGAGCGACAAGGGTTGTAGGAGGCATGCAACTCGACCGGAGGCCGTAGGGGAGTTGAGCAGGATGCGAAGAAATTGGCATGAGACGATGCGGTGGTGACACAGATGCTCGTGTTGCAAAGTTAGTCGGGGCCGTTGCCACTTGAAGCGCCTCTTGATAGAGTTTAATGTGCGAGCGGCGCAGGTAGCTTGAAGAGCTATCCTGCTGCGACCTACCGTATCTGTATCTGTTTACAGTAGGTTACCGCACTCGCTGAGCAGTATGCTGATGTTAGTCCCTCGAAAGAGGCACGGCGGTTCGTCCAATTTGCCGCACAACAGTTTCGAGGTTCCGGCTCCACGGGGCCACAGACAAAGGGCCAGTGATCCCGCCCTGAACATGGCCAGCTGGTCCTTGACCAACTCGACAGTTCATGCGAGTACATCGACTCATAGATTTCCTTTGGTTTCCAGCACATGGGCGCAGGCCAGGAGGCAGGATAAGCTCGGCCTCACCGATCCTTGGTCCACCAGAATGGCTTCTCCGAGTGTCGTACGAGAAACGGCCCCAAGCCGCTCTTGTCGAATGATCCGGCAGCTCCCCCCCCCCTTTACAAGGGGTCGCAGGCGGATCCTGACCCGTCAGCAAGGCCACGAAGCGCGGTCAATGGGGGTCAATGGGTGTGATGATGGCAGGCCTCGAGGGGCATGGGCTGTTTCCTGGCCGCTTCGGTTTTGTCACTCGCCTGAGGACCATCCGCGGGGGAATGGGCCAACGAGCCAGAAGTCCACCTGAAATGGGGCCGTGAGCTCGAGTGGTGCGAGGCCTCGTCTGCTCGCACTGGGTGCGGATCATGGTGAAGGCGGTTGAGGCTCCACGGCCCGTGGTCGTCGAGCGCACAGTCGGTTTGTCAGAGGTCCATGGAGCGAGAAGCATGTGGCTTTCGAGTTGATGATGGGTTCTGTTGATGTTGCTGGAAAACCCGAGCCTCAATTTTTGACGTTACGAAATCGAACCTTGGGGCGACTCGGGCCGACTTACACCACAGCCAATGAACATTCGCTGTTTATGTACTCCGTACAGTAGAGGGCGATTATGTAAGGCGCACAGCTCCCCGGCAAGGCGTCACGTGCCTGTATCCAATCAGCCAGCTTCCTCCATGGCAGCAAAGCTCCGAGAAATTTACCCGTCACAGCCTCCGACCGACAGCCTTTCCTCTGCCGCCAGACAACAAACGTCGCCGCCAAATCGCGACCCCCTTTCTCGTCAACGCCGTCGTCATGTTCCGCACCGCCATCCTCCGCGCCGTCGCCGCCCCCGCCGTCCGCGCCGTCGCTCGCCCCGCCGCCGCCGTGAGGCAAACGTCATTGCTGGCCGCTGCTCGCCCCGTCGTGCCGCGCCTCCAGAACCTCGTCGCCGTGAGGATGTACAGCGCCGGCGGCGGCTTGGACAAGGAGGCCGTCGAGGGCCGTATCATGAGCTTGCTGCAGGGCTTCGACAAGGTGTGCCCTACCTGGGTCAATCTACCGTCCATAACTGACGCAGACTCTCCTCTCCAGGTCAACGACGTCGCCAACGTACGCACCACGCCTCGTGCCTCCCTCGACACTGTTCCCCCCGCGATAACCAGGACCGTCTGACCCCTTTGCACAGATCAAGCCCACCGCCCACTTCGTCAACGACTTAGGCCTCGATAGCCTCGACACCGTCGAGGTCGTCATGGCCATTGAGGAGGAATTCAGCATCGAGATTCCCGACAAGGATGCCGACAAGATCCACTCAGGTGCGTTCCTCAAGACATGCTTCACCCATGCCATGCTTGACAGTGGCGCATGCTGACGCGCCGTGACTCCCGCAGTCAGCCAGGCAGTCGAGTACATCCTGAACCAGCCCGACGCCAGCTAAGAGGTGCCGTCGATGCCTCCGGAACCACGTCTCCCCCGTCGCCGCTGTACCAACAATTTTCCTCTCGCATCGAGTTTGCCGGCCTTGGCATCTAGATACGGATTCTGGCTTTTCTTTTGGTGCATATTGGGCAACGCATGGCCCTCTTTGAAGGCGCCCTGTGTCATGCGGTCGATTTGCAGGCTCAAGCGGTGGGGGGGTCCTCTGGGAAGAAAGCTTGGAAGCGAAGAGAAGTCATGCGTGGTTCCGGAACGTTGGGATGAGGTGGCGGCGGAGGATACGACAGGAACACACAGAGCTGAAGGCGATGGGTATACACAGGTCCCGAAGCAAAGGGGTGTGCGTGTGCCTGTGGGGAGCGCGGCGCAGTTGAGCCGCCGTGACGGATTCCCGTGTATGAATGTCAACAAGATGAACCCTTTTTTTGTTCCTCGTTTGCCACTGCGGCTCGTCTCCGTCGACTCTCCCACCACCGGGTGACTGCACGTGCTTTACCATGATTTTGGCGCGGACGCTGGAGTATTTACATGCAGACAAGGAAAAGAGCAGCTGGCCATCTCGACGAGGCATGTGGATGAATTGGCCGGCGACTGGACCATCACGGTGGCGGCAGCGGACAAGACGTCTTCATTCCGATGCGATCCCCTCAACTCTTGTTCCACCTTTCTCGTCTGCAACAGGTCGTTGTCTGCAACGGGCGGCACCAGCTTCAACACTAGGTCCGTTGTCCTCTCGTCGCAGTCCGCACTCAGTCCCAGCTCAAGCATCCCAAAAAACCAAGACGAAACAGATCGTCGACGTGAAATCACATGAAATGAAATAAACCCCGTTTCCTTTTTATGTCCCCTTTTCCATCCCGCATTCCCATGCGCCACCCTGAAGCCGTCTCGTCACGTCGTCAGCAACTGGCCTTGCCCATTTTCCCCTTTCCCCACCACTGTCGTATCGTCGAGCTGTCATCCACCGGAATTCGCACACGGTGTGCAGTGGAGGGTAGGGGGTTAGGGGGAGACGACACGGAACAGGCGAACCGCTGCCTTGGTTCGCTGACTTCGTCTGCCCTGTCCCCATCCTGCACGCAGCCCAGCCGAGCGAAAGGGCCAAGCCAGAGCAACAAGCTCGCCGTCCGTCGCCTTGCTGCCGTTCCCAATCACATGCGCAGGACCCTCGACCTTGCCGGCTGCAAAGAAATGAGACGAAAGCAACCGAAAAGCCATGCCGATGTATTCGTTCTTGGTTTTAAATATGCAAACATGTCCGATTATTTTGATCCTTCGTAATATTTTTTCCTGGGCCAATGCAATTAAGAAATCATAGAAAGATGAGAGACCGAGGCGAGTGAGCAAGCACACGCTCAGATGTGCCGCCCGCCGAAAAGGGCCGCCACGGAGTCCGGAGTGGAGTGGCCCGCTCGCGGTGGTGCCGGAGTCATAAAGTCGTCAGTTTTTAGTGCAGATGCTGCCCGCTCCTTGTCAGTCGTCGGGACGGGAAAACGTGCCCTTGCCTGGTCGGCGTCATCGCCCGTCGATCGGCATCGCGTCTCTGGGATCCTTGGAGTTGCTGTGGGCGCCCTTACCGGCCGCAGCTCCGGCATAGCTGCCCAGACCGCCCAGGGCTAAGCCGGCCGAGGCGCGCTTGCGCACACGGGCCGAGCCAGAATCGTCGACGTCCATGCTGAAGACAAAGGCGGGGTCCTCCTCGTCGATGGGCGTGGTGAAGCGGCCCGTCATGGACGAGCCGACGCTGCCGCTCGAGACGTGGCGCTCCATGGTGCGGTCCTTGCCGATGGCGCCCATGCCACCGCCGGATATCCGCGCCGTCGTGGGATGTAGCAGCGGGCTCGAGCCGCCCATGCCGTCATCGAGCCGGCTGCGCTGGAGCTGCTGGGACAGGGCCGACATGGACTCACTGCAGGCGCGCGAGGCAGAGGGGCGCGAGGCGGCGGCGGCGTGGCCCTTGAAGCCGTCGCCCATTTCCTGGGCCAGCGTCGACTTCCGCAGAGGGCTCCCGACGTGGCCAAAGGCGGAGCCGGCGGTCCTCGCGGCTCGCGTCGCGTCCTCCTCCTCCTTTTGGCGCTGGAAGAGGGGGCCCCATCGGCTGGGGCTCGAGCCGAGGGGGCTGCCGTACTTGGATAGGCCGTCGACGCTGGGGTCGCTGTCGGCGCGCATGGAGCCACGGCGGGCCTTTTCGGCGGGGGTCAAAAGGTCCTGCAGGTTCTCGGGTACGTAGTTTTCGGGCACATTGTCGCCGTCGTCGCCAAAAGCAAAGCCAGCCTCCCAGTCGCGGTCGACCGAGGCGGCCTTGGGTAGGCTGGCGCTCAGCATCCTGGGCTTTGCGTACCTGGACGAGTGCATAGCTCGCTTGCCAAAGTACTCGTCGCCGTTGGCGGGCTGCGAGTTGGGGGGGCTGCTGGCGGTGGGGGTGGCGAGGTGCTCTGAGGAGCCAAAGGCCGACGTGTGCAGCAGCTTGAGCGTCTCCGAGGTGCGCGGTGACTCGCGAGCGCTGCTCAGAGACAAGGTGGGCGAGTCGAGGCCAAACTTGGACGGGACGGAAGAGGGCCATGGGGCCGAGGGGAAGCGGGCGGCGTTGGAGATGCCGTTGGAGTCGAACGACGAGGGCAGGGGGGCGTCGAGGACCGACAGGCCCTTGCCGTTGACAGGAGAGCGGCCGAAGCCGAGGCGAGCGGCGTCGTCGTCGCGCGGGGAGTCGTAGTTGGAGTGGGAATAGGGCATGTCGACGGCGGGGATGGCACTGTCGAGGCCGTGGTGGGCATGGTGCTGGGAGACATGGCGGTCGTCGGGCGGGTACTGGTAGAGGGACGAGGTGAGGGCGCTGGCCGAGGCGCCGTGGCTGTAGGCGGTGGCCGAGGCCGAGGTCGGGGAGGCGGAGCCGGGAGAAGCCCTCGAGGCGAGGTTTACGGGCGCGGCGCCGATGGTGACGCCGTTTTTGCCGTAGTTGATGCGACGGCCGTCGGGGAGAACGTGGACGTTGGCGCACTTGGGGCCGAATTTGCAGTTGCCCTGGGAGAGAAGAGTAAGTAAGTGGGCGAGTACGACGGAAGGGGTGTTGGCGAGAAAGAGAGAACTGACCTTTGCAAAGTATTTGCAGACCGTCTCGGCCGAGGCGCCAATGTCGTGGCTGAAGGGACAGGCATTGCCGGCCTGGCATGCGCCCTGGCGGAAGAATTTGCAGGGGACGTGCGAGGTATCTGTGACGGCACGCCGGTCAGCGGAGTCTGGCCTTGGGTCTTCGCGGCTCTTGCGTCGGCGGTGCTGGTGATGGTGGTGGTTGTCCGGGACAGGGAGCTGGCGGTGGGGCAGGAGGAAGTTATGACGATGGTGATGATGGTTGAGGTGGTGCTGGGGAGCGTCGCGCATCGAGGGCTCGCCGGGGGCAAGGGCGGGCGCGAGGCGGTACGACGCACTGGGAGGACTTCGGGCCATCATCTGGGCAGCGCCGGGGCCAGCAGCGGCAGCGGGGATGCTGAGGCTCCCGCTGCGCATGTGGCGAAACTCGGGCATCGTCGTCGTGGAGGCGGCGGGGATCGGGTGTCGAGGCGGCGGCGGCGGCGAGCGCCGTCTGGTGGCAGAGGGAAGAGGCGGCGAGAGGAGAAGTCGAGGAGGAGGAGAAGTTAGAGGTGTAGTAGTTGTTGTGGTGGTGGTGGTGGTGGTGGTGCTGGCGGTGGTGGTGAGAGGAGGTCGAAGGTGAGGCGGAGGAGGAGGCACAGCGGCGGCGGCGGCGGCGGCGGCGGCAGAAGTAGCGGCGGCGGCGGCGGCGGCGGCGCAGGCGCTGCTGAGCATGACGGGTGGAGAAAAGGAGAAAGAGAGAGAGAAAGGAGGGGGAGGGGGAGGGGAGGAGGTGAAAGTCTCCCCGGTGTTTATTAGGTAATCCGGCAGTCCGAAGGCGACGACGACGCCTAATAAACTGGAGCCGGCAGCCAGGATTTGCCGCAGCGCATCATCCAGTCAATTGCTGATGAAGCGTCAGATGGGGCTGAACTTGGACATCACACGTGTGTGTGCCAGGCTCGTAACGACAGGAAAGGGAAAAGACACAAGCATTTGCACTTACACGAAGGGTTTCACCAACAGGCTCGGCCACGGGTGACACCAGGAAATGGGATGGAGGCAGACAAGAGGTCTTTACTCTTTGGTAAACCTGGGCCTGCTTTGTATTATTCAGGCAAAGCCCCTCCATCGCCGAGGACCCCTCTGATCCCCCAGCAGGGTCGCCACAGGAAAACCGAGGCACCGGAGAAGCCGCCTGGTTGGTCGTGTTTCAGCAGTCTCGCCCTCTCACGCCGCCGCCACGGACGCGAGGAGAAGGGGGGGCGGCTCGATCACCTGCCGAGCCCGACTGCGCCGGATGCGGTTAACCGGGATCCAGGCGGGCGGCCCCGTCAGAGTGCCAAGGGTGGCGTCCATCTCCTTTGTTTGCCCATGCTGTTCTATTTTGTTTTGATTCTATTTTACGCTTTTTCATTCCCGCATCTTGTGCGACGACGGCTCATTGGCGGAAAAGAGGTTGGCGGCGGCCAGAGACTTTAAACAAACGACGACCTGATTGCAAGGACGCATGGATGGATGGATGGGCGCCTGAGCACCAGCGACACTATACCTACCAAGGACGAAACGAAAAAAGAAGTAATTACAGTAAACAAAAAACCCGGCCAACCAACAAAGCGGAGCACGAGGGCGAATCGGCAACGGGGGAGGTCAGCAAGGGCCAAGACTGGGGAGGCCAGATGACGGTCGCCGGTGGCTCTGGCAGATGATGACGCTTCGACATGGCCGCTCAAGGTACTTTTAACTATCCCAAGGTAAGCAGGTGACTGGGACAAGAGGCCCTCCATCTTGGATGGTGCCGACTGCGACACGCGGGCTGACAGGGCGACGAGACGAGCGGAAGAGTGGGCGCCGGCTAGTTGGTCGTTGGCTTGTTTACCAACGACTTGGCGAGATGTAATCGTGAATTTGTAGTCCAGCCAAGTTCTGCGTTCCAGTCAGCCGTGAAGACGGGTGTCTAGCATGGGCACGTGGAGTCTATTATATGCGAGTGCGTATCCCGAGACATGGACCGAGCCTCGCTCCCTCGCTCGGCTTGAACAAGTCTTACCGCCCCGACTAAATGTAGGACCGCTCCGGCTAGAGAGACCTGTCTTATCTTATACCCTCACCCAAGAATAGAGTGGCCAATGTGTGTACTCTTGTTCACTGTCCCTCGCTCCCCTTTGCCATGGTTTGCCTCGCTCGCTGTTGAAGACTTCTGGCCTGCCGATAATACGGACACGCGCCCGCGCCGTGTCTTTGGCACACGTCCACGACTCCTCCTCCTTGTTCAGGCGCATCACGGTAGTTGGCATGGGCTTGAGCACCGATTCCATGCACCCCGCATGCTTTTCCCCGATGGCGCAGGCCAAAGCCTGGACTCAGCCACGCGCACACACGGCAAGACCGCCATCCCCATGATGATGTCAGTCAAGGCTGACGGGTGGGTGGGTGGCTTGTGCGTGTGCGTGTGCGTGTGCGTGTGCGTGTGCGTGTGCGTGTGCAGTGCAGCGCCTCTCTATTCTCAAGTAGCGTCCCCGGCGCCTTGGAGATGGGTTTGGACCATGGCAGCTGGCTCGACGCGCCGCACGCGTCAGCACTCGCTGCCCACGGAAAAGTGGTGACAGTTCCGAGCAGCAGCAGCGTCAAGGATCCGCCACGGTCGTTCCAATTTTCCCATTTCCCCCCAGCGCCCGCACGCCCGCTCGCCCATTCGGTACCCTCCTCGCGGAGTTTGACTGCGAATCTGCCAAAGCGGCCACGCAGCACCGTCCATCCTTGAACTCACACCATGCGGCCCCGCCTGGAGGAGTGAGCCAGGCTAGTCTCACCAGCACACCCCTCCCTCCGAGGCCCCTCGGTATGTCCGTTGGGCCCGCGGGCGTCTAACCTCGCGCCCGCTGCCGGGCCAAACCTTGGGCTTGCCCGTGCGTCAGCCTCTCCAGCGGCGGCAGCTGCCGGGTCTGGATCGTTGCACCAGGCACGTGTAACTGCGCTGCTGGAAAAGACTTGGTAAACCCCAAAGTCGGGTGTTTCTCGGGGCGCGGAAGGCGGGGACGGGCCGGCGGAATCACGGGATCCGGTGTACCGCTGCGGCCCCACATCGGTCGCGGCCGTCCCTTCCCGCCGACCGAAGGCCCGGGTGACATGCCCTACAGAAGAGCCCAGCCTGATACCTGTTCCGTGGCACAGGGGAATGACAGGGCGTCGTGCACTCGGGTGGTTGCGGAAATGACTCATACTGGCTCATTGCACCCGGCTTGGCGTGTCTGACGTCCGAATACGTGACACTTGCTCGACCGTCGCACAGAATGAACGACGAAAGCACGGGTGTAGAGGAGAGTCCAGGTTCAAGTCGGGCCAACCTTTTCAAGCGAATGGGAGTGACAGCTCATGATTTCTTCACGTCGCAAAAAAAGGAATTGAAGCGGCGGCACCGCCCGTCACTTCTCGCAGCATAGGCCCGTGGGCGGACGGCGCACGCTGCTGCGTCAGGATGATTCATTCTCGCTTACGGTTCTTTGGGAGGAAGATCGCTTGGTGTGACACGAATGATGATGCATCATGAGTCGACGAATGAACAGTGATGCCTCCCCTGGCACGGGGCGTGCAGACGAGGGTGCCAACGGTATATATATGACTGAATGCTTCGCCCTGTAGCAGCTTCATCGATTGAACAGTAGAGCACAAGCAGCACGAAGCAAACATGAATCGCATCTGTGCAAACGCGCGTGAAATGTGTGAGTTCCTCGCCCCCTTTATCGAGAGGAGCGGCAGCGGCACGGGGAAACAGACATTGCCCAGAAGGCACTCTGCGGTGATGACGAGCAAGGAACGACATCATACCCATGAGATATTATTCCAAGCTACCAAAGGAAGAGATCGACATCGTCTGAGCAGTTTCGGTCACTTCACCTCCGCTCACCGCATATATGCCCCTTCTTCATGTTGCGAGGACAAAGACCTCGGGCTAACGACGCAAATGTTGACTCGTTGCGCAGCACTACAAATGAAAGAAACGTGATGAGAAACCAGGTGCGTTTTTTCCTTTGTACAAGCAATCGTCCACCCAAGCTCCATCGACTACCTATGCGCCAGCATCTCCCGCAGCGCCTCGACCTCGGCCTCTCGCCGCGCCAGCCGAAGCCGCAGCTCGTCGCGCTCGCCTGTCACCTCGCCCAGCGCGCGCTCCAGTTCCGCGATGCGGTCGAGGCGCCGCTGGCGGTACTTGCGTGCGGCCAGGGTGTTGCGCCGGCGCCTGGCGGCCGCGTCGTCGCCGTCTGGGGTGCGGGCGGGTGAGCCGCCAAGGACGGGGACTCGAGGGCTGGGGGTTGTGTTCTGCCGCCGCCGGGGACTATGCGCGGGGCGGGCAAGCTCCGTGCTGGACGAGGGGGGCATGACTGTTGGGGTTGAGGATGGCTCGGGCGCCGTGTACGACACAAGGGGAGGGGGTGCTGTAAGAATGGCATCGGGGGCGGTATTGGTGATTTGTTCGGTCCTTTCTTGGGCGCTGGCAGTCTCTTCTTGGACCGAGACAATATGGCCATGGCTTTGTTGACCATGGCGCAGGACATCTTCTGGAGACACTTGCGGTGAGCAGACGATCCTGAATCAGACATAAAAACACATTCACTTCAATGCCGCCAGAGATAAACATACCCATCAACCCCAAGCCAACACCCCAAGCCCCCAGCCCAAACGTCTCCGGCATCACCACGCCCTCCCCCCCAGGAACCTCAGGATACGAACTGACAGGGTCAGGCAGCCGCGCGGCGGTCGGCCAGTCATCATCGGCATCCGCCACAGATGACCACGGCCACGGCGGTTCACCAGGGGGGCACCGGTTCCTTTCGCTGCTGGGGTCGGAAAAAGGCCAGGCCCAGCTGTGAAGGTGTGATGACGGTTGTTCCCGCGGCGGTGTCCATGGGCTCAGGGTCCTTGCCGCCTCCCCCTGGTTGGCGGAGAGGCGCTGCGACGGGCTGGCTGGGTGATCAGAGGGCTATGGATGCCCCGGTGGTGATTACTTGTTTTTATTCCCCTGGGGCCGTCGAGGGGCAGAGGGGAAAGTAGTGGTGATGGACAACCGGCAATAAGGAGGGATGGGGAGGGATGGGGAGGGACGAAGTGTGAGAGCCCCCCTCCTTTTTATCTGCCAGCACACTCCAGGCTCTGTCACGTTTATTAAACAGTCGAGTCAGGTCATCAAATGGGTGCTGATTCAGTAGAAAGGCATCGCACCTTGATGCCTGTAGCCTTGGGATGCCAACAGGCCCGTAGAGTCAGAACCAAGCTAATAAGAGCCCTGGGGAGATGAGCCGGACCACCTACACGAAGTAGAGGTGAGTCACAGCTACTACCTCTGAGCAGAGTCCTGAATGTGGTTTCGGGTATTCTTTTCCCATTCCACAGCTGGATATACAAGAAACAAACAACCAACATCCCTGCGCGGGTGAGCCGGCTTGGGTTCGGCGTGAGTCACAGCCTGCGTGCGTGCTTCTCCACAACACTCCATAGGTCGACTTACACCCCCCGCCCCCCTCACCGGCCAGTAAAGCGCTTCTCCAGGTGTCGCAAGGGCACATACGTCAGCGCGCTCACGACAAAGGCCACCTCGAAGCCAATGTCGCCCGTCGTCTTGGCAATGGGCCCCGTCCACCACGCCTGGTCCATGCACGGCACCACGAGGCCGAAGCAGACGACGCCCGCGCCGAGGGCCGCCGCGCCGAGGGGCAGGCGGCGTGCCGAGTTCCAGACGGCGTGGTCGTAGGCGTCGTAGCGGCCGCGGCGGAAGACGAGGTGCTCGGCGGCGACGATGCCGACAAAGGCTGCCGACCAGTAGCCGATGAGGGCGACGAAGTTTTCCAGGTTGACTAGGAAGTTGTCGACGGCCGCAATGGCCACGGGGATGACGACGGCCGTCGTGACGATGGAAAAGACGTAGCGCGGCACCCGGGCCAGCCACGGGACCAGCGTCTGGAAGTTGAGCGAGATGGCGTAAAAGGTGCCGCACGTGTTGCCGAGCAGCGACAGCGCCAGCACCACGACGACAAACTTGCCGAAGCCGCCCGCGGGAGCCAGCATGCCGGCGAGGGCGCCGCCGACCAGGTTGCGCCCGTAGCGGTCCTCCCAGTCCGGGTTGTTGGGGATGGCGCGGGCGACGGCGGCCCCCAGCGTCATGAGCAGCACTGTAGGGATGAGGAGGCCCCAGTAGGTGTAGTGAAAGACGCGCGAGCTGGCGGCGGGGGTCAGCAACCGCGCCGTCGTGGGCCGTGGGCGACTCACGATGGGACCTTGGGGTCAAAATAAGTCGTCAGGTCGCTGGCAATGGCGGCCCAGGGGAGCTGGTAGCTGGCGACAATCATGCCAAAGTTGAGCACCTGGCGCGCGGTCGGGGGCTGGTCGGGCTGCGACTGCTTGGCGAGGCCATCGCCGCCGACGCCGGCAGCGATGGCGATGCTGACGAGGGCGGCCACAAAGGCATACGTCTCGAAGATGTGCAGGACAGTGAAGCCGGCAAAGGAGACGAGCAGAGAGAGGAGGGCGATGATGACTATGCCGAGGTTGGGCGTCAGGGTGCCGTCCGAGACGGCCGAGATGCACTGGCCGCCGACGACGCAGATGATGACGGTGAAGCCTGTGAGGGTGGCGAGGTTGAGAAGGACAGGGATGGAGACGAGGTAGCGGCTGGTGACCGTCAGCTGGCTCTCACGACTCGCATCCGAGGGGGCTGCGTACCCGAAACTGTAGCGGGCCTGGATCATCTGCCTCATGCCTGTCTTGGGGCCGAGGATGGCGAGGGCAGCCGGGGCAAGGGTGGAGAGAAGGCAGAAGAAGAGGATGACGAGGGCCGAGTCGCGGAGGCCGAGGCCGTAGAGCGAGGGGCCCAGCATGCCAAAGGTGATGCTGGGGAGCTGTCAGCGGCCGTACGAGGCAGCAGACAGGGATAACTGACCCGAGGATATTTGAATTGATGGAGAACCAGACAGTAAAGATGTTGAAGAAGCGCGTGTGGCGGCGCTCGGCAGGCGGCAGCGGGCGGATGCCATTTTGCTCGACACGGCCCAGGCGCAGGATCCGGTGCAGCAGGCCGGCCGAGGGCGAGGGCGGCGAGTCGACGATGGAGGCGGTGCCGGGGCGCGGCTGGTGAAGCTTGTCGGCGCCGGCCTGAGACATGATGGCGATGACGATGATGAGGATCAAGATCTGACGTTGCGGGTCCTCCGCCGCTGTCGTCTGATGGTGCCCCGTCGCCCCCCGTCTTCTAATTCATCACCATGCCCTGGCTGACGGCGGAACGGACCGAGGGCTGCTGCGGGTGTGCAGCTGCGGGTGTGCCGCTGCGCTCGACAGCGGAGGCTAACCAGGCAGGATGAAGCTGGCGATGAAGGAGGGGGACTGGTGGCATCGACTATATACACACATACAGTAATATGGACGCGCCTCACAGGTACATACCCTGTACCCGGCCGAACCCAGAAGGGTAAAGTCTCCGGGTAAATCAAAAAGTCAAAACCCGGAATTGACGACATGATTAATAGCCCGAGGAGCCTTGAAGGTACCTCGACCGCACGGCAAGTATCACGGGCCGCGCGCACATGGCATGCTGGCGGCTTCAAGTGACCCCGCTGGACACTCTTTCCAGATATCACTACTGCGAGGTACTTGCAGCGTCACGACATGATGGAAGCTTTGGATTCCCTGCCTCAACCAACAGCCCCTGGAGAGTTAAAAGGGATACCTAGCTGGCTACTGCGTGCCTCTAACATTACAGTATAAGAGCTGGTGCCGGGCTCTCCCGGCCTTGGCAACTCTACAACGTCTGACGCGGATAAATAAGACAGTATTGAAGCACCAAATGATTCCGTCTTCAACCCGGGAGGCATGGCTTGACAATTAATTAATTACACCTCAATGCGCCGGGTCATCGACGACACCGACTCAACCACAAAGGCAGTCTTGCTCTAGGCCACGTGTGCCTTGCCGCGGAAAAACTGCCCCAGACCCCCCATCAGCCCGCCCAGCGTGCCCCCGCCGTCTGCCGCCATGGCCGCGCGGATCCACCCCGGCAGCTTGCTCCGCACCCGCTCCGTCCCGTACCGCCGGTCCGCCAGCACAATCGCCGCGTAGTCGCCCCGGTGCCGGATCGCCCGCCCGATGCTCTGGTTGACGGCCCGCATGCACGCGTTTTCGTAAAAGTCGCGCGCCGCCTGCTTGGCCGCGTCGCGCGCCGTCGTCGGACTGGCCGCCAGCGCCGTCGACTCGACATACTCCATCTTGGCCTTCCACTCGGGCGACGCCATGTTCGGGTACGGCATCCCGACCACCACCACGCACCGGCCCAGCCGGTCCGAAAAATTGATGCCCTCGGACATCTTGCCCCCGACCACGCTCAGCAGCACCGCGCCGTTGGCCTTGCCCTCGCCTCCCTCGATGGCCTCTGCGTACTGCTCCAGCACCTCGTCGCTCGACCCCCCCTTGGCCTCGAGAAATATAGACTTGCGCCCCTGTAGCCGCTCCCAGATGGACTGCCCTTTGCGCTGCTGCGGCGCTCGCTGCCACGTGCCCACCACCTCGTCGAGGTACCCGTAGCTCGGGAAGAAGACGACGACCCCGTCGGGCACCACGGCGCAAATGTTGAGAATCGTGAGCCCAAGCTCCGCAATCAGCCCCTTGTCCCCGCGCCGCTGGAAGCTAAACTCAAACGGCGTTCCGCTCGGTCGCGTCCCGGCCAGCGTCCACACACACAGGTTCTCGGCCGGCACCACGTGGTCGCAGCTGAGCGTCGTCAACTTGGTCTCGGCGAGCGACGGAAACAGGTGCTTCTTGTAGTCGTCAAATGGCGACATGGTGCCCCCGGCGAGAAGCACGGCTCGCGCGCTCGACACAATCGACGAAAACGCATGCGTCGGCGATAGCAGCAAGTACGACAGCTGCACGTCCGCCGGCGGGCCCGAGACCTTTTCGTAAAAGAAGCGGCCCTCTGTGCTCGTGTTCGTGAGGGCCACGAGAAACGACACCAGCGTGTGCAGAACTGGCGTGCTCGGCCTCGCAACGCCACATGCGCCCGGCTCCTTTTCACCCTCGACGTGCGCGGCGTAGCTCTCAATCTTGTAGGCCATCTTGGACTCTTGCACAAACTGAATCAGCTCGTACATGTTGATCTGGTCGATGCCCTTGGGCCGCGTCAGATCGCTCGCGGCAACAATGCCACGGTCTTCCTGCTCGAGCCAGTCAGCCACGCCTATCTCGACTGCCCGGTGGTCGCCTCCTACCTTGAGCGTCTTGGCCCCCTCCATCCACTCGGCCAAGCCATCAATCACCCGGCCCAGCCGCCCGACGTTGACGCGATTCTCGCCCTTGAGTCTCTTCCCGAAACGCTTGACATACACTCCCAGCATGCCTCTCGCCCTGCGCAGCTCGCCAAGTTTGACCTCTGCCGCGTGCACGCTGGCCACGGCATCCATGATGTTGTGCGCCTCGTCTATAATCACCACGTTGCCCTCGAGCTTGATCCCCAGCGCGTCGCGGGCCTTCTTCTGGAGCAAAAGGGGGTAAGGGAGAGTGATGATCTCCGCCGCCGGGAGCGCCGTCCGCGAGGCGTAGTACGGACACACGGCGAGGGACTTGCCAAGCTGATATAGGTCCTCAATGTCGGGCGACGTGGCCAATGCCGTGTCGCGGAACTGGTGCGTCTGGCTGAGCAGCGCCTCGCTGGGCGCGTAGGGGCACCTGGCGCCCGACTTGCCATGTTGCAGCTCGGCACAACGGTCGTTGATGGCCTGGACAGACCCGAGCCGCGACACCGAGGGGTTTATGCAGAGCCTCTGCCGAGACGAGAGGGGCAGCAGCTTGACCGCTTCCGACGTCGCTCCCTTTTCCTTGGCTACGGACGGCGGCAGCGAAGAGGGGAACGATGGCCGCCGCAGTTCGGCGATGAACTGCGAGAGCTGCGAGTGGGTTCTCGAGGTATAGTAAATCTACAGCGGTCACTATCTCGTCCTGCAGTCACTCGCGATTCGCCTCGCACCTTGATCCCTTCTTCCATCATGTCCTCCTCGTCCTGGTGCTTCTTTGGCCCTCCGAGGCCGAGCTGCTCCAAAACGGCTCGGGACTCCTTGCTCAGGCCCGAGAGAGCATCTTGAGAGTCTGCCTCGCGGCTCTCCCAGTCGTCGAGGAGCCACTCGGCGTCCTCGTCCACCACTGGCTTGGATGCTCCGGCGGGGGGGTTGTCTCTGCGCTGCCGTTTTCGAGACCGCTCTTCCAGCGACTTTTCCCTGTGCCTGATGGCTTCGAGGCGCTTTTCCCGCTCTTCCCATCTCTGGGCGAGGTCCTCTCTTTTCCGCCGCAGCAATTGCTCTATGAGCCAGGGGGGCTCGTCTTTGTACGCTGCCCCTGCATCTTCCAACGCGGCTTCATGTTTGCGAGACTTGTGATTCCGGAGCCACGTCAACGATGCGCAGATGAGTGACAAAGACTTGCCCTGGTGGTGAAGACGGTCAGTTTGCGCTCTCGAGGGCGCATCATGTGCGATATGCCTGCCGACAGAGCCAAGTAATGCATCGATGCCGCCCTATCGAAAGGGCAACTCTGAACATACTGTGCCCGTCGGGCTCTCTAGAATACCGACCTGCCCCTCGCCCGCCTCCAGCACCTGGTAGGCCGTCTTCATGAACTGCTCCTGGACATGGTACGGCGTGTAGGGATGGTGAAAGTCCAGCTCCTCCAGGCCGCGGGCGGCATCTTGAGGGCCATCATCAGTGGCGTCCATGACTGCGGATGGGCTCAGAGGGACACGTTCCATGGCATGCGCGCCATTGCGGACTCCGACCTGTGCGGACAGCTGCTTGATGACGCCTGTGGCCTTCATTGAGGCGCTCCCCCACATGCGGCCCCAGAAATTCATCGCGTCGAGGCAGTGCAGTCACGTGATCTTCGCGACGTGCACGGGCCAGCAGAAATGCGAATAAAATACAGCTTTAGGGTTGGGTTGCCCTCTCGCCTAGCAATTTTTCCGGGCTCCGAGCAAGCCCCAAGCAAGGTGCGGGCGCAAAACCACCACCACCCACACCTCGTCTTCGACGCAAAACACCGGAAAAGCGACACCACCCCCCGACGTCGCCATGCCTACCCGAACCTCGAAGACCCGCAAGCAGTACGTGCCTTGATATCCTTTGCTCAGGCTGGTCCGCGATGCATAGAGCGATGGGGGACAAGACGGTCGTCAAATCATGCGTCGGGCGTCGCGAGGCCTTACAACCACGCAACAACTCGGCGAGGGACGTTATGGGCTAACGTGTTATTCTTCTCGCTCTGTAGTCGCGGCCACGTCTCCCACGGTCATGGTCGCGTAGGCAAGCACCGCAAGCACCCCGGTGGTCGCGGTCTGGCCGGTGGTCAGCACCACCACCGCACCAACATGGACAAGGTTCGAAAGCCCGAGAGACGAGAGGCTCGAGAGGATCAGAGCTGATGCGTCGCAATAGTACCATCCGGGTTACTTTGGCAAGGTTGGCATGCGGTACTTCCACAAGCAGCAGAACCACTTCTGGAAGCCTGTCATCAACTTGGACAAGGTACACCATCCCCCTCCCTCAATTGCGAGTTTTGCTGGCGGACGGGACGGCCAGGGCAAGAATGGCAAGGGACTCACCGGCCAGCGGATGCCAATTGGAACAATTTGTTGGCAATTACGGCTTGGTGCAACTGCTAAATCTTCACACAGCTCTGGACCCTCGTCCCCACCGAGACCCGGGAAGCCTACATCTCCGGCTCCAAGAAGGACACCGTCCCCGTCCTCGACCTCCTCCCCCTCGGCTACTCCAAAGTCCTCGGCAAGGGCCGGCTCCCCGAAGTCCCCCTGGTCGTGCGTGCGAGGTGGGTGAGCAAGCTGGCGGAGAAGAAGATCAAGGACGCCGGCGGCGTCGTCGAGCTGGTGGCATAGATGAGAGGTCCGTCGGCTGCTGCTGCGGACTGGGAGTCATGGGGGCTTGCTTGCGCTACCGGGACCGGTTTTTTCGCATGTCGGAGATGGGGAAACTCTTGGGCGCCCTCGGCATGCTCCGAATGAATGGTTGGGAACAGGAACCTGGATTGGTCGGTTTCGAGCATTGCATCAGGGACTCTTGAGATGGAGTTTTTTTAACGAATAAAAATCAATTTCCGCCAATCCAGAAGTCGCTCAGCTGGGGATCAACTGGTGCAAGCGTCACTACCCCACAGGGCGTTGCCTGGCAATGGCCAAGTCGGCGTGATCAGTTGGCTGCGTCATTGGTCGCTTACATTTTCCAAGAATGCTCACGTGTATCCATACTATGATCTAGATCAGGCATACGTGGTATCATTGGATGCTGTCAAGGCGCTGGAGCCGACCTATGCTTATAATGTTACATGCAGTAGTACAGGAGTGCGGGTCGAGGTCTACGCCTCCAACATGTCCACCTCGTCCTCGTCGGCCAGCTCTTGGAGCTGGGCAGCGCGCAAAAAGTCGTGCTGCAGCGCCTGCTCGGCCGTGATACGCCGCGACGGGTCGAGCTCCATGCAGCGCTCCAGGAAGCGGACGGCGAGCTTCTCGTCGGCCGTCAGGGGCTTGTCGTCGGTGCGGCAGGTGCTCCAGAGGATAATCTTCTCCATGGTGAAGCCCTGCTGGCCGACGGTGGGGATGTTTGTGTCGAAGACGCAGCCGTGGAGGAGCCCCGCGGCCTTCATGCGCTTGGCGCCGAAGATGGTGGCAATCTCAATCATGGCCTCGACATCGTCGGCCGAGTTGAAAAAGGGGAAGCGCTTGGACAGGATGGTGAGGAGGATAACGCCGACGGACCAGATGTCAATGGCCGTCGTCTGCTCGGTGCACTTGAAGAGCACCTCGGGGGCACGGAAGCCCCTGGTACCGGCGCGGTTGGCGCGGCGCGAGGGCCGCGTGTCCGACTTGGGGTAGCCGGGCTGCGGGGTGGCCGTCGACTGGGCCCAGGTCGAGTTTGACTGGCGCAGCTTGCGGACCTCGCGGGGCTCGTGGCACAGGCACGGCTTGCAGTCGGAGCCCTCGCGCTCGGCCAGGCCAAAGTCGACGAGGACGCCGTGCTGTGTGGCCGGGTCGTAGAGGAAGTTTGTGGGCTTGATGTCGCGATGCAGGATCTTGTTTGCGTGGACACTGCGCAGGGCGGTAAAGAGCGCGCGCAGGTAGATGGCAATGTCCGGGATGGTCATGTCGCGGAAGTAGGAGCGGAAGTCGCCGTGGCGAAAGTAGGGCAGGATGGCGACGACCTGGTCCGTATGGCGAAAGGCGGTGATGAGCGGGCAGACGGACGGGCACTGGCGGAGGTCGTGTAGCAGTTCGAGCTCGTTGAGGATCCGCGCCGGGCTCGACGTGACGTAGATTTTCTTGATGGCGACGTATCGGGGGCGCCGCCGCGGAGAGCGATGGGCATGATGGTGCTTCCCGAGGGGCGGGGGCGTCCACTTGGACGAGCCATCTTGCATGTCCCAGCTGTTGTCGTAGCGGCTGTAGTGAAGATCCTCAGCCTTGAAGACGGTGGAAAAGGTACCTGGAGAGCGTCAGCGGCCGTGTCGGGGAGAGTTTTGGTAGCCGAACCTTCGCCAATGCGCTTGATTAAGCGATATTTTTCCTTGAACCCAGGGTAGTCTCTTTGCAGCCTGTCCATGTCGGCCTGAACGCTGCTCTCGACCCGGTCGTCCTCGGAGCTTTCATTGTCATCAGCCTCTTGGTCGTATGCGTCGTCGTCGTCGTCGTCGTCGACTTGCCCCTGCTGCTCCTCGTCGGCCTCCATCTCTTGTGTCTCGGTTGCCTCGCCTTGGTTGTCGTCGTCGTCGTCAGGCCGCGGCTCCTCGGAACCCGCGGAGGCTGCTTCGTCGTCGGCCATGACGACCGTCTCCTCGGTGCGAGCATCCTCGTGGATCTCAAAGGACTCGGCAGTCGTCATGTTGCGCTGATGCCGCCTCAACGAGCGCCGGGCGAAGACAACAACAGTGGATGGTAGCAGCAAGAGAAACGGTCGTTGACTCCGACCTCGTACCCAGGTATGTTGTGAGCAGGGAATTGCCCGTCAATAAGCGGTGGAGGAGGGCGTGGCTGCAGGGATCCAACGTGCTTGGTCTTGTCATTGTGTGTTCACTCGAACAAAGCCTTTGCTCAATAAAGACGCATTTGGAGGAGAGTATCGGTACATGATACTTGGGGGATCTAGTTGGCATGGATTAGGTATCTGTACATTTGTCGGCCCGGCCTGCTGACGCGCGCCTCTTATTCGCGCCTGGCGGGTGGATGCAGGCGCGTTTTTCCCCTCCAAGCAAGCAAAACAAAAAACATCGGTTGCTGAGGGACCAACCGCCATCCATCGTCCATCAACCTCGCCGGCCGGCATAGCGTCAACCCACCCATTGCGCTCGACGAGGGCCGCACCAGACCTCGGACTGCGCACAAATCTGAACACGCGCTCATCAGCATCGGTGGACGTCTTCCTGCGCCCGAGCCCGTCGAAACCAACGCCCTCCCTCTCGTCGCCTCCTCCGACGAGCGTCGAGTCTGCCCGCCATGGCGACCGTCGACTTCGACATCAACAATGCCCTCAAGCATTACATGTCAGATCCGACAACCATCCCGACTCCCGAAGCCGATGCTGCCCTCTTCGACTGCGAAAATGACGCCGAGGCCCTCACAAACCCCCTCATCAACCCCGTCCTCAACCCCATTGTCGACGCCGTCGCAGACAACCCAGACGCAATCATGCGCTCCGCAAACATGGACTCGCTGCAGTTTCTCCTCAAGTGAGTTGGCCACTCCCATCGCGCTCCTGCTGGGCACACCCTGACCTTGGACAGATACACGTCCTTTCTACCCACGCACGCCCTGAGCAAAATCTTCGACCTAGTCATGAGTGGCCTGAGCGCAGAGACCGACGCCGTCCACAACGACATCGACTCACCAGACGAGCAGGACGCGGTGCCCCATCACAAACAGCTCCTCGAAATCTACGGCTTCCTCCTCCAGTGGACCATTGCCGCCGTCGAGACAAAAGCCGCCGAGAAGTCATCGAGTGCGCCGGCCGCCCGCGGGCGAGGAAAGCCCAAAAAGGGCGTGTCCAAGGATGATTCGTGGGACTCGGCGACGCAGCTCCAGGCGGCTCTTGACACCATGTGCAAGGTGCTGAAGCTGAAGCTGTCCAAGATCTTCTTGACGACCAGCGAGAGGGACACCTTTGTGGGGCTGCTCACTCGCCCAGTCTCCATGATCCTGGAGAGCGAGCAACGCGTCAAGACCACGTCGATTCGCATGCACTGCTTCAAGGTGCTCTGCATAGCCGTCAAGCACCATGGCCATGGATACGGTACGTCGTCGCGCTGGCCGACCATCGCCGGTGGTCGAGGCTAACGGACCACAGCGGCGCAAATCAACGTCATTCAGAATCTCACCTACTTTGAGCACTTGGCCGAGCCCATGGCCGAGTTTCTGCACATCCTGGCCGAAACGTACGACTATCCCCAGCTTGCCGACGAGGTCCTGCGGGAAATCAGCAATAAGGAGTTCAACTCCAACGACACGCGTGGGCCCAAGTCCGTCTCGGCTTTCGTTGCAAAGCTCTCGGAGCTGGCCCCACGGTTGGTGATTAAACAGATGACAATGCTCGCCAAGCAGCTCGATAGCGAGGTGAGATTGACCTGCACAACGAGGAGAGGCCGAGAGCTAACCCGGCGCAGTCGTATACGCTTCGTTGCGCCCTGATCGAGGTTTGCGGCAACATGATTTCGCATCTCAGCAAGCAGGACGAGCGCGGCGAGAACCACAAGTCTCAACTCAACGCCTTCTTCGATGTCCTCGAGGAGCGATTCCTCGACATCAACCCCTACAGCAGATGCCGGACGCTGCAAGTGTACATGAAGCTCTGCGAGCTCGACCAAAAATTCCCCAAGCGCCGACAAAGGGCGGCCGAACTCGCGTGTCGAAGCCTCGAGGACAAGAGCAGCAACGTGCGGCGCAACGCCATCAAGCTGCTGGGTACGCTCATCAAGACGCATCCCTTCACCGTCATGCACGGCGCCCAGCTGTCGCGCAAAGAATGGCAGGCTCGCCACGACAAGGTCGAGGAGGAGCTCAATGCGCTGAAGCCACCGCCGGGGATGCCCGGCTTTGGCGAAGACAAGGCAAACATGACCGTCGACAACGAGCTCCTCGACGACGCGACACAGGTCGGCTCGCCCGAAAAGCCCAAGCCGATGACGGACGACGAAAAGATGGCGGCCATAAAAAAGGCCCAGGAGGAGTCCGCCACGAGCGAGGCCATTGAGAAGCTTACCCTCACGCGGAGGTACTACAACGAGGCTCTCAAGTTCATCGACGTGCTACACGACGCCACGGGCATCGTCTGCCAGCTGCTCGGCTCTCGCAACAAGAGTGAGGTGATTGAGGCGATTGACTACTTTGAAATCGGCGATGCCTACAACATTGAGCAAAACAAAGTCGGTATCCGGCGCATGCTGCGCCTCATCTGGACCAAGGGCAACAGCGACGAGGGCAAGGGCGTCCAGAGCCACCTGATTGAGTGCTACAGACGGCTCTTCTTCGAGGCCCCCGAGACGTTTAGCCCCAACGACGCCGCCAACTACATTGCGCGGAACATGATCAGCCTGACGTTTGGGGCGACGCCGGCGGAGCTCACGTCGCTGGAGCAGCTGCTTGCCACCATGATGAAGGGCGGCATCATCCCCGACAGCGTCATCTCGAAGCTGTGGCAGGTCTATGGCGTGCAGAAGCGGGACATCTCGAGGACCCAGCGGCGCGGGGCCATCATTGTGCTCGGCATGCTCGCCTCGGCAAACCCCGAAATTGTCGTGGGCGAGATTGAAACGATGCTCTGCACCGGCCTCGGCTCCCACGGCCGCAACGACCTGCAGCTGGCCAAGTATACGTGCATTGCGCTCAGGCGCATCAACCCTACCGGTCGCCAGGCAAAGGACTCGGTGGCCAAGTTCTCCCGGTTGCCCAACGACCACGCCGTGTCGGCGCGGCTTGCCGCCATCACAGAGGTGCCGTCTGACAGCAAGGAGTGGTACGGGGTGGCGGAGCAGGCCATCAACGCCATCTACGCAATCTCCAAGCACCCCGACACGCTCTGCTCGGACGTGGTCCGGCGAAAGACGCGCCAGGTGTTTGGCGGCTCCCACGGCCGCCCCCCGTCACGCCCGGGCTCGCGCGACGAGACGCAGGCCGCGCCCTGTGCGCTGGAGCCTACGAGTACGCCCGCGGCCCAGCCGCCCAAGAAGCGCGACAACGCCATTGCCCTGTCACAGCTTCTCTTCATCGTGGGCCACGTCGCCATCAAGCAGATTGTTCATCTCGAGCTGTGTGAGCTCGACTTTAAGCGCAGGAAACAGGACAAGGAGAAGCAGGCGAGTACCAAGACGGATAAGGAAAAGGAGGATGCCGACGAGCTGGACCTCATCGGCGGCACGTCCGAGGACGACTTTACCGAGGCAATGGCCCACATCCGGGAGCGGGAGCTGCTGTACGGGCCGACTTCGCTGCTGGCGCTGTTTGGTCCGCTCGTGTCGGAGATATGCGCCAACAACACAAGCTACGCCGACAAGGGGCTGCAGGGAGCGGCGACGCTGTGCCTGGCAAAGCTCATGTGCGTGTCGGCCGAGTACTGCGAGGCCAACCTGCCGCTGCTCATTACCATCATGGAGCGGTCTCCAGACCCGACGGTGCGGTCCAACGCCGTCATTGCGCTGGGCGACATGGCAGTATGCTTCAACCATCTGATAGACGAGAATACCGATTTTTTGTATCGGCGCCTGGCCGACGACGACGCCTCAGTCAAGCGAACGTGCCTGATGACGCTGACGTTTCTGATCCTGGCCGGGCAGGTCAAGGTCAAGGGCCAGCTGGGCGAGATGGCCAAGTGTCTGGAGGACGAGGACAGGCGGATCGCGGACCTAGCGCGCATGTTCTTTACGGAGCTGAGCACCAAGGACAATGCTGTGTACAACCATTTTGTCGACATGTTCAGCCTGCTCAGCGCCGGGGAGAGGATGGACGAGGAGAGCTTCAGGCGCATTATCCGGTTCCTGCTGGGATTCGTTGAAAAGGTACGCAACCTCCCTCCCAGTCAAGGAGAAGCCGTTTGTCGGGGTCATGTGTGTTTTGCTAACGAGCTATTCCCTGCGCAGGATAAGCATGCCAAGCAGCTGGCGGAGAAGCTGGCGGCGAGGCTGTCGCGGTGCGAGACGGAGCGGCAGTGGAACGACGTGGCGTTTGCGCTGGGGCTGCTGCCGCACAAGAACGAGGATATTGCCAAGACGGTGTCGGAGGGTTTCAAGGTGATTCGGGCGGCTGCGTAAGGGGTCGGAGTCTGTAGGGATGGTCTGCTGGGATGGCGCTGTACGATGATGGCAACGGCTAAAGCAGTGTTTGGGTCGGTGCCGCGAGACGATGATGAGAGATGACGGGTGAACGAACAATGCTTTTTTGCTGGCTTGTTTGCTGTTTAGCTTCGGGGCCAGGTGAAAAGACGCGAAGGCCGTGGAGTAGGGCTGGGCGATGATACCTATTTTAAGGTGTCTGCCTTTGCGAGCTTGTACAATAGGAGCTCGCTGCCGTTTTCGAGTCTGTTACTACGTACGAAAACAACCTCGGGACTAAGTATTACACCACTTGGCAAACCGTTGACTGCGTGTCTCTGATATTTGTTGCCGTGTAATTGATGTCCTTTCCTGTTTAGGCGCTCTAGGGTAGGCTGTGTCGCGGCTGTCGTCACCGGAAAAGAGTCACCTGAACGAGCACGTGCTTTGAGGGGCTTGGGAGCTTGGGCCATGAGTACGTGAGTACATGGAGCTCAGCCCCATGTGATCCGTGCGGGCGCAATCGGACCCTCTCGCTCTGCATGCTGCTGGTTGACGCCTGCCGCTTGCGGGAAGGTACCTACCCACGTACACGAGGTGCAAGGGTACCTGATACAGACAGACGTTACGTACCCGAGCTCTGACTCCTAACAATCGCCCACCAGGTACAAAAAGGCATTCTTGGTCCAGCGCGCCTTCGCATTTCGTTCGCCTGCTGTACCTTTTTTTTGGACCGCCAACGCACCTTGCCTTCTCCACGTCCATCATCCCAACCTCGCCTTTGCCCTGCCTCGAGCAAGACAGAGCACCTACAGCTAGAGCTGCCCTTTGTGCAACGCGCCCGTCCATCCGTCGCCATTTGCTTTGCCTTTATTGGCGCCCGCCGGTTGTCCCCCCCTCTTTTGCGCGCATCGGCCCGTCGTCATCGTCGCCGTCATTGCGATAGCTTCTTGTTGCGACGCCCGCGCTCGCTCACAGAAAACGTCTTCTTCTTCCACCAATTACTACCGCTGCTTCTCGTCGCTCCACTGTCGCTCGACTGCAACAGCAGCAGCTGCAGCTTCTTCCTCGATCGATTGCGCGCGCGCATTCCGCATCCCTCGCGAGGCTACACGAGCATCGCAAAAAGAAAGGCGGCACCTTCAGCTCCACAGCCGCGCAGCCAGGCAGGCCATGGGCTTGGCTCGAGCCCTCGCGCTGACAAGCATCGAGACCGGGCAAAGCCCAGCAGGTGCGTCGCCTTTTCTGCCACTCTTCTGTGTGCCTCAACAATCCCAGACAGGTGACGCCTTCGGCTGCTGCGTGGCCCGAGTCGGATCGCGTCGCTAACGCTCGCACCCTCAACAAAGTCCGATCAGGGCGGTCAAGCTTCACGTCGCCTGCCCATCATGTTCGAAAAAGTCGTATCTCTGGGCTCCCGCCTGCACTACCCCATCACCATCACAAAGCTCCTCAAGTCCCCCGGCGACTCCATCAAGAAGCAGGAAAACATCATTGAGTATAAATTCACCTGGCGACGCAAGGTCGGCGACGACTCGTGGACCGACGAGACCACCTACACGGAGTTTGACAGCCCCGCCGAGGGCAAGCTCAAGGAATGGCGCATCGGCGAGGGCATGGTCATCAGCGCGGACACCCCCTGCATGGCCGTCGAGGAGGCCTGCGGCCACGAGGTCCAGATTCAGGGCCTTTGCAGCCTGTGCGGCGCCGACATGACCGAGGTCAACTGGGCCAGCGAGGAAAAGGACACTGACCGCGCCATGATCAACATGACGCACGACCAGACGGGTCTCATGGTCAGCGAGAGCGTCGCCATGAAGGCCGAGCACGACACTCAGAAGCGCCTGCTGCGCCAGCGCAAGCTCAGCCTCGTCGTCGACCTCGATCAGACCATCATCCACGCCTGCATCGAGCCCACCGTCGGCGAGTGGCAGCGAGACCCGTCCAATCCCAACCACGACGCCGTCAAGGACGTCAAGAGCTTCCAGCTCAACGACGACGGGCCCCGCGGCCTTGCCAGCGGCTGTACATACTACATCAAGCTTCGCCCGGGCCTCCGCGACTTTCTTGACGAGGTGGCTAAGATGTACGAGCTGCATGTCTACACCATGGGCACCCGCGCCTACGCCCTCAACATTGCGCGCATCGTCGACCCGGACCGCAAGCTCTTTGGCAACCGCGTCATCAGCCGCGACGAAAACGGCAGCATCACCTCAAAGAGCCTGCAGCGCCTCTTCCCCGTCAGCACAAACATGGTCGTCATCATCGACGACCGCTCCGACGTCTGGCCCCGGAACCGGCCCAACCTCATCAAGGTGGTACCCTACGACTTTTTCAAGGGTATCGGCGACATCAACTCGAGCTTCCTGCCTAAGCGCACCGACCTGTTGCCCGCGCCCCCGCAGTCCAACGGCTCCCCCGCGACCCCCGAAGCACCGGCGCCGGAAAAGCAAGACAAGGAGGCGCCCAAGGCATCGCCACTCGATGAGATTGCCAGGATGGGCAGCGCCGACAACGGCGTCAGCCTTAAGGTCCAGGCCGAGGAGCAGGAGAAGACGCTGGAGAAGCAGTTGACGGATCGGCCGTTGCTGCACATGCAAGAGGAGCTCGACCGCGCCGACGAGCTTTCGGCCCAGGGCTCGGAAACGGGCGATTCGGCGATGCCCAGCCACACACGGCAACACCTGCTCAGCGACGAGGACGAGGAGCTCAGCGCTCTGCAGGATCACCTGACGGACCTCCACGCGTCCTTTTACGAGACGTACGACCGGAGGCGCGATGAAAGGAGACAGGCGGAGCCCACGCACCCGCCGGGGAGCACCAAGAGCCGCCGGAGGTCGACAGTCGACGACGGCGTCGACCTGTCCATGGTGCCGGACGTGGGCGACATCTTGGACGAGCTCAAGTCGAATGTCCTGTCGGGCCTCGTCATTGTGCTATCCGGGCTCGTACCGCTGGGCGCAAAGGTGGAGGAGTCTGAGATTGGGATGCATGCGCAGAGCTTTGGCGCCCAGGTGCTGGACAGCGTGTCGAGGCGCGTCACCCACCTGGTGGTGTCTACGACGCGGCCTCGCACCAAAAAGGTGCAGCAGGCGGCCAAGATTGCCAGCGTCAAGATTGTCAACCAGAACTGGCTCACCGACTGCCTCAGCCAGTGGCGGCGGCTGGACGAGCGGCCATACTACCTAGACATTCTCGATGCGGACCGCGAGCGATCAGACGACACAGCAGAGGTGGCGTCGGGAACCGAAAACAGCGGCGACACGGACGCCCGAGACCTCAAGGACTTTGACTGGGCCACGGCGGACAAGGACCTGGAAGACTTTCTGGGCGACGACGAAGACGAAGACGACGACAACGATGATGAGTCTGGGGCCCGCGAGGACGGCAAGAGTGCCGGCGGCGAGAGCGCAGCCGAGGCAGAAGACGGTACGGAGAGCGACGGAACGGAAAGCAGCTCAACGATGTCAACATCAAGAGGGAGGAAGAGCGCCAAGCGCAAGAAGCGCACAGAAGACGAGTCGGACGGGGACGGGCCGTCGGGCGAGGCGGACGAGAGCGTCATGGCCAAGAAGCAGCGCCTGTCGCGCAACCGGGGCACCTCGGCTTTGAGGTCGGTCTTGACCCCCAACGGCGGCGGTGGCAGGGCGGGGGAAGGGGATGAGCAGCCGCTGGGCAGGGGGGCGAATCCAGCGCCGACGGTCAGCTTCGACACCAATGCCGACTTTGACGACGACGCGCTGGAACGGGAGCTGCTGGCAGAGCTGGAGGCGGCCGAGGCGTGAGGGGAGAGACTGGCACGGCGAGGAGAGCCGGCCTTTTACCTCCTCTCTTCTCTGGCGTACATAGCGAGACCGATTTGGGGGAGTTTTTTTCCTATTTTGAAGGCTTGTTTTTGCCGCGCGGTGCGTTGCGTTGCGGTGTCTCGTCGGACCTGGGCATGTAGGCATTGAAGCAGTCAAGTTCAAGTGTATATACCCCCCTCTCCCGCGCGTGCCTGCGCGTCTTGAACGACAATGATTTGAGGAAGGTTCTGGCTGGATTCCCTGCTTGTCTTTTCCCATGTCAGCTGCTCTTGCGGGGTGCCATGTTGGGGCAGGCATACTACAGAAGAGCAGACAAGCCGAGGGAGGGGAAGGGAGAGAACTCAAGGGGGAAAGGACGAAATGACGGTTTTCTCGATTCTTCCACAACCGACGTTTCTATTTCCTCCTCTCTGATGGCGGACAAGTGCCAAGCGCAGTCTTGACACGCCAAGCCACATATATATATACACACATGCCGACGCAGACAGACGCAGAGGCAGCCATACAGATGGGCGATTGCCTTGCCCTCCTCGCCCCCTCCCTTTGCCTCGTCGACGGAAGCGGCGCGCGCTCTCCGAGTGGCGGTTACTTTGTCGTCGGCGGAGGCACCGTGGCAAACGTCGGCCGGACGAACCTGGGCGAGGAAGATCAGCGGGGGGGGCGAGACAAGGGGGGCATTCAGAGGGAGAAAGCGGAGCGGAGGGGGGAGTATGCGTGAGGAAGTAAAGGGGAGAGAGAGAGAGGTACCTGTCCGAGTGGTAGACCTTGACGTTCTCGCCCAGCAGCTCCTTTTCGCGCTTCTGGTCGGCCCAGTACCGCCGCACCTGGTCGCGGTCCTCCTCGGCCTGCAGGAGGGGGATGAGGTGGATGCGCGCCCACATCTTTTCGCGGGCGAGTTCGCTGCGTCGCGGCTGGCGTTAGTTCATTTGCCATCTGTGTCTTTTGACTCCTTGTTTGTTCCCCTTCTTTCCCGTCCATCTGGAGAAGACAAAGGTCTCTTGCCGTGTATGGAGAAAGAAAATACTCTCGACGGGAGGGAGGGAGGGCGTACTTTGCTTCGCGGATGCCGTGGATGAGCTTATACCACCCGTAGCCCATGACGGCGCCCATGCCCAGCAGCAAGACGCCCGGGCGGAAGCCCCTCGCGGGCAGGTTTCGCTGTCGAGTTCGATGCCCGCGTCAGCTCTCACTCCCCGTTTCCGCCCCTCTCCCTGCGCAGCACCGGCAGACGACGATGCCCTCCCAAGACCACACCACCCCAACGACAAGACGGGCTGCATATAATGTGTCCCCCCGCGCGTCTGACGCACCTTGTACTGGACGGGCTCGTACCCGCCCTTGGGCGGCATGTCCTGCGCCATGGCGGGCAAGCGTGGAAGAAAAGCAGGCAACTCAATCGGGCGGCGGCTTCGATGGCGTGGTTTCCCTGAGGACGCGGCGGCGGCGGGCGGCTCGCTCCCCTATTGCGCGGCTTCGCAGCGTGTGCGTGTGGGAGGCGCTTGGTCGTGGCGACGGCGGTGCCTTCTTTCGTGGGAACTGGGGGCGTCCGTTTGTTTGTCCTGGTCGTGCTGCATCAATTGCGAGCTTCGGTCATCGATGGAGCTCTGGAGATTACGTAACTTAGACGGCGAGCGTCACGACGGATATCACCTACCCTAAACCTTGCAGCGCGAGGCCGGCATTGGATCTTTCTTATCTCCCTGCCTCATCAGCAACAGCACTTTTTCTTCCGAACGCATGCTGGCATGGCTTCACTTCTTCTAAAGCCTCTTCCGCCGTCATTTGCAATGACGTTCTTCCGATGCAGCAGCTAGAGCCGGCTCTCACTCACTCACTTACTGCAATATCACAAACGTGAAGCATCAGCTCTGGCCAAAAGACCTTTTTATTATTCCCTGTTCGACTAAACATTATTATCGCGGCGCCCAGCCATCGCCAGGGCCCCAAGCCCAATCCCTTCTATCATGTCCCTGTAATCTATGCCAAGGTAAGCCATGATGCAAGTAAAGGTATGCAAACCCACGCCTGTTTCCATGTGCCCCGGTTCCGCCGTTTCATTATCCCAAACAGAGTGTCCTTTCCGAAATGAACCCTTCATCTCTAATCGTGAGCCCATGAGTGTCGGGTTTCATGCTCACACGTGTACACCAGTCTGGGTGAGCAAAAGCCAGGTAAGTAGGGAGGTATCCAAGCCCCAACGCCGCGAGTGAAAGAAAGAAGTCTAGACCAAATGAGAGTGACAAGTCAACCCTTCTCCTGGGGAGCATCATCACACGACCGGCCTTTACGCATTGCCCTTGAGCGCCTGGCTCCCCAACGACTTGCCACTGCTCATGCCGACGCCGCCGAGCCCCTCGCTCAGCTTCTTCGTCACCATGTCCGGGTCGGGCTCGTCGACCCCGACAAACGTCCAGCTCTCCTCCGTCTCGTCGTCTTCCTCTTCGTTTTCGAGCTGTGCGTTCTTGCCCGCCTTGCACTTGACCAGGCTCGTGGCGTACTCGAGGTCTCGGTAGATGCTCTGGATGGCATGTTCGACGCCCTTTTCCTGTGGGGCCGTCAGCAATCAGGTCGCGCCAAGTGATTGAATAGGAGGAAAAAAGCAGGCAACGCCTTGCTTCTGGGAGAGACGGGCCGACGCACACAAATGCGGCGCCAACAAAACCACATACCTTACGTATCTGCTCGCCGAGCACGCGGGCCTTGATGATCATGCGCTCGTTGCGCGTCACTTCCCACAGCGCCCGCCCGAAGCTGTTTGTTCCCCATCGCTTCACCCACACGCCCACGCCCAGATCTTCGACGCGGCTCGCGAAAAAGTACTGGTCGCCAAAGAAGGGCCGGATGACGGTCGGCACGCCGGCTCGCAGGCTCGCCCCTGTCGTGCCCGACCCCCCGTGGTGCGCCGCGGCGTCAATCTGCCGAAACAGCCAGTCGTGCGGCGCCGACTTGATGACATGGATCTCGGGCGGCATCTCAGGCTCGTCCGGGCGTGGCTTCGAGGGGTCGTCCTTGGGCGATATGCGGTCCGACCAGCCCTTGGACAGGATGCAGCGCACATCGGCCTTGCGCACGGCGTCAATGACTTCTTGCGTCATCTTGGCCGGGTTGTTGACGATGATGGAGCCGAAGCCCACGTACACCAGCTTCTTGCCGTCCGCCCGGGCCTTTTTGATAAAGTCGTCTAGTTCCTTGGGCGGCTCGTATTCGCCACCTTCGTCCAGGAACCAGTAGCCGGTGACCCGGATCCAGTCGGAAAAGTCGAGCGGCGGCGCAACCACGCTCGGGCTGAAGTTATATAGGAACGGCACCTTGTTGGGCTGCATCTTCTCGAGGCCCGTGTTTGGCAGGCCGAGCGTCTTGTTGCGCCAGCGGTTGACCTGGTGGGCGGTTGCCCTCCAGAAGATGTTGTCAAACATGACATACGTCATGTAGTTGTAGGCGCCGCCCATCTTGTGCTCGGGCATGATGAAGGCGTGCGGGTACGCCCTCGTCCTTGTCCAGGGCATCGTGAAGGCCCTAAAGTAGGGGATGCCAAGCTTCTCCGCAATGTGAATGCCGGCCATGGCCGACGGCGACTCGATCAGCAAGTCGGAGCCTTCGCACGCATGGTACGCCGAGTCCAGCAGCTCGTCCAGCCAGCCGCGAAAGGTCGAGTTGGCCTCGCGCAGAAAGGCCAGCGTAAAGGTGCCGTTTTCGATGCACAGGCGCATGAGCTCGCCGGGGTCGCCCTCGACGCGCGCGAATTCAATGCCGTGTGACTCGATCCAGCCCTGGAACTCGGCGTGCGTGGCGATGCGCGGCCGGTGGCCCTCGGCCAGCAGCCCCTTGCAGAGCGCAATATACGGCTGCACGTCACCTCGAGAGCCGATGGTCAGACACGTGATTTTCATCGAGTTTTGGGGCTTAAAGTTGATAAAAGAGCCGTCTGTATCGTCGGAGAGAATGGTGGGCGCATTCGGCAAGCCCGTCGCCTCGCGCGGCAGCTGCACGTCGTGCTCGGGAAACTCGCTCTGCCTGGCCGACTTCAACGCGTCTCGCTCGGCGATTGCCGACACATCCTCTTCGTGCTCCTCTTCCCGGAGGATGCCCGACTCCCTGAGGTAGCGGCTCGTCTCCAGGCCTTGCAGCAATGTCACTGCGCAGTCGTCCCGCACGTCGGTCTGGCTAAACTCGAAGAAGATCTCCTCGTGCCCGCGAATAACAACCACGAGGCCCGAGTAGCCGAACCGAAAGCCCTTTTCCTTGTGCGTCGTCTCGACATCTTTGAGGGGCAGAATCAGCTTGGTCCGCGTGCCGGGCAGCAGGCTGCGGAAGCAAAAGGACCGGTCGCTGATGTAAATCTTGCCATACAAAGGCAGCACCCGGAGTATGTACCCAAAGTACGTCGCCTGGAGCCGCTCCGTCTCTGGCAAGGCAAAGTGAGCGCGGAAGCGATCCATGGACGTCTGAATCTTGCCCTCCGAGTCCTCTTCGAGCTCGTCCTCGTCGGGGCGCAGGCCGGCGGGCTCGTCGTAATGCTTGTGGCCGCCTTTCCACATGCCAGAGACCTTTTCGACGTAGCCCATGGACTCGGTCGCGAGCAGGGAGCTCATGCGCTTGCTGGTCTTGTTCAGGTAGTCGGCAAAGGCCCCTGCGCGCTGCAGAGGGTACGATCCCATTTTGGTGATGCTCTGCAGGGTCGGCGTAGACGGGCGCTGATGATCGATGCTCGCTTGGGCGGGTTGTTGACCAATGGCCCCAGTTGTCGCGGCGTGGACGGGTCGCGGAGACGCCAATGGCTGCTGCTGCGAGTCTCTCGAGCCTCGATGCTTGGTGTCTGTGGATTGACTTGAAGATGGCGAGCGGCGCATGGTCGGACTTTGAAAGACCTCGCTGCCTCTGAGAATCTGACTCGCCGAGGGGTCATCAGTCACAGACACGGTCAGATTCGAGTAGCTCGGGTCGTCCGTGGAGGACTGCAGGTTCGAGTCGGACGACTCCATCACATTCCGCGACGACTTGCCGTCCAGGGGGCGGCGGCTAAGCGACCTTCTACTGCTACTGAAGCTTCTGCGAGGGCTCATGTCTCTCAAGACGCTGGAGGCTTCGCGGCTCGAGCCCCCCATCTGGCGGAAAGCGTCTAGGCTGGTTCGGGATGACACTTCGTGGCTGGCACGGGGGCTGGGGTTGGTCGAGTGAGGCGACATGGGAGAGAGCGTCGCCTTGACGGCCTCGGGGAGCTTGGTTGTGCAGAAGTTATCCACGTTGAAATTACTCGGCCTCGCGCTCCCCGCGATCCCCGTCGACTGCGGCGGCTCGGGGTTGCCCAAGTTCTGTTTTTCGGCGATGGCTCTCCCGGCCGTTTGCTTGCCAGACGACGATGCATCCTCAACGAGGATTTTGAGGACGTTGATGGCTTCGCGGCCAAACGTGAAAAAGGAGAAGAAGTACTGTTGAATGCGTTAATTAGGAGACGGCTGCAGTCTTGGGCGGCAGGATTCTTACCTCGTCAATGGCATACGTCTCGTCATTGTCTATGACGCGTATCTTGCATGTGTCGGAAAAATCCATCATCTGCGTTTCCTCGACGTCGATGACATTCTCAATGGGCAGCGATATTTTGACGCTGTCGCCGTCGTTGTGGCTGCGGAAGATGACGCGCTGGAGGCTCTTGACCCATTCCTTGGCGCTCGGGGTGCTGTCTGCCCTGAAATTGTAGGTCCGATGGCTTGTGACGACGGAGAAGTGAACGCCGTCCTTGTCCCGGTCGACGACACTGGCCGAGATGCCGAATCTGAGATCGATCTGGCCGTGAGGGAAGTAGAGATTCCTGGGGTCGCGGTAGTATGATAGCACATCGCCCTTTAAGCGGAACCAGTACCGGTTGTACTTGGGATTCCGCTTGCCGTTCTTTGAGAGGTATCCGGATTTCGCAACGACGTTCTGCGAGAGGTTAGTGCACGGGACGGCGTCGGAGGAGAGGGCGATGCTCACAGCCTTTTTGGGAAGATATGCGTAGAAGCATATGTGCTTGACGGTAATATACAGGAAGCCCTGAAGCAAAACACTTTGCAACAACCAGCACGGATACTCTGCGACGGCATGGGTCAGTGACGGAGTAAAAAAATGGACCAGAAACGGGATGCGTGTTCACCTTCGATTACCTGCTCAGGCTCGTCAAAGTCGAAAATATCTTTGAGGCGCTTGGCGAGGGTGGTAGCGTCATCGCCCTGCTCGGTCCGGCTCACGTCTGCTGAGGGCCGCTCGAGATCGAAGCTGGGACGGCTCGACATCTCCGCTCTGGCCTGCAGCATGCGACTCATGACCGGGGCGACGCGAGAGTCTCCTTTTTGGAGGGTGACGGCGGAGGGCTGGGACGCGTCGTCGGAATCGTCTGGGCTGTCTGGGCTCGGGACTGGGGCGGATGAATGACTCGACTCGCGCTTGGTCTTTGTCTTGCGCCTGGGCAAGGTGGAGAGGGATTTGAGCAGCCTGTGGCCAGAGAGCTTCTTCTTGTGACGGCAGGCGGCAGCGTCTCGGCCGGGTGAAGGGTCGAGAACGACGGTCTTGGACAGGTCCTGGGGCTGGCTGGCGTCGTCGTCACTGCTGCCGTCGTCGAAGCGCTCGTTGAAGTTGACGCGAGAGCCGGCGGCGGCAATGAGACTGAAGATGCTCTGGTTCATGTTGACGGACAAGGGCCCGGGGCGGGTAGGGCCGACGTGGGACGGGGGCTCGTCTTCGCTGTCGCTGTCCCTGAGCGGCTCAGGAAGCTCGACGGGCTGATGAGACCCATCGTGGCGCCTCTTCTGGAGCTTGCGGGTGACTCGCCGCTGGGCGTCATCGCCGCCGGGCGGTGGGGGAGGGGACGCCATGCGAGTTGGATCGAACAAGGTTGCGCGCCGGGCTGGCAAGGCGTCGGCGTCGAAGGTTGCGTCGGCGTCGAAGTTTCCAGCGCCGCTGGCTACCGGAGTGGCGGGAGCTTTGGCGGTGTGGAGCGGCGGAGGGATGAAGAGAAATCGGCTCGAGGGAGGGGGTAAAAGAATTAGGGCGGATGATGTGGAGGAGCGGAGGGTTGCAGCTCGACCGCGATGGCGTCGAAGGTTCGGTCGTCGGCAGCTCTGTCAGTGACAGACAACGAAAAGGCGTTGGTTTGTTGGCGGGGCTGGAGCCTGCAGGGGGGCCGCTGTTTGGGCCTTCGAGTACTTTACTATTTGGAGGGAACCTCCAAGGATGCCGCGAGTCCCCCTTCGGCCCCTGCTCATGTGCGCTTAGATAAAGGAATGAATGACTGGCTGCATCACGGTACCTCCACTCCGATCGTGAATTTGTTCTCCTCGAGCAGGCACTTTGAAAAAGTCATCATTGTGGCGTTGGCGCAGCAGACGTCTCCTCGAGGTTCGTCTCTGGGGCATGCTTTGTTCGGAGAACCAGCCTGGAAGTCTGTCAAGTTTGTAGTGCGCACGTATCCGATACTTTGGGCGTCTCCCAGCAGCGCCCACAGGAAATGGTCAGCCTTCCAGGGGTCAACGACTTATCGATAAGAACATCTGCAGTACAGTATCCGCACAGAACCTAAAGGTGCCTAGGAAGATAGGTAATTAATTAGTACGGATCTCCGTACTTGTCCCCCAGAGCCTCGCGTGAGCAGCTCGGCAAACGCCCCCTCCACCCGGGCCATTTCTCTCTCATCACACCCCACCCGTCACAACCACGCACAATCAACCGCTCGGCCATGCCTTGACTCTGATGGCGACGATGGCGTTGGGCCGATTGAGCTACCCGATGGTCGCTTAGTCTGTCCCCACGGCTATATAGGTATGCCCTTCTTGCTGCGTCGACTTCAGCTTCATGGACAAGCTCCTAGAGGACGGTGAGGCACGGCTGAACGCGAGGACAAGGAGATCTACGATCTGCTGGGCGATGAAGCCCGGGCCGAGACTGATGCGCGATGGGGTCCCTCGTCCTTGCGCCGTGCCAACGCTCGCAAGCCCCCCAGCACACAATCATCACTCAGACACGATAATCCTCGTGGAACCACGGGATCCGGCCAACGCATGGGCCATCAGACGAGGCACAAGACGCATCTTGACCACAAAGTTCACTCCGCCGTCGGCGACTTCCACTCCAGATGGACTGTTCCCAGAGGGCTCTTGCCATGGTCTGCTTGCTCAGTTCATCCGCCGCGACGACCCGGCGCAGGCGTTGATTTATACCGACGGGGCCTGTCTTGACAACGGAGGAGCCAATCTCAAGGCAGGATGGGGGTTTGTTTTTACATGGTGCTGTGTCTGGCCGCCTGGCGAAGAGAGGATCGTTTGGGGACAAATGCCCGCAGACCAGCAATAGGGCTGAGCTACGAGCCGTCCTCGGTGCGCTGCGCTTCTGTGACTGGCCCAACGAGGGGCTTGGCGACGCTGGCTTTGGCGACGGACTCGAAATATGTGGTTGAGGCGTCACCGAGTGGGCTCGCGGCTGGGTACGCAACGGATGGATAACCAGCTCGGGCAGCGACGTGAAGAACAGGGACCTATGGAAGATGCCTCTTGGAGAGCTTGAGCGGTGGCACCGGCGGAGCTTGACGATCTATTTCTGGAGGATGCCCCGAGCGCTGAGTGCCGTGGCGGACCGCGCGGCGAAGCAAGGTGCGGGCGAGGAGCCAAACCCGGGTGAATACTGTGATATTGGCGGAGTGCTTGTATGCTAATGAGGTGCTGAGGCCGTGTATGTACACACACCCCTTGTCCAAGACGGACTTGCTCAAGCTAGATGGATGCTGTCATCTTTTGGCTTTGAGCAGATGCGATGGATCAATCCTACTACTGTACAGTAGAGCCGGGCATCCTCGAGTCGTCATCGCTCTCGTCCTTTCAAGCAATGCGTCAAGTCCCTGGCATGTACTCTGTACTCTGCTCTTTGTACGGACCGACATTTATCACGCTCCGAATGTCGGCCGATGCATGTGACGATGCGACCCCACCTGAGCACATGGGCTGTTTTGTTTGACCTCTTTGTACAGCCCGACCTCGACTTGCTGCATCGCCCCCTTTCGCGCCGTCCATGCTCCTCGGCTGCATTTGACGCCGCCCACAGCCAGCTGCTCAGCTTGGCGACGTTTCACGGGCAGCCATGCTTGCCCGTGCGGCCGATCGAGATGGGGATGGATGGATGAATGGATGGATGATCGGGATACTGCCCGGCAAGGACACGACAGACGCACCTGACACGGCCAAGGGCACTCTGCCCCGTGAACAGACACACGCCAGCAGCAGTGAGCGCCGACGCCGACAGGCCCCTGGGCCATGCTTGGCGGCCGCACTCATACATACACACGTCCACGACTTCGTGCATGGCCTCGCAGGTATCCCTCCAAGCTTCTCACCCGTTAGTCACCCCCTTGGCGCGTGAATGACTGCCTTGGCCCTCACCCCCGGCCTGGAGGGCGTGCTTCCCACCAGTCGGGCTTGCTTGGCCACTACCGCGCCGCGCCGTGGTGCCCAACGTGCGACGGGCACGTGGCTGTTGCGCCGCGGTTCCGCTGCCCGCCGACCGAGGTGGCATGTCTTGACTGCCGGGCCATCGGCGCGCATTGCCTAGGCCAAACAAGACTTGCTCGTTGTCGATGGTTGAGCGGGATAATCGGCGGGGTGACGCCGAGCTTCCCCGCGGCTTGGTGCTTGTCGAGTCAAGCGCTTGCACTATCCCTTCAACGTTGGGCCTCTTCCTCACGCCTTGAAGCTGCTGTACATGTGCCAGGGCCTCACTCAACGACCTGTAGCCGCCGGACGATCTCGGCAATGGCCGCCTCGAGCCCCCTGTTTCCCGCATCGCTCATTTCTGCCGAGATCGTGTCCTGGCTCCCAGCCGGCTTCTCCATCCGGCCCTTGGAAAAGAGCGACTTTGGAAAGGGCTTCGTGCAATGTCTCGGCGGCCTGACCTGGATGGGCGACGTCACCGTCGAGCAGCTCGAGGCGCGCTACGACGACATGGACACGCAGGGAAAGGGGCCCTACTACTACGCCGTGATTGAGCATCAGGGGCGTATCGTGGGCACGGGGGCCGTCATTGTCGAGAAGAAGTTGTGGGTAGCCAATGCGATGAGATGGCTACCGTTCCCGTTGCTGATGGCCAGGCTGTAGCATCCAAAACTGCGCCCTCGTCGGCCACGTCGAGGAGATTTGCGTCTCGGAGCAGCACCGAGGCAAGGGCCTGGGGCTGGCGATGCTCCGCGCCCTCGACTCCGTGGCCGCCAAGGTCGGCTGCAGCAAGAGCATTCTCAATTGCAGCCCGAACAAGGAGGCCTTTTACGTCAAGTGTGGATACGGCAGCTCCGGCATGGAGATGCAGCACAGGTTTGGCGACGCCGAGACTGGACCGGCGCCGGGGTCATGACGATGACTTGAATGGAAATGGGATGAAGCTGGTCATGGACTGACGATGCGCTTCCTACGAGCCGAGGCATCTCATCGAGGGCGTCGCGAGAGGGCAATCTCGGCATCATCTACCCTCAGTGCCGTGGTTTGATCATGCTGGTATGAATGCTCCTCGGCAAGGTCTCGTAATGGACTATATGTAGATGGGCTGATGGGTAGAGCATTGCCTCATCCTGCGGACCCACGGGCATGACGCGCTTGCTACCGAATAAGATTTGGAGTGTATGAAGTCATACTGACGTGCACAAGTTAGCTGCACTTGTGACGAGGCCGAGGCCCATTTCTCTGCGTCCGCATCAACTGCTCACCAAATCATAGTGATTCACCAGCGTTTACTCGGGACAAGATAAATCGCAGCTTCACCGCTCCCGCCCATACAGCATGGCCCCCATCCTTCTCCACGCGAATCAGCCCCCGGACGGCTTCTACGCCGGCGGAGCGCGCATCTCGACCCTGCGCGGCGCCGCCTCCTGCGCATCATACCAGCCTGAGGACTGGGTCGCGTCGACGACGTGCTGCCGCGGGTCCGAGGGCGTCGGGCTCAGCAAGCTGCCGGACGGCCGCCTGCTGCGCGACGCGGTGGCCTCGGAGCCGGAGCGGTGGCTGGGGCCGGCGCACGTGGCCAAGCACGGCGGCGGCGGCGACACCAAGCTGCTGGTCAAGCTGCTCGACGCGGGCCAGCGGCTGCCGGTCCACGCGCACCCGCACGTCGACTGGGCGGCACGGCACCTCGCGGCGCGGCACGGCAAGGCCGAGGCGTGGTACGTGCTGACGCCGGGCAGCGTGTGGCTGGGCCTGCGGGACGGGTTCGACGGGGCCGGGGAGCTGCGCCGGCTGGTGCTCGACGGCGACGGCGACGGCGAGGCGCTGCTGGCGCGCATGCACAAGGTGGACGTGGTGCCGCATCAAAGCGTCTACGTGCCGCCGGGCGTGCTGCACTGCCTGGGCGAAGGCGTCATGGTGGTCGAAGTGCAGGAGCCCGAGGACATGTCGGTGCTGTGCGAGTGGAAGGGCTTCCGCATCAATGGGCGCAAAGAGGGACACCTGGGGCTGGGCTTTGACGTTGCCCTGACGGCGGTTGAGACGCGCGCGCGGACGAGGGAGCAGATTATGGAGCTGGTCAAAGACAGCCAAGCATCAACGTCGTCGTCGGACGGCAGCAGCGTCGTCGTCGATGCGTCGCGCGAGTATTTCGAGCTCGAGCGGCGCCGCGTCGTCGCAGGGGCCCAGCAGCGCTGCCGCCGCGGGTTTGCCGTCGTCATTGTCCTCGGCGGCGCCGTGTCGTTGGCCGTGGATGCGCGTCATGACGGCGGTGGTGATGATGGGGGGCTTGCGCTGAGCAAGGGGGCGACGGTTGTGGTGCCGTTTGCGGATGGCGACTTTGTCCTCGAGGGCGACGGTGCCGATGTGCTCATTGCGCGGCCGCCGCAGTAGATGAGCATCGTTGGGGCTGTCGACGAGGACCTTCGTCCCTTCTTTTCAAATGCCCGGCTTTGAATCTTGGCCGCTGTAAACCCATCACGCACGCGGTAGCTGTCTTGATTCGAGTCTTGTTTCCGGTTCAGATGTGCTTGCACTAGCTTCCATCATGTTGCCTTATAGGAGCATATCTTTCTCACTGCGCTCAGCATTGCCATGGTTTTGTCTGTTGTCGTGGAAAGCCGGTCCACGTCTGGTATTGAGCGCCATCCGGCGAATATGAAGATCCTAGAAAATATTCAGAAGCGCCAGGAGCTCGCCTTCATGTTTCCTCCGCGCACAGCAACCTGGACATGCCTCTAGCAAACAACTTGCCGTCTCAGCAAACATAACTGTGCTCCCCGAGTCCGCCAGTAGACCCGCCCTCACCTCTCTACCCTCGCATCATACAGTATGTGTTGAAACCAGCGTCCTTCATGTCCACAAGCATAGCTTGCCGCTGCCGTTGCCGCCGGCCACCCAGTCCATGGTCGGGTGGAAATGCGTGACGGCGGGCACGGCCGTGATTCCCTCGCCGTCTAGCTGCGCCAATTGACTGCCATCTGAGGCAAAGACGTCAACGAATCTATTCATGTTGGCGATGGCGAATTTTTGAATGCCATCCTGTGGCCGTTTTTGCCACTGTGGCTTCAGAATAGTAACCCATCGGCCAGTCTGGTTATTGTGCGGAATTTTGTGCGCCGGCTCCATGGCCTGCGGGCCGATGTCTTGCCCCGGTTTCCAGTGAATTGAATCGGCAAAGTTGTAGATTTTGATTGTGTCGTCGTACGACGACGTGGCAACGTGGCCTCCGGCACTCCACGATGCGTGCGAAACAGAGAGCCGCGACTCGTGCTCGCCCAACAGTGCTGGGTGCCGCTCGGCGCCGGTGCCCATCATTTTGCGCAGGTCCCAGATCTTCATGGTCCGGTCCAGGGAGGCGGTCGCAACGAGATGGGGGCGGAGAGGATGTAAAGAGAACCCCCCTATTTTATGTTCCGAGAGCATCCACACCTCCTCCTTCGATGGCGCTCTAATGTCGTGTCGTCCAAGCCCACCGTCCAATGTCGAGTAGTAGAGTACGCTGGGCTCGGCCGTGGCCATGTCCATGGACGAGAGCAGCATTTCGTCGCTGTCATCGGCGGGCGCAAATACCTGGACAGAGACGCCTTTTTCCAAGTCCATTTTTCGTATCGACGAGTCGTAGGAGGAGGTATAGACCGCATTGGGGTCAGTTGGGGAAAAGACGAACGAGGTTATCGTTCTTGCGTGCGTTTTGAACGCCGAGATGACGGGGTCTGGTTGATGCGCCGCCTCCTCGTCGTCATCAGCCTCGGGGAAAGTCTGCGAACCGTCAAAGACGCCCACTGCGCCCTCCTTGTCGCCGGCAAAAACAATCGGTTTATCCTCTGAAGGATGGAAACCAAGGGAATAGACGCGCTGCGGGGTGATCTTGATTTCTGTATGCGCCACGGTCAGTACGATTCATGGCGCAAGGGAAGGGTAGAGGACACCTACGGTTCGGTAACCAGTGCTCGTATAGATTCAGGGAGCACATTCGTCTTCTCAGGTGGTTGAGACCCTTATCCGTTGTCTCCTTCACGTCGGCGTCCGTGAAGGTTCGCACTCCGGGCTCAGCGCCCCTGACGAGGCCCTTGAGGCCGTCGAGTCCTCTTCCCCACTTCTTGCCCTCGACGACAATGTCGCCGAGGAGCAGGTCTTGGGCGACGCGCACCTTTTTTGCCTTGGACTCTGCGGCGTCTCTTTCTATATCGGCGGCGAGCTTGCGCTTGAGAGCCTCGTCATCGGCCTCAAGGCCTGCAAGGCGGGAGCTCATCCGGACCCCGCGCGCCGGCTCACGCTTGACGGTCTCGCGAGTCTTTCGTCTCGGAGTGGAGGATTTCGGCGCTGCCTTCTTCTTGTCCGGAATTATTTTCTTTGCCGTTGCGGAGATGTCGGTCAGGATGGCCTTGTTGGCGGCCATGTTTTCGAGCCGTTTGCGCTCGAAGGCGCTCATTTCGGCGCCTTCCTTCTTGACGGGCATCTTGAGGGAGTGCACGTAATTGACGATCAAAGTGGATGTAGCGAGAGAGATCAAGCAAAGTGAAGAGTGCGAAGCGACGCGGGACAGAGGCAGGAGAGCAGCGGGTTGGAGAAAAAAAAGGAAAAAAGGGAAAAACGGCTGTTGACGATGATCAATTGCGGCGGCAGCTGTCGGCGCGCCATTAACGCGCCATGGCTCAGGTGGGGCTCCGGTGAGCGGCGCTGAGCGGCGCGAGGTCACGCGCTGCCCGCGTTAAGTGCCGAGAAAAACCCGTGACGTCTCCAAGGGGCAATTTTTCCACGTTCTGCTTTTGGGGCGTCGCATCCCCGATAAATGCCATGCCGTCAATGCTCCCGCGCCTCTTCTCTCCGAGCCGCACGCTGGGTGGGCGAGTCGCTGCGACACGGTCCGGCCGCCGATCCTTTCGTCTGGCTCCCGCGGCATGGAGCCCCAAGGAGCGCAAGGCGGACAACTCGATCCCCTTTGTCTGGGGCGTCGAGGGCATTCCCGGCCGCCAAGGCATTGAGCCCGGCACCCAGTCCACCATAACCCCGTCCGAGGCCTCCATTTTCAGGGGCATATTCGACGAGATCGCACAGGGCCGCAAGCCCGCGCCCAAGAAATGGGCCTCGCGCACCCGGGCTTCCCCTGCCAGAGCCCCCGACGCCCTGTCCAGTCCCGACAACGGCGCAACCGGCATGGCCCAGTCCATCGTCGAGCAGGCCCGAATGCCCGAGCTTCGCGAAAAGTTTCTGCTTCGCTACCCGCCCTCTCTGCGCGAGGCTGCCGTCGTTGCCCTGGGCCTGTATGAGCTGGAGCCGGGGCCTGTCGCGGGGGACAGCGAGGCGCGCGAGCTGGACGACAAGGAGGCGGAGAAGAGAAAGGAGCGCGCTAGGTATGACGGGGCGAGGAAAGAGGAGCGCAGCAGAATCATCACCCTCATCAAGGCCTGCGAAACCGACGTCGCGCTGTGGCACCTCATGGAGGCCGAGATATTTTCCCTGCCCAAGGAACTCGGAATCTTGCGGAGCAGCAAAGCAAAGTCACCGGCGAAGCGCGGCGGGAAAAGGTCGGCCAAGGACAGGATATTGGAATCGACGGAGCCCCTTGGCGAGGATGTCCCTGCAGACGACAAGACGCGAAGCATGGACATCCACGGCCCCCTCTACCCCTACTTCCTCAACCTGGCGCTGACGTACTTCGACCGCTCCTTTACTCGCTCCTCGCCCTTTGCCTACCAGATCCTCCCCCGCATCAAGGAGCTCGGCCTCCTCTCCTACGTGCTGGGGGTCTCGACGCCCTTTTACGCACGCCTCGCCCGTATGTACTGGTACCGCTTCGGCGACGCCCACGGTGCGCTCGGTGTGCTGCGCGAGATGAACGCCGCCGGACTACAGCCTGACGATAGCGTCAGTGACTTGCTGACCCAGATTCGCCTCGACCTGCACGCATGCGCCGGTGGCGACCAGGGGCCCTTTGTCTCGGCCATCGTCAAGTCTCCTCCGTACGACGGGACCTTGACGCAGAAGCTGATGCTGGTGGAGAGCGAGGTTAGACAATCGTTCGAGGAGCGTGCGATAGAGCGACTCGTGTAGGGGATGGCCGAATCTCTTGGTGAGAGGTCTTTGCGAGTTCATGGACTGGCGTCATTTGACTGTATGATGACTGCACCACATCGCCCGCTGACGGGCACGGAGTATATAGAGGCATCTTGGGCAAGCTCACGTATGCCCACACCACCAGCAACAGCGCCCAAAGTCAGCATTGACGACGGAGAACAGCGTGGACGGCGGATACAGAGCGTCGTCTGACAGCCAGTCCGCATCGGGGATGGATCCTCGGAGACGCGGTGCGACAGACAGCTTGTTGCAAGCCGCCAACACGCGCAAGCCCATCAGGCCAAAGAATTCGCGTAGCACTGCGGAATTGGCTGTTGGATGGGGGGAACTTGAAGACGCCCTTGAACCGCTCCGATTCTGGGATTCCGTGGATGGAGCTCGATGCCGAGCACGGCATATCAAGAATCCAGTCAGGTGCCGACGTTGATCGCATACCTCGGCAGTTTGATATCGCCCGAGAAGCCTCTAGCCATCTTGTTGAATATAAAGCTTCGAGGACAGATTGACGAGTGAATCGTCCATATCGTCTGGATTACTGGTGCAACAAAAACCGTCGAGACTCGCCTCGATGCACTGCTCTCTCGTCGCCGCCTCGTCTCTGGTGTTGACCATCGCCATCCCCGTCCTCGCGAATGTCCAAGGCAGCGACTGCAAGTGCTTCCCCGGAGACAGCTGCTGGCCGCGCCCGGGCGACTGGGCGAGGCTCAACGAGACGGTCGGGGGCCGGCTCATTGCCACGGTGCCGCTGGCCTCGCCCTGCCATGTCCCCAACTACGACGCGCGTGCATGCTCCGCGCTTCGCCGGCAGAGGCATCACCAGGAGATCCAGTGAGTTGCCTGCTGGCTTACTGATGACTCGAGACGATGCCACCGTCTGGAGCTGATGCAGTCGCCGCTATGAAGCATGAAGTCGTCGTCATCGGTCATGTCGCCCCTGTTTGCCAACCGCACCTGCGACCCCTTTCGGGCCCGGAGCGAGCCCTGCGTCCTGGGCAACTACGTGCGGTATGCCGTCGACGCCAGGGGGCCTGACGCCATCATCGCCGCCCTCGGGTTTGCCGCCGAGCACAACATCCGCTTCGTCATCCGCAACACGGGCCACGACTACCTCGGCCGCTCGACGGGCGCCGGGGCCCTCGCCGTCTGGACCCATCACCTCAAGGCCATCCAGGTCCTGGACTGGGCCGACGAGCGCTACGTCGGCAAGGCCCTAAAGGTCGGCGCCGGCGTGCAGGGCTTCGAGGCTCTCGAGGCCGCCCGCAACGCCGGGCTCGTCGTGGTGACGGGCTCGTGCCCGAGCGTTGGGCTTGCCGGAGGCTATACCCAGGGCGGTGGCCACTCGCCCCTTAGTACCGTGTACGGCTTGGCGGCCGACAATGCCTTGTCTTTTGACGTCGTGACGCCTTCGGGCCGTCTTGTCACGGCATCCCCGTCGGCGCAGCGAGACCTCTTCTGGGCCCTGAGCGGAGGCGGCGGGGGCAACTACGGTGTCGTTGTGTCGGCGACTGTCAAGGCGCACCCGGATGCCGTGGTGAGCGGTGCGTCTTTTCAGCTCACGATTCGCCCGGGAGAGGAGGAGAGGCTCCTCGGAGCCGTAGACGCCTTCCACGCCGCCCTGCCCGCCATGGTTGACGCCGGAGTCATGATCATGTATAGGTTTAGCCGCAACTTTATCGAGGGCCTCGGCATGACGGCGTACAACATGACAAAGCCCCAAGCAAGGCTGGTCCTGCAGCCCTTCCTGGAAGTCGTCGCCACCGTCGGGCTCCCGATCAAGGCGGAATTCACGGAGTTTTCCTGCTACCACGACCACTTGAGCCATTACTTTGGCCCGCCCCCCCGCGGCAACATCGGGGTCGGCATTTCGCTATACGGTGGGCGCCTGATCCCCCGACCCGCCCTCGCTGGCTTCTCGCCCGCGGCGCGCAGGCTGGTCGGGATGCAGGCGACGGTGGTCGGCGTCGGCCTCGACGTGTCTCGCTTCGGCCCGCCGGCCACGACCAACGCCGTACTGCCGCAGTGGCGCAGCGCAATCGCGCTAGCCATCATCACCCTGCCCTGGAACTTCGACAAGCCCTACGAGCTCATGGCCGCCGAGCAGGACTGCATCACGCGCGAGCTGCAGCCCGCCATCGAGGCAGCCACGCCCGGGGCCGGGGCCTACATGAACGAGGCCGACTTCCAGGAGGCGTTTTTCGGGGACAATTACCCGGCGCTGCTGCGCATCAAGAAGAGGTACCATCCGCGCGGGCTGCTCTACGCGAAGGCTGGGGTGGGCAGCGAGGAATGGCTTGTCAAGGGGGATGGCCGGCTGTGTCGGGTGGCGACACGAGGGAGGGCGTTCCTGAGACACGACGCCACACCCGTCGACCTTGGGCTCTTGACTGAGGTGTCTCGGGAGACTGGTCGCGGGGCGAGGGATGGGAACTCAAGGGTTGGTTGGAAAGATTGATGGGGGACAGGCAGAGGTTATCGAGCTGAGAATAAAACGGCAGTGACATGTTATGTGCCTCCATTTCAGACGGCATCAAATCGCCTTGCAACATCATTCGCACCGCCTCTGCTGCTAAACATGCTTCTCAGGTCCGCGACAAGCACGTCCGGGCACTCATATGCCGCAAAGTGGCCGCCCTCGGTGTGCTCCGCGTCGAAGACGACGGGACCCGACAACGACCCCCAGGCCTTGGGCAGCACCAAGAGGTCCTTGGGGAACCGAGAGATGCCCAGAGGCACCCTCGGAACGTAGCCAATGACCTTGCCAATCTGCTCGCGCGAGCCGTGGCTTAACTCGTAGTAGATGCGCAGGCTCGCGGCCGGGCCGGCGGTGGAGAATTGGTAGACGGAGACCCAGGTCAAGGCGTCGTCGTCGGTCCAGGGGTACTCGTCGGTCCAGTGATGGAGCTTCTCGTAGACCCAGGCCAGCAGGGCGACGGGCGAGTCGGCCAGGGCGAGGCCCGGGGTGGCCGGCTTGGTGGCCTGCAGCACCGAGTATCCGGACCCTTCCAGAAGGTGGTGCCACGAGCGAGACAGACCGGCACGTTCGAGGGCCGAGGTCCAGCCAAGGGCGTGCCGGATGCCGAGCCACAAGGCCCCGGGGAGGGACGGCCTGACGACGAGCATGTTGACGTGCGAGGCGAGGCAGTGCTCGGGGTACCGCAGCCCGATCATGCGGGTGATGAAAAAGCCAAAGTCGCCCCCTTGCGTGACTGTGAGGCAGAAGAAGAAGGGGGCGGGGAGTGAGACTTGGTCCGAAGGAGAAGAGGCTGTGTAGTGCAGACTCACCGTACTGATGGTAACCCAGCTTCAACATGAGCCTGTGGAGGCACTCTGCGTACTGCGCGAGGCCGAAGCCCCTCTTGGTGACGGCCTCGGAGAACCCAAAGTTGGGCAGCGACGGAGCGACGACATGGAACGAGGGGCCGCCGTCCTTGGGCTCGGCGAGCAGCGGGAGGATCTTGATGACTTCGAGAAAGCTTCCCGGCCCTGTTTTCGTCACCCGCTCGTCAAGCCGGGCCCTGGACTATCTTCGGGAGGCCATACAGAGAAGGAGACTCACAGCCATGGCAGAACAAAAGCGGGATGCTGTCCTCGCGACTGCTCCTCCGATGGACAAAGTGAAGCTCGAGCTCGCCGAAGCCGCCGTCGACGGCGATGGGCGTCGTAAACTGCGGCAGCGCCTTGTTGAGCCGTGCCTCGTGCGCGCGCCAGTCGAAGCCGTCCCGCCAGTGCTCGGCCAGGCGCTGGACGTCCCGGAGCGGCGCGCCGGCGTTCCAGTCGTCGGAGAAGCCGGCCTCGGCTGGAAATGTGGCGGCGGCCAGCTTGCTACGCAGACGCTCGAGGGCCGCGTCTGGAACGGCAATCTTGAAGGGTCTGACTTGGTGCGACATTCCGATGGCGGCGTGCTGTGGGGGAGGAACGTCGAACAGGAGGCAATGGCACGGTAGATGGCGAATCGAAGGAAGATGTCGAATCTCGATGAAGCCGATGGGTTCCCTGACATGGAGCCAAGATGCCAGCAGTTGAACCTGACGGCGGTCCCGCGGGGACGGCGTAACCTTTCGAGTCCGCCTCCGACTCCGGGCGAGCGCAGGCCGGAACCCGTCGAAACACACACGGTACTTTTCCCATTCGGCATCCCGAGATGTATATATGCAGCTCGCAGTCCATTAATTGAGGTCGGACTGTGGCGTAGAGACAGGCTGAGCAGCATATACAGTACAGTTGACGGTGCAAGGCGAGTTGCGTCGATGACAACGGCAACTCACATCCAGTCTCACAGCTACCCTTGAGAGACTCCTGCTACGGTGGGCTTGCTAGCGGCTTATCCAGTAACACCTTGTATAACGCGTGGCTCTATGTACAGGTAGCACAGCATGACGAACATCAGATGACTCTGGCTTGCATCGCCTGTACAACACGACCGGTGAAGCCAGACTGAGTGCGCCCCGTCTTACAGCGAGGGATCAGACAGACGGGTCCTTCCATTCGCCATCGCTACACCCTTGTGTTGATGCAAGACTTCGGATTGCCCCGTTTGTGTTGATGCAGCATCGAGGTGAACGGCCGCCCATTTCCGCTCAAATGCACAGCATGACGGCGCCCTCAAGCGGCGGGCAAAGATTGCTTTCAGTCCTCTTGTTCCGGATCCCCTTTTAATTGTAAGCTGGCGACGCATGATGCATATCCTGCTCAGGCCGTACTCCGGTCAGCCATGGGCGTAATGTCGACAACTTGGCGATTAGTCTGTGTGTGGTTTCGCGGACTACAGCCAAGAAACTCTGCAGTCGATAACATGTAGACCTTGTCCCAAGTCGCTGGCTGCCAGGATTCGCCATGATGCTCAAGTTGACGGTAAAGAAGTCACCGTTGATGTGTCCACCGACCGAGGGGTCTGGAGATTGTCTCATGCCGAGGAGGTATTTACTGGTTTGTCAAACCACGAGACTCGAGGCCACCAAAACACCGCCAGGGCAGGGGAGGTATTCGAGTAATACTGCACGTGGCAAGCATCCATCAACTCGCACAGAGCGCCGAGGCACGCTGCCTTGCTCCCGCCGCGATCTCGCCAACCTGGAGCACGATGCCCATGCCTGCCGCTTGGTGCCACAAGACATGGCAGTGGAGGAGCCACAGCCCGTCGTTGTCCAGCGGCAAGCGGAGCACGACGTGGCCCTGAGGCGGCACGTAGACGGTGTCTTTGCGCAGCGGGTTGGCCGTGTTGACGGGCGGCGCCTGGGCAGCAGCGGCCGGGTCGAGGGGATTGTAGCCAATGGCCTGGCCCATCTGGGCCTGTCGACTCGCGACGACAAAGAAGCTGTAGCCGTGCTTGCGGAGAGTTAGCTTCAGGCCCAGGACTTCTGGCAGGCCACTCGTCCACTCACCATGTGAAACGGGTGTCCCTTGTCGTCAAAGTTGTTAATCACAAGCTCAAGCCATCTGCTCTGGCCGGATTCCCGGAACCAGGGGACCTTTAGAGTCTGGGCCGACGTCGGCTGAGGGATGGCCGAGGACCACTGCTCGCGGTCCAAGGAGAGAAGCGGCTGGCTCTTGGGATCCGACACGGCCCAGGACGTGTGATTGACGGTGCCGACAGGCCGGTTGTGGTTGGCAGCCCGCACCAGCATCGTCGTGTAAAGCACGGCAGTCTCGTGGGGGTGCTCGATGAGGCCGGCGAGGGCCGGGTCGAGCGGCGGCCCCGAGGCGTCTCCCAGGGCGAGATGCGGCACGCCGGCTTCTGGGCCGTGCCGCCTGTGCGTCGAGGCGGCGCCGCCCTTGCCTGCCTTCCACACGAGGGGAAACGACTGCTTCCGCGTGAGGGCAAAGTTCTTCAAGCCCATGTTTCTGGGGTTGAAAACGAGGTGTCAGCATTCTCGCTGGCCGCATGAGACACGCCGTTGCGCACGCCGAGACTCAAACCTACTCCTTGTCAAGCGCGATCCTCAGCCTAGGCGGGTCGCCATCTACCCGATGGGCGACGTGAGCCGAGCTGGCCGCCATCGGAATTCTGCGGTCCACGACGAGATCCATCCGCTCGCCCGGGTACAGCACACCAATCGCGGCGGCGGCGGGCGTGCTGGCTGAGACAGGGCCGCCACCGTCGACGGCAATGAGTCTCATGGTCCCGTGCGTGAGCGAGAGAGTCAGACCCGACGTGATGCTAGGCGGGAATCGAGTTAGTCGGGCAACGGCTGACGAGCCGGTGCAAGTCAATGACGACGACATACCCGGTGTTGACGATTCGCAGCCGGACCCGGTCGCTGCCCGCCAACCTCACGGCCGGCTTCTCGACGGCACTGCAGTTGACCGGGCGGGCTTTGACGGCCATGGAGCAGTCGTAGAAGCCTTGGCCGTTGATGAGCATCGAGTCGGGGGCCGGCTGGGCGATGTCTGTGTTAGCCCGAGACGGAGAGGAGCAGACGTCGACTGCAGGAAGAAAGGCAAAAACACGGCGCGCTCTTGATGGCAGCCATGTCCAGCTGCGTGCAAGCGTACCTCGTAGGCATAGTGGTTCGGATCCATGAACCAGTCGAGCACGGCGCCGGCCGGCCGATGGTACCAGTCGCCGACGAGGAGGAGCTGCTCGGCCTCGTACTGATACGTCGACAGGTCCGAGCCGTGCTTCTCGTGCGCCGAGACTGGCTTGTGGATGACGAGGCCGCCAAACAGGCCGTCGGCGCGCTGCACGCCTGCGTGGGCATGATACCTGGACGTGCATGTCAGGAGCCGACTCGGCATCCATGTCAATGAGACAAGCCGGCCTTACCAGAAAGTGCCGGACTGCTGTTCATGGATGCGAAACCGGTACGTAAAGTCCTCGGCCGGGCCGATGGCGCATTGGGTCAGTCCCACGGCGCCGTCCATTTCGTTGGCACCTGGCGAGAGTTCAAAGAGTTGGAACCATCAGTCACTTGTCGGCCCAGGAATGACGACGGAGAAGCTCGAGGATGCGTACCTTTCATGAGGAGGCCGTGCCAGTGCACCGAGATGCCCTCGCCATGGTCGCCGTCGATGGAGTTGCGCACATTGACGACCAGCTCGTCGCCCGACCGAGCCTCGACCAAGGGACCCGGAAACTGCCCTGCCCGGCGTGCATGTCAGCTGTGCGCTCTCCGCTTGGTTCTGGCCCCATCGCTCAAGGACCCCCCCTCTGAAGCGGATCATATCGACAGTCTGCGTAGTCGACCTTGGACCAAAGTCCAGATGGCCCGAGACTCACCGTTGATCAGATACACAGACTTGGAGACTCCATCGGGCGAGCGCGTTGCTTTGGTCACGTTCCAGGCCAGGTGGATGGCCCGGGCCTCGCGACGGATGTGGTTTTCGGGGTGAAGAATGAAGCCGTCGTCGGCCCCGGCGCCGCCTGAGGGGACATGCGCCCGGTCACTCGCGTCATACTGGCCGTTTGGCGTCGTCGGAGCGCGAAGGGCATAGAAGCTGGCAAGGTAGAGGACCGTGGCGGTGGCGCAAAACAGAGCAGCAGACAAGACGGCGATCAACGGCCGCCGCCGGCGTCGCAATGGCCCGGCCGTGGCCGTGGCCGCTTCCAGACTTGCATCAAGATGTGCTCGCCCATGTCCGGGGCGGGCTCGATGGTGCTTCTCCATGCTGGGGATGATGCCCTCGCACCAGCGCGGCCGAGAGGTCGAGAGAGCGAGCGCCTTGGGCCTGGTTGAAGCTGTCCACGGCGTCGAGGCACCGTCGATGGATGGCCGAGGCTGGTTGGTGGTGGTGTCTGCCGGTCTGCCCTAGGGATCGGGAACACAGCGGGCGGCGACCAGACGCAGGCACAAAAGCTCCCTAAGCTGACATGGCCCTCTCCTTGGATGTGAGGAGTGTCTCGAGCAATTTCACGACGGCGCGGGAGAAAGACAGGGAGGGAGGCTTTCCGGTTTATCTTGTGAGTCAAGCTGGGCCAAGGGAGCCTTCAAGGACCGCCAGCAGTGTCCGTAGACTCGTGGGATCGAAGGCTGCACGCAACCAGTCGACTTGGCAAGCGACACGGGTCCGAGGCCCAGGACCCAGCCGCTGTGTTAGTGTCGAATGCCGATCTGGGGCAGACCCAGTCCAAGGGATCCGATCAAAAAGCCCGGGCCGGGGGGTGGCAAACCCCGGCTCAACCACTGCGACGGCCCCTCTCTATATGTCTGGTGACACTGCGGAGAAGGTAGCATAAGTAGCACATGCCCAGCATGCTGTATGTACTCTGTGTGTATGTGCGTGTGCGTGTGTGTGTAGCCGTGGCTGTCGAGTCCCCTCGGATGACCAGACTTGACGAGGACGAGGCCTTGATGAGCTGGTCCCAGGGAACCAAAGGGCGTCCAAACCCTATGCTTTCTTTTCTCTCCGAGTCTGTCCCTGACTCCCTGATCCCCTTGGTGTCTCTACCACCGGCGGCTGCGGCGTCGAAACTCTGTTGCAAACTAGCCCCGACACAGGCTCCATCCCCAGCCACTGGCGTGCGGCCCAGCCGGCAGAGACACCGTCTTTGATTTCAGCACCGGGATGCCCCGCGGGCCTCCACCAAGTATGCCAGGGAAGGGAAAAGGGGGGGGAGGGGGGGGTGGAAGGGCCTTGTCGAGGCGGGTAACAACAGCATTGTACGCGCAGGTTTTAACTGTAGGCACCGCCACTTCAAAGCCGGGTAACGGCAGCTCCCAACCTGTGTGCCGTGGCGAGAGTTGAACCCGCGGACGAGCTGTGTGATCACCTGAACCGCTGACCTGGCGACCCCGTCCCTCCTTTGTCACCTCTTGTCCCGTCCTGCCACTGCCACTGCCACGCTGTCGCTGAGCGATATAATTCTTCGAGTGCTACAGCAGCTGGGCAGAGGAGCGAGCCCCGGAAGTTGAAGAGTCCCCGAGCCGCATCTCGAGCCGCGCTCCTCGCTGCCGGACCAGAAGCCGTCGACTATTGAAGCCACTGCTGCCCGGCCTTGGCTCCGCTGTAGCTCTTTTCGCCCGTACGACAGCCATCTCGTGCAGGCGCGCGCTTTGCCATCCGTGCCCGCCTCGGAACTCCCCCGCTTGTGCGCGAGTATATATGGTGGGCGAGCCCGGCTGCTGCCGCCGGCTCCGACGGGCCCAGTCGGACAAGTCTGCGGACCTCTTCACCGCGCCCGAGTCCTGAATCACGATCCACTCTCGCAGCCACCGGAAGCGAGTTCAGCCCGAGGCACAGCGCGACGGCCGATGCTCTCGGCGCACCTTCGCCTTTGAGTTGTGTCTTGCCCCGGCTCCCGCCACGTATCTTCCGCCGTCGACAAAGCGACAACACGGCCAGCATGCGGCCCGCAAGCTCCCTGGTGCTGCCGGCCTTGGCCGTGAGCCAAGCAGCCCTCGCTTCCTCGCTGAGGGACGTCAAGCACATTGTCCTGTTCATGCAGGAGAACCGCGCATTTGACCACGTAAGTCGCGTTGATGCACTCCCCTTTACGCGATGCTGGGCTCGTCTGTCCGCCGGACGCAAAGCTCACACGATTCAAGTACTTTGGCACCATGTCTGGTGTGCGAGGCTTCGCCGACCCCAACGTCCAGGTCAACCTAGACGGACGCTCCGTGTTTGAGCAGTAAGTGCATACACACGCGCCGTCCAACTGTGCGCTTCCCCTTGCTGAAACAGCCTGCCAGGCCCATCAACCCGCCCGTCAACGGCGTCGACATACTGAAGCCCTGGCACATCAACCAGCTGGGCGGAGAATGGAACGAAGCCACCCAGTGCATGGGCGCCGGCGACAACGGCTGGCAGGCCATGCACGCGGCCTACAACGGCGGCCTGGGCAACAACTGGACCCGCGCCGACAGCGGCTACAGCCTGGGCTACTTCACCCGTCAGGATCTGCCGACGCACTTCGACATTGCCGAGGGCTGGACCATCCTCGACATGTCTACGCAGAGCGTCTTGGCGGCCACGGACCCGAACCGCATCATGTGGATGAGCGGCTCCATCAACATCCCCGGTTCTCCGTCCAACCCGGACGGCAAGGGAGGCCTGATCATCGACAACACGGCCACGCCTGGTAAGCCAGCTCGTCTTCCTCCACCGCGTGCTCTTCCTGCTGACTCTTATGCCCAGGCTGCGAGGCGCCGCGCATAAACTGCTTCCCCTTTGTGTGGAAGACGTTCCCGGAATACCTCGAAGACGCCGGCGTGTCTTGGCAGGTCTGGCAGGACCTGGACAACTTCGAGGACAACATGCTGGCCTACTTTGAGCAGTACCAGCGGGCGCCCAACGGCTCGGCGCTGCGTGAAAAAGGCAACTCGTACCCCGGGCTGGACAGCTTCTACGCCCACGCCGCCAAGGGAACCCTGCCACAGGTCAGCTGGATCGTCGGACCCCAGGAGCTGGCGGAGCATCCCCCAAACATGCCTGTCGATGGCGCGTGGCTCCAGAAAAAAGTCGTCGACGCCATCACCAGCAGCCCGGCTTACAATGAAACGGTCCTGATCATCAGCTACGATGGTGAGTAGTCCCCGAGTTTGCAGAGGAGGCAGTCATCCAAGCATAGATGAGGGTTCGACTTAGTCGTAGAAGACCGAGGCGAATGCTGATCTGGTCTACAGAGCAAGGAGGCTGGGCGGACCACGTGGTCCCCAAGGTCCCCAAAAAGGGCACGCCAGGAGAGTATCTCGATGACCCGTACAAGCAATACGGCAACGTCCCCGTAGGGCCAGGTTCGTCATGTCATGTCTCGCTGGCCAGCTCCTGTCACTGACTCGCAACCGAACTCAAGGGTGGCGAACACCGCGCTACATCATCTCGCCGTGGACCCGCGGCGGAAACGTCTTCACCGAGGCCGCCGACCACACCTCGGACATCATGTTTGTCGAGGAGTGGGCGGCCGCCAATGGCTACCGGAACGTCCGCAGCAAAGAGCTGACGAAATGGCGCCGCGATCACATGTCCAACCTCGTCAACGCCTTTGACTTTACAAAGGTATGTGAGAGAAACACAATTTCTGCTTTTGTCAGGCCGAGCCTGGCCCATGCGGCGTGCCTATCATCAACCGTAGACATCCCGTGCTGTGGGTGTGGCTGCTGACCGCGTCCCCTGACAGCCCAATTACTCGGTACCCGACATTGCAAAGACGCGCACCCCCGAGAGACTTCCGGACGACCCGGATGATTACTCGGGCAACCTGACGCTCGGCTCCTTGACGGGGCCGTGGGTGGGCCCGGCCAAGTGCCTCTCGGACCACAGGGCAACGCGGCCGCCGATCCCGTACGGGCCGGGAAACGCAAACCAGAACATGAGCAGCCTGGTCGAGGAGGGTTTCAAGCGCGTTCGCGGCCAGCTGACCGAAGGCCGGTTCCTGACCTTTGAGATTGGCGGCCAGGCCCTTACCAACAGCAACGGCCGCTTCGTCGACATTGCCAACGCCACGGAGCGCCACGACGACATCAGGCAGCGCTGGGTCATCAACGCCGTCGACTGGTCACCCAACACCTTCTACATCCAGTCCGCCGTCGACAAGAAGTACATTTCCGGCCTGCCCGACGCGGGTGGCCTGACGCGGAACTACTACCTGGCCCAGGCCTTTAACATAGACTACAACCCGTACGGCGCCACCTACAGCCTCAGCATCGACAACGACGGCAGAAGCAAGAATCGCTTCGTCACCATGAAAGCCCAGAGGCCCTTGACCTTGAACAGGTCGCCGGTTGATTGGGACGGCCCTGGTTCAGACTGGTTCGAGATTTTCAGCGTCTCCTACCACTGAGAACCTTGCATCGGTCTGGCCGCACGCCTTTGGTGATTCACAACTCCCTTTTGGTTCTGGACAATTGCCGGCCAGAACTCTCACCTGTCAATACGGCATGCCTCGGCTCTCATGCTCATCAGGACGCGTCAGACGGCGTCAGACGCTTGACTGCAGATGGGCCATGCTTATATAGCCCCGGGTTTGTATTAAGGGCAGCATTCTTAGGTTTCTGTACAGAAACGCCCACTAAACTTTTCTTCCTGTATTTACTGGAGAGTTATGGCGGAAGAGGGGTCAACGATTGAATTACATGTTGGCAGAGCCGTCTTGATAAACCTTGTTCATATTCTGCCATGTTAGCCGTCCCGCTCTGTGATGTGAACCACTCAAGCATTGGAGCTGAAATGTTTCTGTATCTTTGTAGCTACGTTCATGATGCTTGATAGCAACCAATATTTACTCTGTCCTCGTTTGTTTATTTTCTTGGCCAGCACGCCTGTCTGTTAGCTTGAAATCGGTGGAGGTCATTCGAGGCCACCTGAACACTTCTACCATCCGGCGGACGACGTGGACGACCGATCGATGGGCTCTTTAGAAGTAGAGACCTGCTGTTTCCTCCCTCCATGATGTTTGGGAGGCCAATAGGCGGAACAACGAACGCCACCATGAGTCATATTCCTTGTCGTAGCTGTCACTTGGACTGACCCGTCTCGTCATCCTTCACGAGGCTGACATCAAATCGTTGCTTGTAGAGATCTAGCAGCAAATCAACAGGTGGGTGAAGATGTCAGTGTTCTTCCCAAGATGTAATACGCAAAAGGTGCCCTCGTGGGGGCCTGCTCAGTGGCAAGAAGGGGGAGCAGGTCAGTTGGTGGACTCTCGAGCAAGACCAGTATCCCCCCCAAGCACGAGTGTAGGTCATGACAACAAAGAGCCGATGTACGCCTACTAGGCTTGTCACTGAGAAACAGTACTGAATTGCGTGGTTCAATTTATCCGAGCTACATTTCCCCGAGCACCTCGACCAAGCCCTGTCACATTTCGCCCTGCCGTGTCTTCGCCAAGCAATGACCGGCAGCAATGAGCCATCTCACGTTCACTTGTTCAAGTGTAAAGCCTCTTTGACTTTGTCGAGCGTAGACTCCTTGTGGGCGCCCTCGGGGTGGCCGGTGTGTGCCTCGCCCGGGGCATCTGCGCGTTTGGTCTCTGCTGTTCGACGGTCGTCATGCTTGTGTAGCTGCCGCGAACAAAATTGTCATCGGCAAGCACTGGATCTGAGGTTATGGTACATGCTTGCCTTGTCTTCCTCGACTTCGGCGTTGTGAATGAGGTCATGGCCCTCGATGGCCGCTTCGTCGGTGATGCCGCTCATTGCGGTTATGGTCGATGGGTGTTGATGTTGTGTTCTCGCTTTGCGCTCCGAGCTCTTGGGGTCATCAGACTTTACTTGCGTTCGACCATCGGCCGCATGGCGTTTGTTATATAGACGAATGCTGTTGACGCGCACCTGGAGAGCCACTCCGCTGTCGTCATTTCCGCCGCAATGTCGTAGCATGATGCTCGTCAACGTCATGGCCGGTGGCAGAAATATGAGCGTCGAATGATATTCATGCTTGGGGACCCCGCGTCGACGTGGTGGTGGGTGATGTGGCGAGAATCCAGACTCGTCGCGGACAGTCTAGGAGAGCAGGATGAACTGTGGGAAAGGGAGGTGGCAGAGGTTAAGCACCGTATGGCTTCAAACTGTGTCGTGCGGGCAGGACAGAACAAGACACGGGAGCTGGGAAGTGATGAAACGGGCGCACATGGGAATACGGGAAACGGGAAAACGCTGTATCGAGAAAAGGACGCTGGATTGGCTGATGTAGTTACTTGACCCCTTAAAGGGGCGAGATGTGAATGACGATGACTTCAGTTTCTGATGTCGTGCCGACACGGAAGTGCACGTCACAATAATATGTGCTTTGGGACGAAGTTTACCCTTCTTCGACCACGTAGCACAGGAATGTGAAATTCGTTTTGCACCCACTCCACAAGTCCACATAAACGTGAAGAGGCCAGCGAGAGTCAGGAGAAGCACACGATGGACGCTTCTTGATATAGATATGGGGATAGACCATATCAGGTGAATTTCTTGGAGAGGGACGTCGAAGAGCCACTACAGAACGGCACGGGCAAGGAAGCACCGCGAGTTCCTTCGTCGGATGCTGCAGCAGAGGAGGTGAAAATTCAAAGAGTGCCTGTCTGATAATCTAAACGAACACATACTCCATCCACATATTTCCCCTAGAGAACCCAAGTTCTATGGCTTCCATGTACAAGTTCAACCGCGCTGCACATGACGTGTGATTACATGTACTATAACATGGTCCACGCGAGACACCTCTCATGATCCAGGCCATTAACCGGCGACAAAGACCGTGCCACCGATGAGCTGGCATACAGTGTCGTCGTCAGCTGCTTTTCGCATCCCTGTCTTGATCTCCAAGTAGTCGGGTATCGGCTGTAGGTACTCGGGCAGAGACTGTCTCGTGATGGCTTTTCTTCTGGTCACGCACTGGGCAGGACATATATAATGCAGCACCCTCCGTCACCTCGATATTGATCATGAGACATACCGACGATGGCCTCGCGCAAGCAAAGGACTAGACACTAGCGATCTGCGACTGAAGCATCACCCGTTTAATCGTAGTGGCGTTGGCAAGAAGTACCATGAAGCCGTCAAAATCTCCTATTGGACAAGCATCCAGCTCCCGGCCTCACGGGGTGGCATCGCCTTGGGCCGAGTGCAATCTTCCACTGCCTTGCAGCCGTCCCCAGCTAGACGCGTTTGGTGATAGCACCAAGCCGTAACTCTGTAAGTGCGGCAGGTGCCATGTGTGAAGTCTTTCCAACGTATTCCCGAGGATCGCGGCATCTCTTTCTCCTGACGTGCACTGAGGGGAACCCAAACTTACCCAAACTTACCTTGACCAGCCGCGGCTCCGAACTCGGTGTCCGGGACCTCGCCCTTCCGCATAAGCTTGGCCAGCGAACCGCTCCACCGCAAAGTCAACCACAGCGCGTTCTCTGAAGCTGACCTCGTCGCACTCCCCCTCCCGAGACACCATGGCTTCCGAGACTAGCAGCCAGCGGACGCAGCCCGTCATCATCATTGGTGCCGGCCTGGCGGGCCTTGTGGCGGCGTTTGAGCTTTCCCAGCGCAACGTCCCCACCCTGGTCCTGGACCAGGAGAATGCAAATAACCTGGGCGGCCAGGCCTTTTGGTCCCTCGGGGGCATCTTCATGGTCGACTCCGCTGAGCAGCGCCGGTGCGGCATTCGCGACTCGCGCGAGCTGGCCATGCGAGACTGGCTCGGCTCGGCCGGCTTCGACCGCGACGACCAAGACTTCTGGCCCCGGCAGTGGGCCAAGGCCTTTGTCGACTTTGCCGCCGACGAAATGGAGGACTACGTCAAGGCCCGCGGCATGGGCTTCCTCCTCAACGTCGGCTGGGCCGAGCGGGGGGATGGAACGGCAGACGGCCATGGCAATTCGGTGCCGAGGTTCCATCTGACGTGGGGCACCGGCCCAGAGGTGGTCAGAGTCTTTGCCGAGCCCGTCCAGAAAGCTGCCGACCGGGGCATCGTCGAGTTCAAGTTCCGCCACGTCGTCGACGAGCTGTTGGTGGACGAGTCGTCGGGGCGAGCCGTTGGCGTCAAGGGGCGCGTCCTCGCCGAGGACAACTCGCCCCGTGGCGTCAAGTCGTCCCGCACCGAGGCTGGCCGCTTCGAGATCAGAGGCGCCGCCGTTGTCGTCTCGTCGGGAGGCATCGGCGGCAACGTCGACGCCGTCAAGGCCGCCTGGCCCCTGGAGCGCCTGGGGCCCAAGGTCCCCGAGCACTTTGTCGTCGGCGTGCCCGCCCACGTCGACGGCCGCATGTTTACCATTGCAGAGACGGCCGGGGCTCGCGTCATAAACCGCGATCGCATGTGGCACTACACCGAGGGCCTCGACAACTGGAACCCCATCTGGCCCGGCCACGGTATCCGCGTGCTGCCGGCCCCCTCGTCGCTCTGGCTCGATGCCACAGGCCGACGGCTGCCGCCCTTTCTCTTCCCGGGATCCGATACACTTGCCACGCTTCAGTACATCTGCAGCACGGGGCACGACTACACGTGGTTCATCCTCGACCAGTCCATCATCGCCCGCGAGTTCGCCCTGTCCGGCTCGGAGCAGAACCCGGATATCACCGACAAGAGCATCTGGATGCTCCTCACGCGCGTCTTTGGCCGTAGAGGGACAGTGCCCGTGCAAAAATTTCAAGAAAATGGTAAGGACTTCGTCGTTCGCGATAATCTACAAGACTTAGTCGCCGGCATGAACAAGTTGGCAGCCGAGAGAGGAGGGCCCGTCCTTGAATACGAGACCGTCAAACGAATCGTCGACGCTCGCGACGGCCAGATGGACAACAAGTATTCCAAGGATGCACAGGCAATGCTGATTCACAACGGGCGGTCGTACTGGCCGGATAAAATCAGTCGTGTCGCCAAGCCACATCGACTTCTGGACAAGGCACATGCACCGCTCATCGCCGTCCGCATGAATCTGCTGACGCGCAAGACGCTGGGTGGCATCGAGACCAACCTCAGCAGCAACGTCATCCGAGCTGACGGCAAACCGTTTCCTGGTCTCTACGCGGCTGGGGAGACGGCGGGCTTCGGCGGCGGAGGCGTCCACGGATACCGGTCGCTTGAGGGCACATTTCTGGGCGGATGCATCTTCTCGGGCCTCAAGGCGGGACGGGCCATTGCTGATGAGCTGAATTACCGGAGCATGGAGTAGAGCAAGGCATGGATGGGTTTACAGAGCGTGGTTGAAGCGCTTGGCTCGTCCGCACATATCGGCGTAGAGGGGGTGTCTTTCGGGGCAAGTTGTCCCGAGACTGCGGCACGATATATGCTCCGTAGAGCACTCCATTTTATAGCCTCATAGGATTTACGGCCGAGAGCTGCTATCGAGATGGCTACCAATCAGCGGCGTGCAAGCCCTTTCGAAGCCTGTGACCCCATGCCCGCCGAGACTTCGGGCATATGAATAACCGCTCATGAGACATTTTCTTTACCCCTAACTACATGTACGCGATATGCTTCAGGTTAAGACACTGGGGATCAGGCCGAAGCGCCGACTGAGATGGGTAAATGAAATCATAACCGCCTAACTCTGTAGTCCTGGCTGTATAGGAGTAATAACGCGACGCAAAGCAGGAATGGGTAGGCAGTTCCACTTACCACTTCCTTCCATGCAATCACCTGCACTTCGTACCCTTCTGACAAGCCAACCTATTGATGAGGAGGAGACGGTGATGTAGACCCGCCGAGTTTCTCTCCGGACCCCAATTAGGTAAAAGATGCCAGTACATACTTGCTCCCTTGGCGAAGCCAATTATTCGATTAATTGACCCACCATGGCACTGGGAAGCCCGTTCGGAATGGGGTTGCTTAAGTCGGGCGATTTCCTATATGTTAGGACGACAAATATTGGTCTTCTTCTCAGTTCATGAAGAAAACCGAAGCGGACGATCTGTACTTTGATGCCACGTGGGAGGTTTCGCGGAATAGCCCGAATATGAGGCCATGCTGCTTCAGAACGCTACTTCGAGCGGGAGTTGCTCGAGCCTAAGCGTTTGCCCAACATAGATGAAATATATTACTCTTTCAGCTCATTAGGAAAGCCAACGCAGTGACTTCCTACTTTGATGTTATGGATGGAGCTCGTACGAAATACCTGAGGCCGCATTTTGAGACTTCGGCGACTTCCCCAGCTGCCGACAATTCAGCTGCAACGGCATCCCAATATATTCATCAAACATGGCATAGTATCTTTATAATGAAACATCTTCACGACTCTTGTTCTTGGCGTATTGCACCTCGTGGGAGTCTCCAGGAGGCTACGGCATTGAGTCGTGATGAGCTCGGTGATAAATAGTCGAGGACCGTGACTCCTGGCTTCCATGTTCCCATCATCTCGCCTTTATCCAATCTCATCCAAGCTCGCCTTTGTCTTTCTTGCCTCCGAGAGCAAAATGGACAACACCAGCGTCAAGTTCTGCCTCGTCGCGATTGTGTTGTTGCAGGGCGCACTCGGTAGCCCGCAACACGGTCCCACGAGAGATAGAGCATGTAGCGGACAAGGCGTAAGTCATCTAGCTCCGGCATGTTCACTCCGTTATTATGTTGAACCACCAATGCTAATCGCCAAACGACTTGGATTGTCATCTACAGCAATTCTGCGTTGAAAACGTGAGTTTTGCACATTCCCGTCCCAGGCGCGCAGACGTTTGCTAATCGTTCAAGATGTCCAACTGCTGCCCGGGATATGTGTGTCGCTACCACGAAGCACTGACAACGTCCCTGTGCGGCTCCCCATGAAGAATTGAAAGTGCTGTGAGTGTAACTGCAGTGTAAAAGTCGGCTCAGCGCTCACGTATCCGAATTCACAGCCATTTCGCAGTTCAGCGCATTCCCCGTCGGAGGGCCCATCGACAATGGCAGGGTGGCTGATGACGAACCCTGTGAATCAAGGGGCGATGAATGACTTCTCGGAGTTGCTCGAATTATTTGCATCACGGCGCTTTGTGGGAGCCACGGGCTCTTGGATGGTGTTATGAGAAACACATGACGAGCAGACCTCCTCTGCGTTCCCGTCTTTCGAGTGGCTGCCGCGTCCAGCACCATTAGCACCAGAGCTGCCGCGTCAGACATCTTGGCGTTCGAAGAGCTATGCATCATTTCCGCGTAAGCAATGCATCTCGCTCGCCAGCAGAATGGTCGTAACCATGCACCATTTGCTCAGAATCCGGACACATGCCCAGCAGGGCTCAAGATGCGGAACTGAAGAGGCAGGAAAATGTTTTGGAATTCTAGAAACCATATGCGTCCAGTGTTACCCGCGCAACAAGAACAAACATGAAGCCACGAGCTATGAATAATGAAAATTAGGATATCTCAGACCCCTTTGGCCCTTTTTGACTCACAAACCCAGTGATACCAAACTCCATCCAGCTTCCAACAAAGAAACATAGGGAATATAACATATACCGGTCCCGATATCCAGCAGGACCTGTCGTCTGATTTAAAACAATAACGCCTCGAGAATGAGATCGCGCTTCAGTCAGCACTGAAAGGGTGATGCATGTCGCGAACCACGTTTTAGGGGTTTCTTTGGGCGGATATGGAAAGGCAATATGCTAATTGGCGACAGGAATGGAAGCATCCAAGTTGTCGAGCGTAGCAAGGTCACGAAGTATGGGGTTTTGGAAAACGTCTCGCACGGAGAGGGCGAGGCCCCTGTTCCGCGCGTTGCCGACCAACCTCATGGCCCCGATAGAGTCTCCACCGATGCGGAAGAAGCTGTCGTCGATACCGATGCTCTCCGGCTCGATGTTGAGGACCTCGGCCCACAGGGTCTGCATGATGCGCTCAGTGTCGGTCCGCGGAGCCCGGCGATCGCCGTCAACCCGGCTCAGTTTCGCAATGTCCTTGGCCGAGAGCGCGGAGCCAATGCCGCGGAGCTGCCTGCGGTCTGCCTTACCCGTCGTCATCATGGGCACCGTCTGAATCGGGATATAAGCCGATGGGAGCATGAAGACGGGCAACGCCTCGGCAAGCCGGTCGTTCAGGCCCGTCGTTAGCTGCCGGACCGCGTCGTCATATTCCTCCGAGGCCAAGTCCTTTGCATTGTCGAGAGCCACAAAAGCAACGAGAATCTTGCTCTCGGCTCCGCTTGGCTGGATAGTTTCGGCAATAATCTGAACGCTTGCCGCGGGCTCGGCGGCTTTGACGGCTTGAAGTACATGGTGCTCAACCTCGCCCAGCTCGACGCGCTGACCCCTGATCTTGACCTGCGTGTCCTTGCGGCCGATGAAGAGGAGCGTGCCGTCTTCCTTGTACTGCACGAGATCACCCGTGCGGTAGACCAGCCCGCCGCGGCCGGCTCGGGTGCCGGGAGCGCCGCGCTTGAGCCAGGAGGGGTCTTGAATAAAGGCCGCTGCTGTCTTCTCGGGCTCGTTGAGGTACCCCTTTCCAACAAGAGGGCCCTCAAGCCATAGCTCGCCGATGGCGCCAATGGGAGCCAGGGCCTCGGGATTGTCAATGTCGACGACCCAAGTGCAGAGGCCAGCGGCACGGCCAATGCCCATCTCGCTGTTGCCCTTCAAGTGCAGGATGGTGCTCGTCGGTGTGCATTCCGCAGGACCGTAGGCGCTCACCACAAGCGTATCCTCGGGGACGAGGAGGGCATCGCTTGGAAGCACGACTTCGCCTCCCAGAAGGAGCGTCGTGAGGTTATGCAGCGCCGACTTGGGCTCGATGAAGCGGGCGACCGAGGGCGTGAGGTCCGAGACTGTGATCTTGTACTTTTCGAGACAGCCCGGCAGGTTGTTCTCACGCTCCGCGGCTGAGGGGATGCAAAGACAGGCACCGACGGTCAGCGTATTCAGCAGATTCGACCACGCGATGTCAAAGGCGTAGGAGGCAAAGTCGAAGACGCGGGAGTCGCGGTGGTACCCGAGGTCATCCCGCTGGTACACGATGGCACTGTAAAAGTTGCGATGCGTGATGATGGCTCCCTTGGGACGTCCGGTGCTGCCCGAAGTGAAGACGACGTAGAGAATCTCCGACGGGCTCACGGGCGGCAGGTCGGGATACCGCTCCGGGAGCGAGTCCGGAAGCCGGTCGAGGCCGACAACGACGACCTCGTCCGCCTCGAGCTTCTGCACGAGCTCCGCGTTGGCGACGGAGGACAGGATGACGAGGGGCTTCTCCGTCCGCACTTGGCTGGTGATGGCGCGGATGCGCTCCTCTGGCTGCGTCGAGTCGATGGCCACAGACGCGCCGCCGGCCTTCATCACGGCGAGCGCGGCGACAGGCATCCACATGGATTTCTCGAAGCACAGCGGCACAATCGAACCCGGACCTACACCCTTGCCGGCGAGTTGGTGAGCCAGCCGGGAGGACAGCTCGCTCAGTTGGCCATAAGTCAAGTCGCCGTCCCACGCGCTGATGGCAGGCGCCAAGGGGTGTTCAGCGGCGCGCGTCTCGATCAAGTCGTGCACGCAAGCCTCGATTGCCTCGGGCACCGTTGCGTTCCAGGTCCAGATATCGTCGAGGTCGCGCTGGCTGACCACAGTCACGTCCCGCAGCCTGTCCGAGCCTTGCCCGTCGACAGCCATCAGTTGATACAGAACGTGCTGGAATTGGTGGAGGATGCGCGAGACTTGGGCTTCCCCGACACAGTTGGAGTCAAAGGAGAGGGAGACGATGGCCCCGTCGGCTCCAGGACGGAGCTCGACCACCAGGGCGTGCGAGCCGGTGCCCTTCCAGCATTTCCTGTCTCCGTTCACGGCCGCAGGAGGCGTGCTGGCTTGGTTGGCAGGATAGACGACGAGAAGCGACTTGAAATCGCACGCCAAGGCGGCCTCGTCGCTGACACGGCGGATTTGTGGCAGGCCGGTGCGCTCAAACGGAGCCATTCCGGCAGCCTGGCTCTGTACGTCTTGGAGAAGCTGGCGGGTGTTGGACTCCCAGTCCAGTCGGACGCGGACCGGCACCACGGCCGAGGCAGCCTCGCCGCCATTGACGGCGGCGCCAAAGATAGTCTCGTTGGAGCCCATGCTTCGGGCCGTGACGACGGACCACGCGGCCCGGATCATGGCAGCCGCGGAGAAGCCACTCCTCTGCCAGTCCAGGCCCAGCATGGAGAGCTCCACGCAGCTGTCGGGCCGAGGGTGGTACGAGGCCGTCTTGAGCGACGGGAAGTGGGATCCCTGGACATTGGCGAACTGGTCTCGCCAGAAGTCGGTGGCTGCCGTCTCGTCGGCGCCGACAATGTGTTTGAAGAAGCCGCCAAAGAGCGTCTCGGTTCCGCCAGAGTTGCCTCCGGCGTCGAGGAGGTACTCGATGGCCCTGTTGAGCGTCGTGCAGGCCTCCCGAGCCACCTGTTTGTTGATGTACGGCTCGCGGAATTCCATGACAATGTCCATCTTGTTCCCGTCGATATTGGCACTCAGGCTCAAGTCGTACTGCGATTCGTTAGTCTCGCCCTCACTGCTCGTGGCGCGACGGTTGCTCTCTTACCTCGTGCGGGTCCTCGCCCGTGTCATTCTCAAAAGAAAAGGTCCGGGCATCGGTGCCCTTGAGCTTGTCGGCCTCGCGGATCGAGAGGGAAGTGTTGAACAGCCGCTGTCCAGAAAGGCCGAGATGATGCTGGATTTCGGCCAAGGACGCGTGCTGCATGGCCAGATGCTGGATCGACCGCTCTGACGCAGTCTCCAGCACCTGCCTGGCGGACGCCTGCAGATCGATGCGGCTGATGAGCAGATTAGCCAAGGGACCGACCATGGCCTCTATCTTGTCCACGGGGGCATCCCGTCCGGAGGCAAGGTAGCCGAAGCAGACCTCGCGCATCCCGGTGAATTGTGAGAGCGCCATAGACCAGGCAACCTGGAGGAAAGTCGCCCTCGTGATTCCGATTTCCTTGCAGAACTCGGTGATGTTGGAGACCAGGTTGGTCGGGACAGAGACGTCGCTGTGAATCTCCCGGAAAGCCTCACCCGGCGGGGGCTGCGATACAGGGACGACGCAGGGCTCGACGCCGTCAAGCAGCGAGGTCCACGCCGCGACTCGCTGAGTCTTCGGCGTGCTGTCGATGAAGCGCACCATGTCGCCAAACGCCGGGGCTGGCGGCAAGCCGCAGTCGTCGTAGGCCGCCGTGAGCTCTTGGACCAGGACAGACATGGAATAGGCATCGATGAGCGCGTGGCTCACGTCCAGCCGAATCGCCACCTCGCCCGTCTCCGACCGGCAAATAGTCAATTCATGCTGCGGCTCGCTCGGGCTGAACGTCGGCCGCTCCAGCTTGCACAGGGCCGCAGTTGGACTCTGCTGCTGGGTGGTTGTGATCTGCGTGACGCGGACCTTGGGGTTGGAGAGCACAATCTGGAGGAACCCGCTGCCCTCGGGGTGCATGCTGAAGACCGTTGACAGGATCGTGTGGCGAGGCACCACCCGCCTCCAAGCGGCCTCCATCTTGGAGGGCGAGATGGCGCTGGTGGCCGGCTCGCTTGGCAAGCAGCGATAAACGGAATAGGTGTCGTACGTGGCTGCTCCCTTGAAGGAGCTGAGCAGGATTCCCTCCTGCAGGGGCGAGCATGGGTAGATGTCGACCACTTGATGCGGCTTGATGCCCATGCTGGGGAGTTGCTCCTTGAGAAGCGTGTCGAGGCCGCGGTAGGACAGGTGGACCAGGGGCAGGTCACAGAGAGTGAAGCTGACGGGGGCTTCCTTGAGCTGGCTGGCGAGGGACTTGATGGTCTGGTAGAAGCTCTCCTCGGTCCACTGCTGGAGCCGGTCTTGATGCTTCATGTCTTTGTGGAAGCAAAAGGAAACGCTGAGGTTGCCTTCCTCGACGCCGGCATTGACCTCGATCATGGCAGTTCGCGACGCCGTTTCGGAGACTTCAGTGATGGACCGCTCGGCCTCGGCCGGCTGCTCAGACCGCCCAAAGAGGCTCTCCTCGCTCTCGAGCTGCTGGTAGCGGCCAGTGAAGTTGAGGGTGATTTCAGCGACTTCATGGCCCTGAAAGGCCTCGCGGCCCGAAGCACTGTGGTATCGGCAGGCAAAATAAGGCTGGCCCTTGTTCGGCACCTTGCGCCTGGTATCTTTGGCAAGCCGCACGGCGTCGAGAACGGAGCTCTCGGACGTGATTGGAACCGGCAGCGGGTGCATCGTGGTGAACCAGCCGACTGTCTCAGACACGTCCAAGGGCAGATCGTTGGACTGCTCGCGGCCGTGGCCTTCAACCCAGACAACGGGAAGAGGACGGTCGGGGAACGACTTGTGAAAGGAATAGACAATGGCGGCAACCATAAGGTCGATTGGCTCCGTCCGAAGGCTCTCATTGCCGTCTGCAAGGAGCAGCGTGCTCGTCTCCCGCTCAAAGACCTCGGTGTGGTTGTTGCAGTTGCCAAAGGTGTTCTTGCTTTGCGGGAGCCCCCAGAATTCCAGCTCCGCCTTTGGAACGGTGAAAGGAAGCACACTCAGGGGGGACAGGCTGCTGCCGACCCGGGCCTGGCGGCGGCACCACGTGCGGAACGACGTGGGTTTCTGCGAACGCAGCTCGCCGAGCTTGACAAAGTCCTCGATGTCGCTCCAGACGATGCGCCACGACACTAGGTCGATGACCAGATGGTGAGCCGAGAGAACCAGGACCTGGTCGCCGCCGTCTATCTGGAAGACGTCGCAGGCAAAGACGGGTCCCTCGCGGATGTCGATGTTGCCCTGGCGCCACTGCGCGGCATCCGTCACCTCGGCCCGGCTGGCCACTGTCTTGGCAGAAAAGGCATACGACTCTTCGTCGTCCTCGCCGAGAATAGACTGCTTCCAGCGGCCGTCCTCGGGGTCCTTGCTGTAGCGAGCCCGGAGCATGGCATGGCGATTGACGATTGCGCGGCAGGCCCTGCGCAGGGTCTCGACGGGCACGGGCTGGCCGAGGTCGAGGATGAAGCCCTGGTTGTAGTGGTTCAGACCCTCGGGGTAGACGTCAAAGAACATCTGTTGGATGGGCGAAAGGTCAAATGCCTCACGGTCGGCCTTTTCCTCATCGCTTTCCGTCAGGGGCTCTTGCTGAGACATGAACTGACAGCGGGCTGCTAGCTTGCGGATGGTTCCCGCCTGGAGGACGTCACTGGCGGTGAAGGACAGATTGTGAAGCCGGCACTGGGAGACGACTTGCATGGCCGAGATGGAGTCGCCGCCGAGCCGGGTAAAGGCCTTGCTGACCGACGCCTCCTCGGCCGTGAGGTTGAGGACGGTCATCCAGACCTTTTGAAGCAGCTTCTCCACTTCCGTCAGCGTCTCGTCAGGTTCGTTCTTGCCCGACACTCCGCGATACTTCAGCCACGACTCAGCCCCGATGGTGCGGAGCTGGCGTCGGTCTGTCTTGCCAGTGGTCATCATGGGGATCTTGTGGACGGGGATGTATGCCGAGGGCACCATGAAGACCGGGAGAGTCTGGGCCAGTCGATCTGCGAGTCCGTCTGTCACCTTCTTCACGGCGGCATTGTGGGAGTCTTCAGACGTCACCGCCGCAAGGTCGAGGTTGATGAAGGCGATGAGGATGGCGCTGCTGGCACCGGCCGGCTGGATCGTCTCGGCAGTCACCTGCGCGTTGGTCACGTCAACACCCTCGACCGACTCCATGGCCTGCCGGACGTGGTGCTCGACCTCGCCGAGCTCAATACGCTGGCCGCGGATCTTCACCTGCGTATCCTTGCGCCCGACAAAGAGGAGCGACCCGTCGTCCCTATAGCGGACGAGGTCTCCGGTGCGATAAACCCGGCCGGAGCGGCCCTCGTGTCCAGGAGCGCCCCGGGTGAGCCAGGCGGGGTCTTGCACAAAGGCTGCCGCCGTCTTCTCGGCGTCGTTCAGATAGCCCTGGCCGACGAGGGGGCCCTCGACCCAGAGCTCGCCGACGGCTCCGATGGGCGCCAGGGAGTCGTGGTCGTCGACCTGGACAACCCACGTGCAGACACCGGCCCCCCGACCGATGGTGATGGGGTCCAGGGTGACATGGGCAAAGGTGACGGCCGGTGTGCACTCGGCAGGACCATAGACGTTGATGATTTGCGTATTGTCGCCAGCCAGGTGCGCGTCACTCGGCAGCACGGCCTCGCCGCCCAGGACAAGCGTGGACAGGCTCGAGAGGACCTTGGGACCCAGGAAGCGCGCCACCGAAGGAGTCAAGTCGGCCGTCGTGACGCGGTATTTCTCGATGCATGCCGCCAAGTCGTTTTCCCGCTCCTTGGCCGAGGGGATGCAGAGGCATCCGCCCGCGGTCAGGGCGTGGAGCAGATTCCACCACGAAGCATCAAAGGCATACGAAGCAAAGTCAAAGACGCGCGACTGGTCGTTGTAGCCCATTTGCTTCTGCTGATAGACAATGGAACTGCAGAAGTTGCCGTGTGTCACAATGGCGCCCTTTGGCGTTCCCGTGCTGCCCGACGTGAAGACGACATACAGGACGCTCGAGGGCGTGACGGCTGGCAGGGCGCGCCGCTTGGACTCAGGGGGCGACTCTTGGGCACCGGGCCCCACGGTGACTACCTCCTTGGTCACAAGGCGGCGGGCGAGGTCGCTCCTTTGCATGGAGGCGACGACGACGGGAGAGTTGGCTTGGGCGGCAATGCCGCGCAACCGCTCCTCGGGCTGTGAAGTCTCCATGGCAATGGAGGCTCCACCAGCTTTCATGACTGCCAGCGCAGCCACGGGCATCCACACAGACTTGTCGAAGAAGAGGGGCACAACGGTTCCCGCCACGCCGGCATCCGCCAGACGATAGGCCAGGCGGGTAGACAGCTCGTCCAGCTGGGCGTACGTCAGCTCGCCGTCCCAGGCACAGACAGCCGGGGCGAGCGGGTGGTCGCGGGCCCTCTGCGTGACAAGGTTGTGCACACAGTCGTCGACCTGAGCGGGGACCTTGGCATTCCAAGCCCAGATATCCTCGACGGACGCATGGCACAGGCTGGGCATGATGACGGCCGCGAGCTTCTCCTTGCTGCGGGTGCCGTCGGCGAGCTGGCGCAGGACGCGCTCGAAGCTGCGGGCGATACGGCCCATCTGCTGCTGACCAACGACGCTCGAGTCAAAGCCGATGCGCACGCGGACCTCGTCGGCCTCGAGCTGGCACTCGACGACAATGGCGTAGGTGCTGAAGTCCTGCCACTGCGCCGCGTGGTGGTCATCGCCCCGAGGCTCGGTGAGAAAGGGCCTGGCGGGCGTCGCCGAGTCGCCACCGTCGCCGCTGCCCGGCTGGATGACGAGCAGGGACTGGAAGCCGCAGGCAACGGCGGCGGCCTCGCTGACGCGGCGGATGCGCTGCAGGCCCGTCTGCTCGTGCGGGATCATCTCGACGGCCTGGCGCTGCACCGCGCCCAGCAGCCGCCCGACGCTGTCCTCCCAGTCGAGGGCGACGCGGAGCGGCACCGTGGCAATGGCGGGGCCGGCCATGCGCTCGATGCCGGGGATGGCCGCCTGCCGGCCCGTGACGGTCAGGCCGAACAGGGCCTCGTCCGAGTCGGCGCTGTGGGCCACCATCACGGCCCACGCGGCCCGGACCATGGTGGCCGGCGTGACGTCGCCGCGGCCCCACTTGAGGCCCGGCACGGCCAGGCTCAGCTGGCAGTCGGGACGGGCCGTGTAAGTCGCCGTCTTGGGCAGGGGGAAGTGCGCGCCCTTGAGGTTGGCAAACTGGGCGTGCCAAAAGGCCTTTGTGGCCGTCTCCTCGCGCTCGACAATGTACTTGATAAAGGCCGTCATGGGCTCGAGCGGCGGGCTGGACTCGCGGTAGTAGGCGTGCTCGGCCTCCTGCAGCAGCAGCGGCAGCGACCATCCGTCGTAGAGGGCGTGGTGGATGTCCCAGACAAAGCAGCGGCTGCCGCCGTCTTCGCCGACGAGTGCAAACCTCGTCAGCGGGACGCCGAGGCCCATGGGGACGTCGCCGCCGTCTCGCTGCAGGTCGTCGAGCCTGGTGGCCGCGGACCACTGGGCCCCCTCCTCCAGCACCACCTGCACGACGCCGTGGTGCGGCAGGCTGACGATGCGCGTGCGGAGGATGGGGTTGAGCGCGACGACCTGGTCCCAGGCAGCGCGGAACCCGTCCGCGTCGATGTCGCTGCCCAGCTCAAAGACGTTGCGGGCCACGTAGGCGCCGCTCTGCCGCGCCGTCAGGGCCAGCAGGCCGGCCTGGAGGGGTGTGCAGGGGAGGATGTCGAGTATCTGGGCTTCCTGGACGTGACAGTGGTGCGCCGCGTGAGCCCGAACCTCGCTCTCATCCATGGGACGCTCGAGCAGCGACAGGGGGGGGATGGCCGAGGCGCTAGGCAGGGTGGGCGAGATCGCCAAGGCAGACAAGTCGCGCAGGCAGGGGCTTTGGAAGACCTCGCGGGCGGTAAAGAAGAGGCCGCTCTTGCTCGCCAGCCTGCTGAGCCGCAGGGCCTTGGTTGCGTCTCCGCCGATGCTGAAGAAGTCGGCGTCTCTGCCGATGCTGCCGGGCTCGACCACGAGGACCTGGGCCCACAGAGCCTGCATCAAGTGCTCCGTCTCTGACTGCGGCATGTGCCTGCCGCCGCCCCTGAGCCGTGAAATTTCCTCGTCTGTGAGCAGGGAGCCGATGGAGCGCAGACAGTGCCGGTCAACCTTGCCCGTGGCCGTCATCGGGACGGCTTGGATGGGGATGTACGCCGCGGGCACCATGTACTGCGGCAGCGTCTTGGCCAGTTCGTCCGTCAGTCCGACGGTGGCCAGGTGCGCGGCTTTGCCATACTCCTCGTCCGTCATGTCTCTGGCGCTGTCAAAAGCCACAAAAGCCACCAGGATGGCAGTGTCGGCACCCTGCGGCTGGATCGTCTCGGCGATGAGCTGCAGGTTCTCGATGTCGTCTCCGCTGGGCGCAACTGCCCGGCGCATCTGATGCTCGACCTCGCCGAGGTCGACCAGCTGGTCTTGGACCTTGGCTTGCTCCTTGCGGCCGACAAAGACGAGTTGTCCGTCCTCCCGGTACCGCACGAGGTCCCCGGTGCGGTAGGCTCGGCCATGGCGGCCAGGCCACTTGGGGGCGCCGCGTAGCAGCCATGCCGGGTCCTCGACAAAGGCAGCCGCCGTCTTGTGGCCGTCGTTGAAATACCCCTGACCGACCAGCGGTCCCTCGAGCCACAGCTCGCCGGCGGTTCCAAAGGGCGCCAAGGCCTCCGGGTTGTTAGCGTCGACAACCCAGGCGCACATGCCGCCTCGCGGCCCGATCAGAGGCTCCCGGGACTCGGCCTCGTTGGCGACCCAGAGCGTCGCGAGCGAGGCAACCTCGGACGATCCGTAGACATTAAGCACGGCCACCTGGCGTCCCAGCTCGTTGGGCTCCAAGGGAGTGGCCGGCTCCCCGATGTAGTTGAGTTGCGCCAAGGCCGGCACGCTGGAAAGATCCAGCGTCCGGGCAATGGTCGGGGTGAACTGGGCGTAATTCGCCTGCAACGCCACCATGGACCCCTCAATGTTACTCCGCCGGTCGGCCTCTGAAGGCACGCACAGGCAGCCACCGCACGTCAGCGTATGCAGTAGGTTGGACCAGGCAACGTGAGAGGCATAAGAGGCGTGGTCGAAGACGCGCGAGCTGCTTGTGAAGCTGAGCGCTTTTTGTTGGTAGATGATGGAGCTGCTGTAGTTCCGGTGCGTGAGGACGGCCCCTTTCGGAGCCCCGGTGCATCCAGAGGTGAAGATGACGCACAGCACGTCGGATGGGCTGACGAGGGGAAGCTCGTGCCGGAGCTTGGTGGCAGAGCTGGGGCCCGAGAGGTCTCGGTCGACGACGATGACCTCTCCGGCGCTGATTTGCCGGGCCAAGTGCTCGTTGACTGCCGAGCAGAGGATAAATGGAGCCGAGACCTGAGCCGCAATGATACGGAGCTGGTCCTCGGGCTGCGTAATGTCCAGGGCTACGGACGCGCCGCCAGCCTTCATCACGCCCAGCATGGCAACTGGTGCCAGCACTGATTTCTCAAAACACTGAATCACCATGGTCCCCGGGCCTACGCCCAGGTCAGCCAGCTGGTGGGCTAGTTTGCTGGACAGCTGGTCCAGCTCTCGGTATGTCAATTCACCGTCCCATGAGCAGACGGCCGGGGCCGCGGGACGCTCGCAGACGCTCCGCTTGATTAGGCCGTGCACACATGCTTCCACAGGCTCCGGCACGACCGAATTGCCGGTCCAGATGTCGTCGAGGGCCCGCGGAAAGGCCTCCTTGGTGTCCTTGTAAGTGGTTGCCTCCTCGCTACCAACCCAGGGGCCATTGGACAAATGGTCGATTTGATATCTCATCCTGTCTCGCCTTGCTAAGCTGGTCCGATATAATGTAAATATGTGAGAACAGAGCCGTCTTGGCAGTATATACGATTGGGGAATGGATATGTGTTGGAACCGGCCAGAGACGGGACAAGTACTATCAGTGTAAAGGATTGAAGCGGGGAGAGAGAGAGGAGGAAGAGCTGTGGCGGGAAGGGACTGTCAAGGACGAGATATGTATACTCTACGAATAGGGGAGCTCTTATGTCAATGTGCACGCCGGGTACCGATCTTGCCCCTAGCCGCGGACTGGAAACATAAAACGGCTGCAGACGTATGCACAAACGCCGTGAGAACTAACTCAATATTCCGTCGACGGGCTTAGTACAGCAGCGTCAGCGCCAGAGCTGAGCTGAGCAATATCACGCCATCTACTGGTTGCTTGAGCTCGAGGACTTGCCATCTGACCGACGCGCGCCACGTCGAGAATACCACGCCCCGAGGGGGTCGCGTCGACGAGACCAGAAGCCGATCCGGGACCGAGCCAAGGGAGAGGCCCAGACAAGGACCACAGCCAGCAAGCGCCAAGGAGCAAGGTCTCCTGAGTGATCCAGGAGCCCAGACACGGGGCAGAGAACGGGGCTAGCAAGGAGTTCAAGTCCAGGCCAGGTGAGCGAGCTAGGGCAGCGGCCAATGGCTGGCGGCGCACAGTGAACGACCAGTGTGCATTTCTCTTCTTGACCATATCTCGAGTCCCTTGTCTTTACTTCGTAGTCGCCATGTATGTACTGCCCGGAGTGTGTACATGGAAAGAAGGTGGGTGTGGCACGATGCGGCTGAGACTGTCTAGAAGTCTGGGATCTGCTGGGCCCCGCAACCGGGATACGATGCCAGGGGTGAGACAGCAGCAAGACAATTGTATTGGTGGAAGGCCCAGGTCAGTATTGCCACAAGGCAGACCGCATGGCGAGGGCGAACACTACTGTACGCTGTTATTTTTATTGCCAAAAAAGAAACCAGTCGGTCGAAAAAAACAATTAGACTATTTCGCGGTTGAGAGCTAATGGAGACGCCAACTGGTTGAGGGTTCGTGGAAAGTCTTCGGCTTCCAGCCCTTGCTCCTCTCTCTGCAATACAGCTGGCCTACGTCGACTGTCCCCGACCAATCTCTCGCTCGGCCTTGAGCATGCTGCTGAGACGGTCACCCCGGCGGCAGGTGATCTCGTCAGCCTGACCACCTCCCCGACAGCAAGCATCTCAACCGACGATCGTGTATGCGGCCAGCAGTAGTTTGCTGCCTGCTTACATGGCACACGCATCTGTACGGGACTGCATATCCGTATGCATGCAACTTACTCTATAAATGGAGCGTCATCAAAAGCCTTGCTGGGGCGGAACACGGCAGCTTCAAGGGCGGTGCCCCTTGGGGACGACGAAGCGTGAGCGGATCGGATCGGCCTCGGCTCGTTCACAGCAGCCAGCCGCTTTGGGGTGGCGTCGTGACTAATAGCTAATTTAGGGCAGGCGGACAGAGAGCCAGAGTTGTAGAAGATGCCCTTGGTGGGTCGGCTTCCACAAGTCGCGCTGCTGTGTCACCGTGAGGATGCCCGCTGGCGGGGAGTCTCGGATAAGTTGTGCTTTTCCGGGCTTTGGCGCGTGCGGGTTGGCCCTCCGGCCTTCCGATGAAAAGACATTGAGGCCGCCCAGGGGGGGTTGAGGGAAGGGAGAGGAGGCTGCTGGTGAAGGCGGCCAGGAGCATCGAGTGCGTGAACGACCTCACCCTGGCTTGCCAGGCTGCAGGCGGACACTGAGGACGTCGTCCCAGGGCCAAGACTCCAGTCTCAAAGATCCGACTGTCGTGACGATCGCATATTCGCGAGTCCGAATGACGACATGCACACAGAGTCGCCTAATGCTTCGGGCTACACCAAGGACTGACGTCTGACATGTGAGCTTGGCGTATGCGCAAGATGCTTGGAATTGAATGCAAGTCACGTCCCATACATATGTATGTACGGTTATTACATGTGGTTAGGCACGAGGTGCGGCGCCCTCTTCGACGTTGATTCTGATGGAATCTCTGTTCCGTGCAAGGATACTCCGCACCTATAATGAACATGATGTATAGCATGATCTTCATGTGCATGCATACATCTAATAAGTGTGCGTTCCCGATGACCGAGCGGCGTTTTTACGTAAAACATTTCCCCTTTCTGCTCGCCCTGGGGCTTCCTGGTTGTGATGCCAGCCCAGGAGGGAGAGGGGGAGCAGAATTCAACTGGCAGCAGCTGTCGCCCATGATGCGGCTCGCGGCAATGCTTTCCAAAAGCAACACCAACCAAGGCTGAATTTGTGCCCAGGAGAGCAACCGTTACATTCATCTGATCCTTCGACACACACCGGAGAGCGCTGCGACCGTGCCAATAGCGCCGTTCGCGTTTCGACAGGGCTCGGCGGTGGCCACGCGCACGAGTCCAGAGGAAGGATTCCCCAGATGCCTTGCTTTGCCCGTCAGACAGCATGAAGCGGAGTCGTAGCGTAGGATGAAGCCAAGCAGGGTCCATCGCGTAGTTGGATGCAAACAAGAGGTTCCAGCCTTTTTTCCTTGCTCGCCCAACCGTGCATCCAGCTGCACCTCTGATCCACAGGCCAGTCAGCCCCGGCTCGATCTCGGCCTCAGAGGACACTGGGGTTATGAGACGGGCGGGTTGGCATCAACAGGTGCCAAGATTTCTTCTGCAGCTCCAGCACCCGGCGACAGTAGCTCAGAAACGTGCATACAGGTAAGCAGCGGCTCTCGGTAGCACGGGCATAAAATAGGGGGGGGATGGGGGTCAATGTCCGGTTGTCCCGCGCTAGGATGGCTAATGCCGTCCATTCGTGGGTTTTTCTTCTTCTTTGACTCTCTACTGGAAAAGGGGGTTTCAACCTGAGATTCATGGCGAGGGATGTAATTGTACGACGGAGTACGCGTGTGTGAACCACAAAGACGGATTGGCCCGGGCTGGAAGAGTCGTATTCCACAGCTCCACGCTCAAGTCGGGGAAGCAACACCTACACACGTCAACACGCCATCACTTTGAAAAATATCGGCTACTGAGAAATTGCGAGTGGACGGCATGCCCCAAGACCCATGCTGCAAGTGGCCCTTGTGTCACGCGCGTAAGCTGCCACGCGCTCATTATACATGGCATTTGGTGGTCATAAGTCCATCTAGATGATGCTCGAGAATACGCCTCGGGGCAAAAAGGCTCGTTGGCTCACGCCTTATAAAAAAAAAAAGGTTGAGCGCGTTCCTGCCCCTGTGCGACTGGTGGCGTAAACAGAGGGTTGAATTAAGGTGAGAAACCTAAAGATAGACTTCTGTTCTTCCAAGCACCTATCCTTGCAAGGCGTCGTCGGCCCTGCTACCCACAGCCGTACATGGCTAGCAGCGGGATCGGTGTGTCTTGTGACCAAGCTGAGACTGGCCACATACGCGGACTTGGTCCTTTATTGATATTCCTTTTTCCCGGATGCGCTCTCGAGCAGACGGTTCACAAGCAGCGGTGTACCAAGTAAACAATGTTACTGTATAGCACTCTTTCGAGTGGTTCTCGGCTCCCAGGCCTCGGAGAGGGAGCGTGCCAGGATCCGAGCGACCCGATTTGCCGCGTCTTGGCACCGGCAAGAATCTCATAGGGCGCTAAGTCGAGCCGCACCAAAGTACAGTACATTGGCATGGGAGCCGTATAATAAGCACGAGCCGTCAATGTCGGAGGGAGGGCGGCACATGGGGCGGCATCGCGTAGCCGTTGAATCCTTGGCTGGCAAGTGGTGGTCGCCGGCCCAAGCTGGCCCGTTGTCACATCTCTACACCCCCATCTTCCCTCTTCCCTGCGATATTAAGCGTCCCACTACGGATGCAGGTAAGAAGGAATAACCGCGCGCACTTCCTTCGGCAAGTTATAACGGGCAACGGGCGCTCGTGCTCGGCCTCTCTGCTCGCATCATTGACACGTACGTACGTACACACATGCACTACATACATCCACATACACGAGTCCACGACGCCCCCTCCACCATCCGGGCCTCAGACAGAATTCGTCATCCGAAGCTCCTTGTCTTGAACCCCGTTGCTGCATTAACGCCGGCAACGACAGGCTGGACGAAGAAAAGGGGGTGGGGGAGGGGCCCTCGTCCGGCATAAGCTGGCATAACATCTGATTAAGGCTCGGAGATGGGCAGTCCCGACCGTTTCGACCAGACGGGCAGAAAGTAGAGTACATGCGTCGAGATGGCCCAATGATGGGTGTCGGCACTATCGCTCGAGCTGACCAGCGGACTTGTCTGGCCCCTTGACCCGACGCTGCGGCAAGAGCCACCCTAGGCCTCCGGCAGCTGGTGGCAGCTGTTGGCTCGAGCCTTGCCTCTTTGTGATTCGGCGCTCGGCATTGTTTTACCAGCCCTCGATCCAGGCGTGGCTGATTCCGCAGCTCGTCAATGGCGAGCCCGGCGGGTCTTGGGCCGCCGTGCTGAGAAGCCACATCACGCAGCATGCTTGCCTGCCAGCAGAGTTTGGGCCTGCTCAGGAGACGGCACGCTTGATTTTTGACAGGTTGAGCTAGCCTCCCAGTTGCAACTTGCAGAACCTCGGCTAGTAGAGCTTGTAGCAGGGCATCGGGGCCATGATGAGACGACTTGAATTTTTCTTATCCCTGTCCATACATATCCGTACATAAGTACGGATACAGCGTACAGCGTGCAGCACTAGGTACTATAGCTATACAGTGCAACTCAACCCCCCGCGAGACGCACATTTGCATCGTCCAAGATGATGTGAGCCTTGCTGTTCAATGGTCAGCTGAATCAGCCGCATCTGGGCGGCGAATCGTCCTGGCCATTCTGCCTGTGCCAAGGGCCGGGTTCTCGGTCATTGGGGACGGGGCCTTGGCACAGTACACGCACCCAGCAGCATGTAACCTGGCTCTTCACAGTAGTTACACGAGCTGCTCCAACTCCAGGACCAGCATCTATCCAGAGCTCATGTAATAGTTTGTGTGCATGTAGAGCAAGCCCTGCGCTGTTTTTATATTTACGTACATGGTGTTGCTCATCCGACCAGCCTAGACCGTCATTGGCCCCGGTGAGAATAGCGCTGGCCCCTTAACCACGCCGGTCGCAATTCTCTTCCCTTTTCTTTTTTGTTAATCACACGCCAGGCTGGTCCAGTCATCCTTGGTAGTGTGCATCCATCGAGCTGCTGGGTGCTGGTAGTTCCGTCTTGCTGCACTTCTGAAGTTGTGGTAAGAATATCAGAGTCGCCGTCAGTGTCCGCGCATCGCGAGTCCCACGTTTTCCTCTTTTCCCATCTCAGCGGCATTCGTCTCCTTGGGCGTCCAACACTGCCCCCTAGCCTCAAACATGTCGGCCCCTTTGTCCCCGTGCTCCATCGCCGTCCACGATACCTTTGGACCGGCGGTGGACAGCTCCTGCGCCGACGGCTTCGACTTTACTCTCTTGTTTGAGGAGAGCATTCTGACTCTCGCCCCCCTGGGCATCGCGCGTGCGTCTCCGGTGCTGCCTCTGAGCCAATGGGCCATTTACTGAGCTGCAATTTCGTCTAGTTGGCTGGGCTATCCTGCGATTTTGGGCTCTTCGCAATGGCGTTGCCAAAATACGGGCGTCATGGCTTCTTGCGGCCAAGATGGTAATGCGCCCCCTTTCCCACCCGTCCTAGGAGTTCGCTTCCCCCTTTCTCCGTGTTAACCGATGTGCGTAGGCTCTTTACGCCATCTACGTGATTCTCCAAGTTGCCCTCGTGGCAGTGTGGGCTGGCCGCGGGATACCAGCAACAAGACTTACCGTAGCCTGCATTGTCCTGACGATTGTCGGCTTCCTCGTCCTCTCGGCGGTATCGTACCTGGAGCACATGCGCGCACTGCGCCCTTCGACCTTTCTCTCCGTCTACCTCAGCCTTACGATCCTCGTGGACATGGCGCGCGTGCGCACACTGTTCTTGCTTCCGTACGGCGGACCGATTGCCGGCATTTTCCTCGCCAGCTTCCTCATCAAGGTTGCCATCTTCGCCTTTGAAACGTGCGAAAAGCGCTCGCTTCTCCGGCCAGACTGGCAGAACACGTCACCCGAAGACCTCGGCGGCTTCTACAACCGCGCCCTCTTCGTTTGGCTGAACGGCGTTTTCCGCAAAGGCTTCCGCACACTGCTGACTATCAGCTCACTCACCAATCTGGACGAAGAGATGCTCAAGGCCTCGAACCCGACAGATCTCATAGAACGATGGGAAAAAGGTGTTTTCCGGCGCCACCCCGGAGTCATGTCATAAGCGCTAACACGTGGTTGTAGCCGGTAAATCGAGCGACCATTCTCTGGTCTGGACGTTTTTGGTGCATTACAAGTGGTGTTTCTTCTCGGGCGTCATCCCCAGAATGGCCTACACGGGATTTAGCTTTTCTCAGCCCTATCTCATCGAAAAGGTTCTCGACTTCACAGCCGACCCCGGGAACCCCGACACCAAGAACTTCTCTTACGGACTCGTGGGAGCCTACGCCGTTGTATACATCGGCATGACCGTCAGTTACATCCGTCCAGGCACCTCTCTATGCTGCTAACATTTGGCCTTCAGCTGTCGTACGCAATCTATCAGCACAAGACGTACCGTCTTCTTACCCTGTTCCGCGGAAGCTTGGTCACCCTCATCTTCAACAAGACTCTCCGGGTCAGCTCGTCGTCTATCGCGGATGCAGAGGCCATCACGTTGATGAGCGCCGACATTGACCGTATCGGATCCATCACTCTCGTGCATGAGTTCTATGCCAGTTTTCTCGAGGCGGCCCTGGCACTATACCTCTTGTACAATCTGCTGGGGATAGCTGTCGTGGCCCCCGTCGCCTGGATTGTTGGTATGATTTCGCCGCCCCGCACTCCACCTTCGCATAGCAGGTTATTAACCTTGTCGCAGTCTGTCTCGTTGCGGGTATACCACTCGCCAAGGCAGCGGGAAATGCTCAGACCCCATGGCTCGAGGCGATTGAGGAGCGTCTGGCCGCCACCTCGAAAGCGTTGAACGCGATGAAACCCATCAAGATGACGGGTCTGGCTGACATTGTGTCGTCCCAAATCGCAACTTCGCGACTGGCGGAAATTCGTGCCTCTCTCCGTCATCGTGTCTTGAACATTTTTGTGTTTGTCGCATGTAAGTCCTGCCCAAGGAAGTTTCTTTTCGTAATGAGAAACGGCGAAGGCAAACTAGGTTCTAACCGCCTCCCAAATATTAGACTTTGCGTCGTCTGGCCTCGCTCCAGTCTGGGGGTTTGGGTTGTTCATCTTGCTCGCCCAGTCTAGAAACACCGGCACTTTGACCGAGGGAACCGCGTTTGCCGCCTTGAGCGCCTTCGAATTGCTCAACCAGCCCTTGATCAATGCCATTGACGGATTCGAGCACATCCAGACGGTTCTCAACTCCTTCCGCCGCATCCAGGAGTACCTGGTCAGCGAGGAGAGAGAGGATTACCGAACGTCCAATTTGATCAAGGCGTCTTCGTCTCATTCGAGTCTGTCGCAGCCTCAAGAAAAGGACGAAATGGCTCTCAGCGACGAAAAGGCTGGGGCATATGAAAAGCCTTACGGCTTGGACTCCAAGACCGCTGCCGTTGTCAGGGATGCGACGACCAAATACACTGAGGAAAAGGAACCCATCCTAAGCGGCCTCAACTTTGAAATTCTCCGCGGCCAGACAACCATGATATACGGCCCGGTTGGTTCAGGAAAATCGACCTTGCTCAAGCTGCTGCTGGGGGAGATGCCCATCACGAGCGGCTCCATCTCCACCAATTTCCCGAAAGCAGCGTATTGCCCTCAGACTCCATGGATCACATGGGGCACGATTCAGCAAAACATTGTCGGCATGTCTGCATTCGACCGATCGTATTATGAAAAGGTTGTGCAGGCCTGTGCGCTCAACCCAGATCTTGAGGAGTTGACCAACGGCGACCAAACCCACGCCGGTATCCGCGGGTCTCGGCTGAGCGGTGGTCAGCAAATGCGTGTGGTAAGTTAAACGCGTTCGAATCAAGGCTCGTCAAGCTAAAGGCCAACAGTCCTTCGCCCGCGCGCTCTACTCGCGGAACTCTACCATGCTGCTCGATGATGTGTTGACTGGGCTCGACCGAGCTACCGAGCGAAGCATCCTCGATGCGGTGTTCAGCTCAAACGGGTTATTGAAACAGCTGAACGCTACAGTCGTCCTGACTACAAACACAGGTAAGACTTACGGTGAATTGGAGTAAAACGTTTCAGCGCTAACCTGAGCAGCACATCACTTGCAATACGCGGACTACATCATTCTGCTGGACAAGAATGGCAACATTGCTGAGCAGGGCACACCAGACAGCGTGTCCATGAACGCCGGGGGAATCCAGGCGCTCGAAAGTGAGGTCATCGCAACCAGCCGCCCGGAGCTCGAGATCCCTGAGGACGTTCTGCATGAGCTGGAGATTCTGGACGACCAGGAGCCGGAGGAAACTCGCCGAGCCGGTGACATGCGAATCTACGCATACTATGCAAAAACTGCGGGTTACTGGAGGACTTCGATCTATCTTGTCGCCTGCGCCGCGTTTGTATATGGCTCCATCTTCCCCTGTGAGTATTGCCCGTCTGGAGTCACGACGAAGTGATGCAAGCTGACTCGTGTAATTCTTCCCTCCTACCAGCTGTCTGGCTGCAGTGGTGGACAAACGCCAACGCAGTTCGACCAAACGACCGTATTGGTTACTGGCTCGGTGTGTACGGCGCCCTCGCGGCTGTTACAATGATTGGCTGCACAATCGCCGATTGGTAAGGCGCGAAAGAGTTTCATGATGTGAAGCAACAGACTGACAGGCGTCTATAGCGTCTTCAACTTAGCAGTTCTCCCCACAACCGCAAGGAAGTTCCACGAGCTCTTGCTGGACACAACCATGCGGTACGCAACTTGGCCTGAATGCCGCAGCTGCCTTGGCTAACAATACCACGGCAGAGCACCCACGTCATTTCTCACGTCTACGAATGCCGGAACCACGCTCAACAGGTTTGTGCACCACTTCCACCTCGAATCGGTTTACGCATGAGACTCATGCCATTGCAAACAGGTTCAGCCAGGACCTTGAACTTATCGACAACGATCTTCCCATGGCCATCGACCAGACTGTCTTCCAGTTTCTGTCCGTCATTGCGTCTGCCGTCCTTGTCTTCATCGGCTCCGGCTATGTGGCTGCCGCCATCCCGCTTTGCTTCGTGGCACTTGCGGTGATCCAGTTCTACTACCTGCGCACGTCGAGGCAGCTCCGACTTCTCGACATCGAGGCCAAGGCGCCTCTGTTCTCGCAGTTCCTGGAAACTCTCAATGGCATTGCTTGTGTCCGAGCATACGGGTGGACGCATGATTACATGGATCGAAACCACGAGGCCCTCAATGCGTCGCAGAAGCCATTCTATTTGCTGTGGTGCATCCAACGATGGCTCACGCTCGTTTTGGACCTGCTGAACGCCGGGATCGCCATTCTCCTCGTCGGAGTCGCTACAAACGTCAGCAATGGGTCAAGTGCATTCCTGGGCGTTGCTTTGTTCAACGTCATCGCTCTGTCTTCCTCGCTCCAAACCCTCATCACCGAGTGGACTCAGGTGGAAACTGCTCTGGGCGCCATTAGACGAATCAAATCCTACGTTGCGACAACCGAGGACGAGAATCTGCCAACGGAGAACGGCGAGGTACCGGACGACTGGCCCCAGCAAGGATCCATCACATTCAAAGATATCTCGGCCTCCTACCAATCCTCTTCAGAGCCGGTCCTGAGGGAGATTAGCTTCTCCATCGAAGCAGGCGAAAAGGTGGCGATTTGCGGTCGCACAGGCAGGCAAGTCCACTCTTCTGGAGTCGAGTGAGGAGACAATGCTAATAGTTGCGCAGCGGCAAATCGTCTCTGGTCGCGGCGCTTCTGCGCATGCTGGAGATTGAGAGCGGCACAATTACCATCGATGGCATCGACATTAGCACGATACCGCGCCAGGCAGTCCGCGGGCGCATGAACACGGTCCCCCAAGACCCATTCTTCCTCCACGGCAATGTACGCCTGAATGTCGATCCACTGGAGTCGGTTGAAGACGAGCGCATCATTGAGGTGCTGCGCACCCTGAACCTCTGGCATATTTTCGAGGAGCACGAGGGACTCGACGGTGAAGTCAGCGAGGAGACGTTGTCGCATGGACAGCGGCAGCTGTTCTGCCTCGCTCGCGCCATGGTCAAGCCCGGACGCATCGTCGTCATGGATGAGGCAACCAGCAGCGTCGACGCCGACACCGATGAGCTCATGCAGCGCGTCCTCCGCGAAGAGCTCAAGGGCCGCACAATCATCACCATTGCACATAAGCTGCACACAGTGCTTGACTACGATCGCGTCGTCCTCCTCGATAAGGGCCGGATCGTCGAGACGGGCAACCCTCAGGAGCTGCTCAAGACGCCTGCGTCGCCGTTCCGGGAGCTCTACGAGAGACTCGGCAGCCACGGGGAATAAGTGAGGGGCATGTCTTTGAAGCATAAAAAGGTTGATTTCGCGCCCATGGAGTTTCGAGGGGCTGCAAGTCAATTTGAAGATCAACCATCAGTTCTAGCTATCTATTTTTTTTTCGGCGCAGGGTGCTTGCTTGCGGCCTAAAATCAAGCGACCAAGGTTTTGGATTTCTGTACATAAGGGAATATAAAGCATGATGAAAGGTATTAAAGGGGGCCGCGTGTAGGTGAGATGTTACTGCCCCCTTATTGGTCAGCCGTGCACGCCGGCAAAAAGGTACGCCAGTTCTTCTCTGCCTCTTTTGCCCTATCAAAACGGCTGCATGTTCGTTTGTAGCTAGAGAGACATTGAGGCAGTGTCTATAGGTACAGATACCATCTGCTGTTCTAGATTTCTTGCATGATAACAGGAGGCGCAGGTTCCGGTACCTCGTTCATTCTTCTTGAAGTTCTTGCGCGTTTCCCTGCAAAGGATGTACGCATGTATCTATAATTCCAATGGAAAAGGGGGGCGGCTAGCATAAGATCCTGGCTCTTATGCTGACCCCAAGAGTCAGTCAGCCCTGCGGCCTGGGGCAGCACTTGCCATGCCTTCCTATCTGAGCATCGTAGTGGTGACTCACGACGCACCTGAATCCTGTCCACATGTGTGCCTATTACGAAAACTCAACCCATCCCATTCCCCGCTACACACCACAGCGAGATCATGCAAGGGATCAGCACGCAATCGGCCAAAGCTGAGATCTAATGTGTTGCTGTTCTTGCGTATTTAACGTCATTTTTGCGTCGGCGACGAAGTCCCGGATAGCACCGCCCGAATCTTGTCGAAGGGGTTTATAACCACTCGTGCCATCAGGCAATGGTGGAACTAATTCAACCCCAGCCTTTAATGGTGCTGGCGCTATCAGAGAACTCGGCGTCGAGACTTTTACACGAGTGTTTCCACGGGCTATCCCGGGGGCTGTCACGACGCATCGCTCTAGTTGAAGCACATTGGCCGACAGTAAATCCTCGACGGACTCTACCCGGTGATATCACAGCCACCTACGAATGTACATGTCCTAACTACTGTACTTGATATACTGCTTGAGTGCCAGAAACCTTTGCCTGCCCAGGATGACAAACATGAGGCCATACTTAACCGATCCCTCTTCATCCTCAGCGTCCTTCTACCCGAACAACAAAGGTGTGTCTTCCCGGATCAACAAAATCTGAAACAAAATTCTTTCGGACCGTGAGCAACTGGAGGGGAGTCCATTCCGCACTCGTCATCGTCCACGCATCAGGCCAGAGCGGGGGCCCCGCCTGGTCAACAAGGCGCAGCAAAGAAGGAGACGAGGAGTGGCGTGACAGAGGGTCGCTGGGGCCAATTTCGTTGCTTTTCCAGGCACTACGAAGTAGTTTTAAAAGTCGGGCCTTATTCCCACGCGTTGTTTCCAGATCCTGTGCCCTCTGGCCATTAAAACGGCCAGTCTGGCTCGGATGGGTGCTACAAGGGTCATGCCCGATACACTTTTGCTCTGATCGACTTCACGCATGCGTCAACAAAAGTAGACCGGTCCAGGGGGCAATGTTAAGACTTGAGATCCCGCATTGAGGAAGCCAGCCCTCAACTCATTGTGCATCGTTAATAATAACCTTCTCTCACGGAGGAGGCTTAGACGGCTCCGCTACGAGGGATATCGAAGCCAATGGGGCGCCCATGTGGAAACCCAGCCATAATACCTTAGCCTCTGGAGCAAAAGGCCAGAGGTGGAGGATCCGGCGCTTGGCGAGCAAAGTCTGACGATGCGCCACAATGGAGTCGAAAAACGTTCCATGAGATCCTGTCGGCGTATGCATTGCTAATTTACCAGCAGCGTATCTTCGACGACGGCTTCGTGGCTGTGGACTATATTAAATGCCATCTTCTTGCCCATGGACACTGAACCATCTACTGCCACTCCATACGTTTGGTGCCTCCCCTATCTCGACTGCTCAGCACCGTCCGCTCGGTCTCGCCACCGCAGCCATTGGACACGCGTTGCGCCGGTATATACGACACATACGATTGTGCTTGGACGTGATCCCACCAGACTCGGCACTTTGCCCCCCAACCGTCGCCGAACGCGCTCCGGCGGAACTCCAGACATGAGCCAGCATCCGACTCAACAGCAGGCCCCGTTCTACGCCTCTCCGCCACCCTTTTCCAATGGCGGGGCTCCATACCCGCCCGACAAGGCATCGGGCCAGCAATCTGGGGTCGGGACCCCACTGCCGACCGGCCATTTGGTAGGCCCCGGCACCGGCGTCGCTGCCGATGACGTGGGTAACTTCCACGGAGGCAGCTACCGCATCAGCCACCGCGACTCAAACACCGTCCTAAGCGTTAACCTCGCAGGGGGCTGCCCCTTGGACGCAAAGCCCGGTGAGTCCCTCTCTCAGCGGTCGCCGCTGCGCTTGTTTGCCGGCTGATGGCGGGCTTCCCAGGGGCCATGATTGCAATGTCGCCCACCGTTTCCCTCAAGGGTCAGGTCAAATTCAGCTTCAAGAAGGTGCTTGCCGGCGCCGAACTAAGCGCATCCACGTTTACCGGCCCGGGCGAGCTGCTTCTCGCCCCCCCCACGCTCGGGGACATTACAAGCATCCCACTTACGGGCAACGAGACCTGGTCCGTGGGCAAGGACGCCTACCTGGCCTCGACTCAGGGCGTTTTCAAAGACTATAAGCGACAGGGGCTAGGCAAGGCCTTCTTTAGTGGCGAGGGTTTGTTTGTATACAAAATCAGAGGCACGGGAATAATTTGGGTCACCAGTTTTGGTGCCATCATCAGGAAAAACGTACGAGCTCACGGTCCCTGCCATTGACACTGCATATTCGTCCAATGTGCCCAAGGCTAATCAGGTAACGCAGATCATGCCCAGGGAGGAGTACATTGTCGACAACGGCCACCTTGTTGCCTGGAACACCAAGTATGTGCTGGAGCGAGTCGGGTCCGGCTTCATGTCCAACTTTGCCTCTGGCGAGGGGCTGGTGTGTCGATTCACCGGCCCAGGCACCGTCTTGATCCAAACCCGGAACCCCGTAAGTCAGGCCCCTTGCGAGCTCAGGCGTCAACGTAAGCTGACAGCATCAACAGGAAGCATTCATCTCGTATATTGGCCAAGGGTTGGCCGAGTAGTCGGGCCCGCGAGCATCAACCATCCTAGGCTACTGTAACAAGCTTCGCGTCGCATGCTTCGATGCGAGCAATACTCAAAGGCGCCACCGCTGCTCTCCTGCCCCCTGATACCCATGTACGGGCTTCTAGCGGTCATACGTACAGTCGCGTCTTAGAGTCCCCTTTCAAGTAGTATAGATCTAGTCGTCGATACGATTTGTGCGGAAGATTCGCAGGTGTTCCACTTGGATCAATATCCGTTCAACTCACTTTCCCGGCGCTGCAAACTTCATCCTAAAGCACGCGCAGCCAGAACTTGAAGCGCAATGTATCCTTGTCCTCCCAAGACCAGAGATTATAATATGTCGGACCCATGCTGTTGGCGGAGCCCCAAGTTCCCCATTCGGTTCGAACCTCAAACTTCAATCCGGCTTGCTCTCCGATATCATTCCACATCTCCACAAAGCTTCCCGAGTCATGATTGAAGAAGCTGGGTAGACGCCCGTTGTTCTCGTTTTCCTTGGTCGGTTTGTAGAGATAGTTCGGCACCTCTTTGGCTATTGTGGCCCCATGCTGTCGCCCAAGAATCAGAGCCCCCTTCTGGAGCCTGAGCAGCTTGAGGAGTGCGGCTCCTGCCTTTTTCTGGCCTTCCAAGTCGAAAAGGTGAAGAAAAGAACCGATGTGGATGATGTCGAACTGATGCGACCTCTCCCGACGAAGCTGGTCGTCCTCTTCGAAGATGTTGACACTATAAAACGAGGACTTGATCTTGTCACGATCGCAGAAGAGCTCAAACCCAAGGTCCAGAAACGTCGAGTTGAGCTCTGCGCCGCAGATGTTCTCGGCAGGCGCTCCGTCGGTAACCAAGGCTCGAATGTCGTGGCCGAAGCAGCAACCAAAGTCGATGAGCTTTTCACCGTCCTTGAGACGCTGCAGCACCTCTCCGTAGAGAGGTGAGTCCGGAAGGGAAAAGTCCAAGAAACGAAACAACCCGATGCAAGGGTACGGGGATGACGTCCAGGCTTTCTCGCGCTGTATACAAGCCACTCGGTCAGGGAGAACGGACGTATAGAGGCGGAGCGAGATTCTTACAATCATCATGATGTGATCTCTGACTTGCTCTGGCTTCAAGCCTGCATGCTCTATGAGGACACGCTCAGCCAGTGGGGGAATGGTTTCGAGCGTGTCGAGATACCAGGGGATACCATCTTTTGGGTTGCCCTGGTTAGAGACATCGCTTGTGATGAGGGAACCCATAGTTTCAGTTTCAGTGATGGCACAGAGGTCAATGGGTATGTGTAGACGATGTGGTGCCAAATTAAAGCTTGGATACTAGATATCAGGACAGATATTGTGTGCGCTAGGGAATCTTTTATACTCAAACAATCACGTACTCAGATTCGTCTGCCGCTAGAGTACCACGTATCTATGACCAGCCTTCGCTCGCAAGGCAAGAGATTCCGAGACCCATTTTGTTAAACTTACTGACACCCGTGGTTGCCCAAAGGGGGTGTCTCTGGGCCGCACAGTGATTATGAGGGAAATAATCGAAGCAAGGATCGGGTCCCGAAGGCCTTTGAGTGATGGATGCTTGAATTCTGCCAGATTTATCAGGTGCCGCATGCCGCAGCAGCTGTTTAAAGTTATCAGATCCGCCCTCGGTCCCTTATCAGATGCCAAAGTCGCCTGATCGGCTCGAATGGACGCGGGAGACTAACAAGATTGGGCTTAATACAGCGCCGGGGATCCCCGGCAAGTGGCCTGATGATCTTATCAATCAGGGATGCAGGGGGGGCGGGGAAGTCACCTCTCTTGTGCGAGTCCTAGGCCGGGGATGGCACTCAGCTCTCACCAGAGTCCTCGATAAAACAAGTGATTAGCTTGCCAGTGCCTCGTAACAATGCCAATAACAATGCAGTCCCTCTCGCGGCCATCTTAGAGCCGATCAAGGTCTGGTGAAATCACCATGGCAGTGACAAGGCAGACGTGATCTATATTCCGAGCTGCGTTATGGTTTGTGACTTTACGAAACCCCCTGTGCTACTCCGTACACCCCCAGACGCGTTGACGTTGACAAGGTTAGTGAAGTAAGCTTACCCCGATGTCAAGTTTGTCAAATACCGCCATACCAGGCAGAATAGGGGCATCCCCATTCGGGGCGTAATTAACGCATATTCTAAGTTTCCCTTTGTCCTGACACCAATTCTATTAGCTAACAACTTGTGTGCGAAATACGAAGACAGCGAGCAAAATGCCAGTGAGGCTTATAACCCCCTGTGCACGCCAAGGCATAGGATAACGGGGTTAATGAAGCAGGCTTGGTTCGATTCTATTAGCTAACAGATTCTGTGCGGCGAGCAGAATGCCCGGAGAACTCGAAAAAGTCGGCTTTCTCCACATACGCGTGTTAAAACAAGCCCGATTTTATATCCGTGGCGCATGTACAAACGGGCTGTGATCGCAGCGAACCAACAATTTATCTCGCCGCATGCATCAACGAATACCCGTGTATATAATATGAATATGATCAGCCTTGCATCAGGAGACTGGGTAGAGTGGCTCTGTTCTTTGCGGTTTCGCGGCTTGGACTCCACGAGCCAAGTGCCTTTATCCCCAGACCCGTTACACCGTGGACCCGGTGATGTGCCGGCCGCGCTCTGCACCCACTCTTGATACTCTTGGCTTCCGTCGACCAGGCTTGCGGCTGCCCTTGGCATTGCACAGCGGCAGGAGCTTGCTGGACTGAGGCTTGCTTGCATTAGCCGGGTGTGCGTCGCACCATGTATGGAGACGGGCTCTTGCTCGTACAAGATGTTTTACATGATAAATAACCGCTTGCGGGCTATAAGAGAGCTGCACCAAGACTTTGTTACACCGAGATGATCAAAAGTGCATATGTAAGTCGCTCATCTATAACGTTTTGGCAAGCTCTTCACGGCATCCTTCCTACAAGCAAGACATTACGGCGGGTTCATGGTTCCGATTACCCGTTGGTCGGCTCGAAGAACAGCGACGACTTCCGGTAGACTATGGCAGAATCTTTCGACACTGTGGCGATTGGTAGCCGGCGTTCGAGAAAGACCGACTAAACACTCGAGTAGCCGGCCGTACGAGGGTTCCGATTCCCCCAGCCCAACGGGCCTTCAACGACCTATTGAGACCCGGAATCCTAGATGGTCAAGGAGTGAATGGTCTCAATCTTGATCTCTTCAGTCATACCGTCAGTCGAAGAACTCGACAGCTAAACTTGGAGCCTCGGGGGCTCTCTTTTGTTGGTATTCGTACGTTCTTGGCCAAGGTTCAGTTCAAGCAGAGGGCTTAGCCTCTGGTCTTGAGCTTACTATTTGGAGACGAGACGGTAATATCGGGAGCACGTTTCACACCATTACGTACCCTCCAGCACATGCTCTCCGCTTCATTCCATTTGATGTCGACAAGCTTGAAAGGGACCCCGGTACTGCTCGGCATGGCCACGACGGCAATTGAGCCGACGGAATCGCGAACGCAGTACATCTTCCCCAGACCTGGTTTGTGTGTATGGAGCATGGCAGTGGACCGAGCTCCTTGCTTCCGATAAAGGCCATTTCCCGAGCCCGGTGAAAGCTCGGATTCTGTCGATGGAACGTGGTGGATCGCGTCAATTGTTGAACACAGTGTGAGCTGAGGGTCTCAGGCCCCCCTCCCCCCCCCCCTTTGGAAGCATACCCAATGACAGATCACATTTCTCTCGCGTGCGTCCCGCGATCCGGACGTGACATACCCCCGGCGGCTCTTGCAGACTCCCAAGCTCCCAGCACCAAAGGATCCTTGGAGAATATTCCCGCGGGGGTCAAGACGTGTTAGAGTGGCGAGTATATCAAGCCTACTCGTCCTTGAATGGACTGGCCTGGCGCTGACAGTAGACTATTCGAGAACCGTATTCATATACATATTGCAAGCTTCTACAACAGCGTGCAGAACTCGAGAGAAACATGATACCATTGACCATGCTCCGCGTGTATACAGTGAGTACTCGCCGTACAATGGGCCGCGCACGCCCAAGGAATCGAAGGCAAGGTTCCTTCAGTCGGGCCCGAGTTTACGGATGTATTACAGCAATCTGGCTGCCAATTTCAACCCTCGGGGTGGTGTTCGGATCTCATCTGAAGCCGATTGCCAGGAAATCCCTTGTCACGCCGCAGTGTGACCTGGGCTCTGTCTCTCTCTGCCCTTCTTTGCCGCCCTCGCCCATGTCGAGGAGCCTTGTTCTTGGTACCGCTGCCGTCACGTTGTGCTGGGAGGACCTACCCCTGTTCGGGGCCAAGAGGGCAAATGCTCCTCGACAATAAGCTGTGTGACGGGTGTGACGGGCGGCCGGTACCGATCGAGTGCCGGGCGCGTGCTTCGTTGGATTAGCTTTCGCCTGCACTTGTTGCGGTCCTCACTGTACCTGTTGTCTAATCCCCGCCGCGATCCATGTTGTAGCAGCACGGGAAACTCGGGGCCGGTCCCCTTGCATCAATGCCTGCATGCAGCAAACCCGCACACCAAGTTCACCACGACGTGGCAGATCGAGGGCTCTCATGAGAGTTCAAGACATAGCTCGGCAAAAGCGTTTTTTTTACATCTAGAGTAGCAGCAGCGTGAACTGTTGGCCATGTGGAGGCGAGAGAGCGCAATTTAATGCTGTGCCTTAGTACAAAGATGGTTATTGCGTGTGCAAGTGATGGAAATTAGGTGTGGCGGCCTGGGGAAAGATAAAACAGCGCACCTGATGCTTGCTCCCTCCAGTTGGTAGCGGGTCTTGCCAGTCGGGCTTTGCGCCCGGCCAAATTTGTTTGAGGCGAAACGAGTACTCCGTACTGTACTGCTGCACGTTGATTACACAGCTCTAGTCTGAGTGAAACGCTCGGGCTAGATCTGCCTGTTCTAAGAAACGGGTACGCCTGGCTACCCACCCCGACCGAGAGACATTGTCCTGGTCAAATGGAAACGGTAAGAAGAGCCATGAGCCAAACTGGATCCTCAAAACAAGGCAGGTTTGCATGTGCCTTGTAAGAGGGTCACGTAAAAGCACAACCTCAGATGCCTTGAAATCTCATGTTGGCAGCGCAAGCAACACAGCACCCGCGGGATCCGCCATGGCATCCTTGCACACCTAACCCTCCTCATCAAAGTTCTGTAAGATCCTCATCATTCGGTTGCCAACCAGCGGTGCAGGACTCCGTACATCCTGCTCTTGCTGTACGGAGTTGCCGTGCTGCTTTGACGTCAGCCTCATTGCGCGAGGTTCTTTAACCCTTGCCAGGCTTCCAACAGCCAGGTCAGGGCAGGCACAACGAGCCCTGCTGGAGACGAAAGCCGAGGGGCGGGGGGATGCTAATCGTCCCTAGCGGCTCCATGGCTAAAGGGCGATGGTCTTGATGCTTTGCTCTAATGTAGTAAGACGGGTGATGTTGGCTAAGACAGATCAGCAAGTCATGGCGGCGGGGATACCCTAAAATGATTTTACGCTGAGCCGAACCAACGTGCACACTGTTGTCCAAGAAAACGGAAAACAAGAAAAGAATCTGGAAAAAGAAAGAATCCTCCCCCAGTGGCTGGTCCAGGCCCAGTCACCTCCTCGAGCGCCAAGCACAGCTAAGAGCAATGCTTAAAGAGACTTGACCCGGCTGCTCGCCGTCTCTTCTCCCACGGCCCTTCGTGGAAGATCAAGCCGCAATCATGGCTTCGTCGATGACAGGCTTTTCGGTCTACACGCTCCCCACGGGGCCTCCCAGGTGGGATACGGTCGGTATTTTTTACATCACCTTTTGCTGCGTATGGACTACTCTCGTCCTGCTCGGCATGGCCTTTTGCTGGTACAACCGCCGGCTCCCGATTCTCAAGCTGCGCGGTCTGCCACTGTCTTTTACCGCCATTCTTTGCCTCCACTCCTATTGGATTTTGGCCCAAAGTGAGAGCGTGTTTGCGTCCAGCTAGATCGCCCATGCCCATCTACTGACACATGGCCCTAGTTACCTATCCTATCGCCGGGACCATGCCCATTGTCCTTGCCTATGATGTGCAGTATTTCGTCATGGGCATCTATTTCCCTATCGGCATCGCCTTGTTCCACGCCTCCAATTGTCGGTTCCTCCACATTGCCAAGATGCAGAAACAGTTTACGCATCCCGAGTTGCGAAGGAAAGCGGCATGCAAAGGCATCGAAACTTCATGGCTGTGCCGCCTGGCGAACATGTACTACTCCACCAGGCTCATGACCTTTATAGCCATTGGAATGGTCTTCCAGGTCCGTTGGACCCCCCCCCCCCGCCCTTTTTCGCAGCTCGTCCGCCTTGAACACGCGCTTACGTTTCCATCAAGGTTATTCTCACCGTCGCCATGTGGCTGGCTTGTCGCAAGTACCATCCAACTTACGGTATTTCCGGCACGGAGCTTCGCGGCGCAACCCTCCAGGAGCAAATCGTCGACTTGGGTCGAGGATGGGAATGGTGGCCGTCGGTGCTCTGGCAAGTCATCTGGACATGGATTGTACGTCTTTTGAATGGGCGCCGTCATCCAGCATCTATGCTCACAGTTGCTGCGTTTCGCAGGTTGCACCCATCCTCCTCTGGCGCGCCTGGGGGATTCGCGACACAATGGGATGGCGTACCCAAACCATCGGCTGCTGCATATTCAGGTTCGCCCCCTGAAAGATCCATGACTGGTTGTGTCACTGACGCAGCCATGCAGCCTGCACGCGACACCAATGTTTTTAATTGCCTCCTACGTGCCGGCCTTTGAGGTTGTCAATGCCTATTTTACCCCAAGTCAATGGTGAGTATTCGTCTGCGCAGGCGATGAACGCATCTGGGACTGGGAAAGGAAAGCCTCGCTGACGAGTCCAAGGATCCATTTCTCCACCATGATGTTCGAAATCTTTACTGTCTTTGTTCCTGTCTTCCAAGTTATCAGGCTCCGAATACTGAGCAGGAGAGCGGCCGACATGAATGCCAAATGGGAAACGGAATCGCAACAATCAACACTAAGGCCATCGACGGCCTACGAGGTGAGAAACGCGTCTTCTCTTGGCATGGCCGAGAAGGGAGCAGCACTGTATTATATGGATGAGGAACTCGGCGATCGTCTATTGACCATGAGTGCTCTCGACTACGTACTCAGCGAAAATCCAGGCCCACTGCAGGAATTCTCGGCACTCAGCGACTTCTCGGGTGAGAACATCGCGTTCCTGACTCTCGCTGCATCGTGGAAGACATCCTGGTCGGCGGAGCTGGCGGAGAAGGGGAGGCTCGAGGCCTACCGGGGCGCGCTTGCGATTTACACAGGCTTCATTAGCCCCAGAGACGCCGAGTTCCCCTTGAACCTGTCATCGCCTGACCTCAAATATCTCGAAGACATGTTTGAGGAGCCCGCGCGACTCCTGCACGGCGAGGCACGCGTGGATCCAGTGACACCATTTGCGACCGAGGCATCCTTTTTCGGAGGACAGGGAAGCACCGGACCACAGCCAGGAACGGACGGCAGTACCGAACAATACACCGGCGAAGTGCCCGTCGACTTCAACTCGGCTATTTTCGACAGGGCACAGAGCCATATCAAGTACCTCGTTTTGACAAACACGTGGCCCAAGTTTGTCGGAGAGATGCAGCAACGAAGACGGTCGAGCGAGACGGGCCGGAGTACCTTCACCGCGGGCTCGGAGGAGACACGAGCCAGTCGAGTTTCAAAGCGCATGACAGACCTTCTGAATTACTTGATGAAGAATTAGCTGCGTGTCGGACTGGCACCTAACTTACGGCACGCAACTCTTGGTCTCGTCACTGCAGCTCAGAGCATGCCGACAGATCCGGCCATGTTCTTTGCATCGCCGGGATCAAAGGCATGCTCGACGTCATGCCCACGTGGCAAGGAGTGGTGCCATCGGCTGTGTATGGTGCGAGCTGCTGCAATGGTCGTCGCAATGGTGATTCAATGCTAACCGGGTTATCCATGTTCGCCCAGACGAACTCTTCATTGGTCTTCTTCAGGCCGGTGTGACTGGGATAGTTTCCTCGGGCTTGGACTGGTTAACATTATAACCATCCCGAAGTAATCGCCACGGCCGATAAGGTTTTGCGCCTGGCCTCATTCTAATAAAACAAATCCGACGTATGCAACCTTCGGATCCATTTGGTCTCGGCAACCTCGAAAATTTTCCAGTGGCGTATGTTCCAGTACTCTTCTTGTTGGATAGAGCACTTAGCGCCGTTCGAGATGCCCCCGTATAGTCAAAAGCCTGAAAGGCGGGGAAATGCAAGTCGCTCGAACTGCCCGGCGAGAGATTCTATGTCATTACATAGCTAGCCTCTCTTTAATATCGGTCGCACGACATACGACGCGGGCGTCAACCACTTGTGGAATAGCTACAGCCTCGATACAAACAGGAGGCATACAGTAAATGAAACTCAATGTTCCACTTGATTGTCAACAGTGGGCCATACCTCGTATATGAAAGAGATCATTTGGACCATCTAGAGAGCTGGCCTTCGAATCGCAAGCCGGCGAAACCGCTCCATCAGTCATGTGGGCGATATGGGTAATCATTTCTTGCCGGGGCAACTTTGCAATACATGAAAAATGCACCCATCGGCATAGGACGCAATACTCGAAGTGGGAAACACGAATGAGCGACTCCGGCCTCTGGCACCAATGAGATTTTTAATAGAAGCTAGATAGCTAGAAACACTAAACTGGCGACTTACCTTCCAGAGTGCACGGCTTCCGCTTCCCATTCCTATGAGCAAGGCTCCATGTGTAAATCGGCAAAGGGTAATGATCAGGACGCGGTGTTCCCACTGTACTCGGCACATGTATGATACTGTGTCCTGTGAACAGGGTCATCCCACTGGTCTTGGCGCACCGGGTATCGGAACAGGGTAGAGTCTGCTGCCTTGTTTGCGATTGATCATGAAACAGAGGGCGTAGAGTCATGTTCTCAGCTCTATATAGCAGTATGTCATAGCTTCACCTTCCATTTTGTCACCCATGTACAGTGTCCAAGAGAGCACAACTCAGTGGGCTTCACGTACTTCTATTCGGAAAAGGGACACTGGATCGTAATGCTCCGTGGTGCGCCCCCAAACGCATGAAGCATGCTGTACTAAGTGCAACCATGGTGAGCTCGAATCGGACCCCGGTGGCTCTTGTAAAAGCTCTGCTGCACGGAATTACGTGTCGATGAAACGCTCTAAGGTTGGACACCTCAGACGCATGTAAAAACACGAGGCCAGTCAAAGAAGGAATTAAGAAATATATAATGCTATTAGTCATAGTTACTTTCTTAGGAAGGTCTTATAGACTATGTATATACTTCGTAAGATATATAGAGCTCGCTATTTTACTTAGGCCTAATAAACGCGCCTACTACTTTAACTATTCGGCCTACTAGAAAGTAGGTTAGTATAGCTAGTTAAGGTATAGCGCCCTAAGGGTTCCTTTAGCAGGCCCTATAGGCCCTTAAGGGGGCCTAGAAAATCGAACCTTTTTATAAGACCCTTATAGAGGGGCTTAAGAAGGTAGCTATAAGGGCCTAAGGCTTTTTATAGCCCCTTTAGTAGCCTAAGATAATCTAAAAGCTTAAGACTACCTAAGAAGGCCTATAAACTAGCTTATAGGCTATGGTCGTTATAGAAAAAGGCGCCTAAGGCCCTAACTAAGGCCCTAGCTAAACTACCTTAGTAAGAAAAAAAAATATTATTATATCTTCTTAGCTTACTTTTCGAAACTAAGCTTAAAATATTAAAAAAGTATACGCTTAAAACCGTTATAAATAGCGTATTACGCCCCCTTAAGTATAGCTTTATATAGCTACTAGCGGGTACGTAATATACTACTAAAGATTATAAAGTAAGCGAGGTTCTCCCTTATATAGGTAGAAAACTCTTCCCTACCCTCGCTAACTAAGGGTATATACCCCTTACTAATAGGACCTAGCCTAGACCCGACTTAGGACCCTAGCTTAGACCTAAGGAGGGCCCCTTTAACTTTAACCCCCCCCCCTATACTTAACCTAAGGGTCGAAATAAGTACCTTAGAGGCTAGTTTAATAGGGACGAGGGTATATACCTAAAGCACGCGTAGTACGTAGCTAAGGATTAGTAGAGTAATTAACTACGTAATTATCTAATTATCGGTCCTATATATAGCTCTAAGGGCCTTAGGTTATAAATATAAGTCTTAGAGATTTCTTTACTCTATGCCTCTTTATCTTTACTAGAGTCGCGTAACTAGCGGCATTTACTTTAAAGGGGAAAAATAAAAATTTAAATTAACTATAATTAAGGAAGATACTTAATTAGATAATCGAGGTCTTTATAATGCCTTTAAGCATACTTAGAAGTAAGTTAAAAGGGGGATGCTAGGGGTCTTATCCCTTTAACGGGCTAATATCTATAAAGGTGCGATCTTACCCGTTAAACTCCTTCCTAGCGACTTTCCGACCTAAGATGCTAACGGAAAGGGCGCGATAATAACGGGTAAGGTTCTCTTCCTAAGTACGTAAGTAAGTAAATAAACTATCGATAGAACTTTTCTCCTTTACTATAATCCTTTCCCTTTATATCCTTTATTCCTCCCTTTACCTATAAGCTACTTATTTAGCTCTTTCTTATTTTTACTTATATACTTCCTTTTTTAGATAATTATCTACTACCCCCTATATATACTCCTAAGTATTCGCGCTTATTATTCTTAGGGGCGTTAGGGAAATAAAGTAATTAGCGTCTTTACTAGTCTATAGCTTTAAGTATAGCTAAATTAAATAAGCTATAAAGTCTTATAGGCTAATTATTATCGCGTTACTAGTAATCCTATATAAATATATAGAATTATAGTCGTTAATATCCTAGTAGTAATTCTAATATATTCCTAGGTTTTTAACTCCTTTAACCTAGGAGGGTTTAAAACCTAGTATAAACCTTATAGGGACTATAGCTAGAGAGGCTATTACTATACTTTATTTCTAAGGAGTAACGGGGCGTACTATAGGCGTTACTAAAGTCTTTAGCCTTAGGGTAATTAACCGAGCGCTTAGTAATTTTAAAGTCCTAGGGCGAGTTAGTAGTTAGGCTATCTACCTTTCTTCCTTACTAGCTCCTTATTAGGTTATTAGCAGGGGTATAGTTATAAGTCTTTCGCTCCTTTATACGTTTAGAGGAGTTATTAATAGTAGGCGAGGAGTAGGCCTAATTAGCTATATATTAAAGGGGGAGAATAAAAGCATCGTTTCTATATAGATAAAGGGACTAGTAAGGGCGCTTAGCTCTCTCCTTTATAGGCTCTAAGGTAGGGATCCTATCTTAAGGTTACTTAGAGAAAGGCTACTTAGTTTAGATAAGGAGCTCGATTTAGTTAACGCTTAAGGTAATAAAGGACTAGGTCTATTCTCGATTCCTATAGGCGTAATTAAATAGTTAAGGGTCTTTTTAAGGAGGAGTTTTATAAAGAAACCGCGTATAGCTTAAGCGATTAGGTTAGGTTACTCTATAAAGGCAGCTAGCGTAGATAGTTCCTTTCTTACTTTCCTTACTATATAAGCTAGTTCTATATCTCTTTAAAGTAATAGTCTCTATCTAGTAGGCCTATCTAGGAGGTTAACTACCTTTAGGACTTCCTAAAGGTCTTATTCTTCTTAGTCTCTTAAGATAATATAGTTATATTAGTAAATCCGCTTACTCCTAGGAATCCTTATAAGAAAGACTCCGCTAAAGGTTATTAGACCTTAATTAGATAGTATCCTTTATAGTCGTTTAACCCCGCTATTAAATTACTAGGAAACTCTACCGCCCTATAATATCGCTTATATATAATTAAGCTCGTTTACTATAACGGCTTAGATTTTATATATTAGCCTATTAACGTAGCCTTTTATACTTATCCTTTTATCTAGCTTAAAAAAACACTAGTCTTAGTATAAGATCTTATCTATCTATAGGGCTTCTTATATTACCTTATACCTTTACTTTAGAATTACTTTAACTTTTAAGTATCGCTATTTAATTACCTTAAGGTATAGCCCGACTATACTTCTAACCTAGTATTAGATTATTATTAAGGCTAAGTAACTATATTCCTACCCTTATTACTAAGCGGTATAAGGGACTAGTATATAGGTAAAGTTATAAGGAACTTAAAGGATATAAAGAAACTACCGCTATACTTATAGGAATATATAGAGTTTAGTATATCGTCCCTTTTTCTAAGTATTAAAAATAACTAAGTTTCCTTCTTTATTGTCTTAGAGGAACGCCCCTTAGTAGAGTCCCCTTTTATTTATACTTACTAAAAAGTTAATAACTTTAGTTATATACCTTTATTTATACGTAAAGCGACTAAGGTTAAAGGTAGGAGCGGTAAACTTAATTAGATGCTCCTTATTATTTAGGCATTTATAGTACTTTTTATATCTATCTTTTATATCTTCGATAGGTTCCCTTTAGTAGTCGATATAAACTAATAATAGGTAAGGTAAAGGGTATACCGCGTTCTTAATACCTCTTATTAAGATTTTAATTATTACGCTAAGGCTAAAGCTTATAGCCTATCGTTTATCGATAGCTTTATAGAGAAAGTTATATACGTCGACGATATACTCTTCCTAGCGGGCCTTATTCCTAGCGAATCCGTTTATATTTTTAACGCCCTTATATATTATCTAAGCGTCTTTAAGGGTAATATCCCGCCGCTTAATAGGGCCTATTAGTATTAAGTATTAATAATCTCTATAGACGT